TATAAAGAGAATCCTGTTAGTCTTCAGTTGGCCTTAATGTATAATGAGATATTATCATCCGACCAGTTGATAACTCTTGAAGATTGATGACTGGTATTAGTACAAGTTCTCAGTTTACATTCAAATGTTTTTCCCTACTTCTCTAAACTAGAAAGTGATAAATTGAAATTTTTATGGTGGGTTATTTGAAATAGACACCAGTTTGTATCGCATGACTATGTGGCGTGAAATCTAACTAATGGGTAAACGTTTCTTTACGGGTTATAATAAAACCAGTAGACAGGGAATAACTGCCCACTTTTGATGAAATACACAATATGATGCAGTTCAACAATAAAAATTAATCTCAGTCCTACTACAACTTCAGCTTTTCTGCAAAAATAGGTGGTATAAAATAAATTTGTATTGTGAATGAAAAAAAAAATATAGAAATTCAGTATATTTATACACTTGATTTAAATGAAAACTTCATTAAGTTTCAAAGACTTATAAAAAAGTCATGCTTATTTCAGACTTACCCAGATGGGTAATACAATTTCCTGTGGAATGTTTGAAAACAGATATACGATGACCATTCCAGTATGCAACATGTTCCTTAAGTGAAAAAAGCAAACATACATTTACCTATTCAGTCTTAGATAGTACCGTCACAGCATTAAGGGTAAGAGAGGGTCAATAAAATTGAATAATGAACTATCAGAAAAGGTAAGTATAGACAAATAATTATAACTTTTTAAAACATATATCAGAATCCTCGATTGTTTTATTGTCAACAGTCACGCAAATAATAATTTATTCTTATTTAAATATTAGTAGCAAAACACTAATAATAATAAAACAGTAATGAATACAACCCTTGAAGAAAACAAACACTAGGCAGCTTTTTTTATTCCTTCGCGTTCAGAATGAAACATACAGCTTCAAGCTTCAGTAACTGTGGTGTTTAGTTTCTGTGTGTTAGAGTTGATGGTCTCACGTCTTCCCTTCTCTTTTTACCAGTCTTACTACCGGCTAAGAGAGGGGAAGGAACAGATTGTTTTTACACTGAATCTTGGTTTCACTCTGTTGAAGAGTATCAAGTTGCTGAATGCGTTATCCAGTAGTTTCCCAACTCTACAGATCTGTGATGAACACTACACTGAGGTAAATGAACTAGGGATTTTCCAAATAGATTTATTTAGTAGATTAACTGCAGCAACAATAACATGGTGAAACCGAGTAAGCACCACACTGATTATGTAATATTCCTTGGGATCAGACTGCACAAAACTCGAAATTATAGACCGACATTTAGTAGATGTATCAAGTTTTTTGCAAGCACAACTAACTCAGTTCTTTTCCGAAGACATACACTTGACTAGACAGACAGATTGGTCATTACGAGAATAGATAAAATATCACCCATTAAAGCACAAAATCATAAGGAAGAATACGAATCTTTTTGGTAGAAACCAATGCAAAGTATCATGGTGCTCGACCCATAATTTAGCCTATATCTAATATAATCAAAGTTTTTACCATTATCTAAAGTGACATTTAAGTATATGGTTTGAACAGGTTGTTTTGGATTATAAACATACTCTAAGTGGGCTACAGAAGTTGCTGACTTTTCGAAAGCAGCCATAAACACATTGTAAAATTCTTTGCATTTAAACATACCTGTGTACAGAATATAGCCTTAATTTGATCTTCAACTTGTGCTTCATGTTCATATAGTGTAACTTTCTTTTGATCAATTAAGAACTTTGAATTTTGTTTTTTACTTTTGTCTACCATTATTGGTATTGAAGTAGTTATAAAAGAAGCTGGAAGATTATTAAGATTGGCGATTTTAGTTGTATTAACACTTCCTTTATTAATTTCATTATTATCAAGTATAGATGGTAAATTATTCGATACATTCATTGGTGACGCTGGCGTCATTGTATCGGGTACTGAAGTAAGCATTGAGAATGACTGTGAACCTGTTTGAACAACAACACATCCACTTCCATAGAAATGTGTGCATAAAGATTGTCTTTGTAGAATATGTACAGAAGACTTGACCTGTATACCTGCAAATATTAGACAGACATTGTAAAAGATATCTACCTGAAAAGTATGCGTTTATCAGTAAATGAAATTGAATAAGATATGCACAAATATTGAAAAATTTAAAGACTTTATGTCAAAGACACTAAACTTCTAAGTGTTTTATAAATACAAAGTAAGCTGTCCCTACAATTAGGTTTCCTTAACTTGAAGACCAAGAATACCTTTCACTCTATTACTTACGCAAAAAAGTTGCATGTCTACATATACTTCAACTGAATAAGAAGGGAAAAAAGACAGATCGACCAACTGGTTTTCTGAATGCTTTCACCTACCAGCCTATTCCACCCTCGAATTGAGTAATCTACCAGATTCCAGTAGAGTGAAGTGTATGTTTTCTGTGCTCTGAAATTTCAGTAGGTATGACGTTGTTTCCTGTGGAGTGGAATCACTTGCCCTATGGTCAACTTTCCCTTCTTTCCCGACTGACCAACTACAGACACCAATCACCATCAACAGGAGAAATCTAAAAGAGGTCATCTACTTTACTTACTTGGGTAGCAACTACGGGTGGCACGGACGAAGATGTCAAAACCAACCAGGATCAGATAAGGAAAGCGAGACAGGAGTTAATTACCCCGAAGTCAGTGTGCTCTGCAGAACTTAGCATGGGAACAAATTCGAATTTCTAGTCAAATAAGTGCTTCTAACCACTTCAGAGACGGAGCGTGAGGAAAAACGTTTACGAAAGGCTACTGCAGGCATTCATCAACAGATGCATTGTATAAATACTGAAGGTCAGTCAGATGGTCAACCAGAAAGAACTACAAAAACAGAACCTAAGCAGACAGAGAACCAGCCAACAACCTAATACCCAACAAATATGTATAAGGAAATGGAGGTATATTGGACACAAAATGAGAAGATACTCAGGTGACAGTATTTCAGTAAGTTTAAACAGTTATATCTACACAAGTAATCCTGAAGTAATGCAGACTTATTGAAAGAGAATACAAATTTTTGAATTGATTGAAAACAGTATCACTGTGGAGGTCAACAGAACTCAGCATGAAAAATAAGATCCGGACTTTCAACTCCAATGTGGAGTCAGTGCTACTATACGGACCAGGGATTTGGCGCATCAGAAAGGCACTTCAAACAAACTACTGTCTTCGCTCAGTACTAAAGATCAGATGGCCGGCCATAAAAGATAAGCAACAGGAGTTTCTGGGAGCGAACCAACCAGGCAGGAACCGATTGTGCGACAAATATGCAGGAAGAAATGGAAGTGGATTGGCCATACTCTGAGAAAACCATCAAGTGATATCACTCGCCAGCTTCTCAAGTGGAATTCAAATGGGAAGTCGCGAGTTGGTCACCAATGCGAGGGTGACATGGAGGAGGTCATATGAAGAGGATATGAAAGCATGTGAGAAAAGGTGGAGCCAGGTGAAAACGTTGACAGAGAACCCAATGCAGTGGAAACGTGCGGCTGAAGCCCTACGTTCCTCTAGGAATTAAAGGAAACAATAATAATAAGTATTTTGTGATATATTTTTGTCTGTAGTTAATGACACTACCCAGTTATGGTACAGGGTTCATAACAAAAACTCATTAGCTGAAATTCAGGTTAATATTCCAATGAGTAGCACTATCTTGGGAGTGTGAGGAAAAAGTTGTACTTTTGGCAAATTGGAGTGAATGAACAGTAAGGCGTTTCCTTCAGACGAACAACAAGCTTGCTATGCTGCATCTGCTCTCTGGAGAGAGTGATTAGAACAGATAGACGGCAAAAGTTGTACATCCCAAATTACACTGCGGAGGTCGAAAGCTGGCAATAAGACGCATATACCAACACAAATCTAAAAACTAAATTCGGTTTCAGCTCAGTCAATGAAATTGTTTAAGTTGGTTTGCATAGAAGAACAGAAGCAATTCCGTATCCAGAAGACTTAAAGTTCAATTCAGAAAAATATCTTTGATATTAGTCTTGCCAATAATAATCAGCTAATAATTCATACACTACTGAGGACTGCCAAGACATTTATGTCTGCTCAGTTATAGCAGAGTTACTAAAGCCTAGAATGGAGTGAAATATAAAACATCTTCAAATGGTCGATGGTTATGTCATGAAGTTTAGTGATAATAACTGAGAGTTCAACTGTTTAAAAATAATGAAAATTTCTGACATGTTTAAAAGCGGATTGAATGACATTTAAATATGAGGCGTCCTTAACTTGTTAACTGATTTTAAATGCTTAAATAAAAAAATAAGAGTCAATTAAAAGTTGTGGAATAAGCAGAATGCATATACATGAGTTTAATACGTACTATGATTGTAAGTTGTTTTTTCATTTGAATGATGAGGTAAAAGAGCAACGGCCAACTTTTTCTCTCTCTCACCCCACGTTAGCAAAGATATACTTCGGTTCGGATCAATTGGTAATGAGGCGAATTCGCTATTCTGTTGACTTGTCAAAATAGCACTGGGCTGAGGATGCCAGTTAGCCTCCGGTGCCTTTTCAGTTACATTATTTGTGCAGTTGTATAGTGTGGAGATATCCTGTCGATTGTCACAACTTTGAGTCAAGTTTGAATCAGACTGTAGAAGGTGAGATAGGTCGTCGTGTGAATTCAATTCTGTGCCGTACTGCCAAAATGCAACCATGCCATTACTCAAACCTGCAGCTAGGACTCCTTGAATAAATACAAGAATAATGGAAACTTGTGTTGACGGGAGATATCAAGACAAAAAAGTTACTTGTCTTATATTTACATTAACATTCTGAAATAGTTTTCGTATTACAATTTCTGTGTTCACATGTGACGTAATATTTCATAAGCTCACATCAATAAAAATTCTTAGAAATAAATTTCTGACCCAAAAGAATCACTGTTATGAGGGAAAATTACTGAATTACTTAAGCTGTACATTGTAGAAAGCAGTGAAACACACTAATCGTTTTACTTTACCTGAAATCAAAAGTAATTTATTAAAGTGGGGGGACAAAACATATGTATTAACTCTTAGCTCTGTGGGGAAAAACGCTAAGTAGGTATGTCAGGAATTTATGTTTAGGTTTACGTCTAGACATTTATTATGAACTGTTATACAAGCTGTGGTAGTACGTGAGTATTAAAGCAGTTAACTTACGATAGGTCTCTGAGTATGCTACTTGTAGAACCTTTACACTCTTCTTTGATTTCTCAAGATGAGATACATTCGGAGTTAGGGTATAATTATCAGACCTCTCAATGTCCCAAAGTCTGACAACAGTTTCTCCCAAGCCCATAGCAAGAGTAGCTTCACCTGCCCAAGTAATGGAAGGTTGATGGCACAATCCTGAAGACAGTTTCATCTACAAAGCATTAAAGATGTGACATTTATTGTGATAAAAGACATCTAGAACACCTTATAAAACATTAATTTTCAACAGCAATAAAACTGAATCTGAACTTCCTGAAACATCAACGCAAAAACTTGTCTAGGTATATATACTCATAAGTTTCAGCACTTCTCATCGGCAGAGAAAAATAAACCAGACCGAAATACAGCAGCACCAAATACACTACTAAGAATGTTTATTGAATAAAGAATTAATAGATCAGCTCCAATGAAAACATTCAAACTTTCAACGAGAAGGTCAGAATATGTCATCCGTATTGTGATCTGTTTACCATTACTTCTGGGACGTCTCTAACAGTCAGTCAGTACTATATGAATCAGATGAACTAACTAACTGAAGATTCAGACTTTCTAACCCTGTGGTTTTACTTACACATGAAAAATGCTGCAAAGATAATGACCAAACAGTTGTAACCTTTTAGTGACTTCTTACCTTAGAAGTCTTACAGTAAAGGTTGTTAATAACAGGGGGTTCAATATTTCGCCTTTATCAGGGTTGATGCCACTGGCTTCTGTGATAACTATGAAATGTTATCAACGAGTAATATCATAGGGTAAAATAGGTCACAGAACATGTGAAGTACTTGATAAATTGGGACAAATTCACAGCAGTATCTATCTAGCTAACTATGGACGGAAAGTTAAAACTAAAAATACTAAAGACTGAAGACTCTGAGAATCGTCTATGGTCGTAAAACATTGTCCATAACGTGAATATTAATATTAATAAAAACTTCTTTGTTGTAGGATAGCATGTTTCTACGCAAGGTAGGAAAAATGATCCAAGAAAAGTCGGCAGTATTAGAAACCGATAGGCAGAAGAAACCAATTAGAATTCTATCATTAAAAACCTTTAACAACCAAAGAACAAGCCAAAGAATAAACATTTGCTTTAGAGATGTAAAGTATAAATATATCGCAAAAATTTAACGTTCAGTCGTTAACTTTAAAATGATAACAGTAACGCAAAGTTAATTTGAGGAAACCTTAACCAGAGAAAATAGTAAAGTAAAATACTAATAGTTGCACATCTGTGCGTAAAATTCCACCAGTTGATACAGCCGTACACTTTCAAAGAGAATTATTCTACTTCACAATGACTAATAATTCACGATCCAAGTAAATTACAAAGAGGCTGCGAAATGCAGTGAGAAAATTTCACATGCAATCATTACAAGCCAATCCCATCAAAAGTAACCATTGATAAAAATTCAATCATCTCAGCCACTTGTAATAAACTATCACACTTATAAATGAGGCATGTATCCGCCAACGCTTGCATCTGGTTATCCATTTAGTTGATTTATATCAGTATCACGGATCTTATGCTGAGATACCAACATCTATGAAAAACCTTACGTGACATGTTGGGTTTTGAGTAGTTGAAAGACATTATGTCCCAACCTCTTATGTAACAGAATCGTTATACTGATGTCAGCTGTCACTTAAAACGGCCAGTAACCCAGCGAAGTTATAATAGGCTGACGTGAGGACTTCGTTTATCGAAATACTTCGATGAAAAATTGCCGAACTGGCATGAATTCGATACGCCTTTAAAGAACATTGATATATATATATAAACATGAAATATCCCACCCCAAAATGAGCAAACAGAAAATTACAAGAACTGGTACCGAAACGCTTCGGAGTTAAACACAATTGTCCCAATAATTAGCATTCACCAACCTTTGCTACTTCCTTCACTGACAGTTCGCAACTGAACTTGACATGATAGTGGTATAGCAGTCCTTTATCAGTAATTATTAGAAGAGTCCGTTTGATCTCGTGATAGAGTATTCTTAGAATACAACCCTCACAGCAAACCAGATTATTCATCGTACAGGCTGAAGTTTCATTTACGTCCAAATTATCGTACTTGACGCACGTTATACGACCTGCAAATCTTTAAAAATTGAATTCAAGCGAGGAATTACCATCATCAGATCCAACTAAATAAAATCCGAAATGGGTACTCAATTTAGATGGAACTTTACAATGAAGTGATTCGGTAAACTTATCGTCTAAACTGGAAACGATTTTCAAATTTTTATTGCATTGTTAAAATTGACTTCACATACCCAACTGATTCATCTGTCGTATGATTTAGAGTAGACAGTGGTATAGCATATGAGATGCTTGAATTAATGTTGGAGACATTGATAGGTTTCTGTCCAAAGTTATTGCTTTTAACGTGAGGAAATATACAGACTGCCCCCTTTGTGTCTGTCACCAGAAGAAATCGACCATCAGGAGACCAAACCAAGGAACTTATAGTTGCTTCAAACTTAAAACTTATGTCAAACGTGTTGTTTTCCAAAAGAAGGCAGGCGGTCACGCAACCATTATCCCAACCAACAACCAATATACAATCGAAAGGGTGCCAGGAAATACATGTAGGCGCATGTGCTCTTATTATACTAGTATCTTTATATTTCAAGCTCTAATTAATTGTGATATGAGTTAAAAATGTTTACTTGCAGACTTGAAACGGCTACCTCACCAGATTCCTTTTGTGTTTGTAATGCTACCGCCAAGAGAGAAAGACGACGATGCCACTCAAGTTTTATTATTGACCCCGAAAAATCATTCAGTTTTGTGCTAAGAAAAACTGACATTTTTATTCACCTCGAAATCATATCCAAGGCCTAGCAACGCGTTTACATAAGAGAATCACATGATACGGTTAAACGATTTTCAACATCCAATAAGTTTGTTTCATGCAAGTGTATTTATTTACCTTTATTTTCGGAGCTCAGTTTTCTCACTCATTTTTTCCTTTAGTTACTGGTACGAATAAAAGATTTAGGATTTCATTTCTCTCATACTTGAGTGTTAACTGATATCACCGCTTTTACCTGCATTTCCTCAGTGGCAGAACATATTGGACATGAACAGCCAATAAGGAGAGTAACAAACAAATAATCATCCTATCTGGGGTTTATGAACACTTCTTAACACTGATCAATCCATATGCGCAACACATCTGAATAACCCACATCTCTCTTAACCCATTCACTCAGTGTAGTTAAGAGTAGGAGTTATCAGAGGCTAGCTGACACTTTTGAGATATGTCAGCTGACCACAATCCAATATGTAGCATAATTTATGGGAGCTAATATAAACCAAACTGGCTTCTCTGTGCTCTCTTCTTGGTTGTGAAGGTTCCTGGTCATCTGTAATCTTCTTCATCCCACCACTAGTGTTGCAGCTTTAATTCCATCACAATGGAATTATGCGCTACCACAGTTCCCACGTTTTGTCCCCACGTCGTAACTTTGGATGACTCCGGGGAGAAATGCGCTGAGGCTGGCTATGTGTGGTTTGTGGAATACGTCTGTTCAGATAGTGTCTCTACGATGAGTAAAGTTGATTCCTTCATCACCTAGTCGTCTGGTGCTGTCAAAAAGAGAGACAATAGTAGTATATAGTTAGTATAGGTTATGTAGACTCTAAAAACAGAAAAAGTACGAGTGGGCAGATGATGATGTTTGAAATTAATGTATATATAACAACATTTGTGAATGAATATACAGATCAGTCAGAAGAGTAAGCCACGGGGGAATGGCCAACAGTAAATCGAAGAGTTTAGGTGTATACCCATCAGTTGTGTGTGTTTTATAGGACAGGCCATTTGGATGTAGTCCGTGTGTCGATGCATGATTGTTCCGCCTCTACTCGAATCAATCCACACACGCATCAGTAGCAACATCGGCGGGTGAGGAGTAAGTGGGGCAGCAGACTTGAAGGGAAAAGAAGTGCGAGGTGATAAGAGTATCTGCTCCCCAATGCGCTATCCTTTATGGATAACGAGGAAGCCCATGCTTAGATAATGGCAGAATATCAATATTTTCGTGATTCTGGTCATTTGCAATCCCGCGGGCAGCAGTCGATTCACTCCTAGGCCGGTGGCAGGTAGTTGTTAAAAGATCTGATTTCTTCAGCCACTGGCCATATTGTCTGCTCCGCAGAACCGTCACCATTTTTTCACCCGTCTGTAGACTTCTTCCAAAAGGCTGGTGTCCCCTATGGGCAAAGGGAGGTAGTGATGTTTTTCTGACTATAAATCAGGAAAAGGATTCGATGCTGTGCACAGCAAAGTTATAAAGGAGAATCACCTTCAAGCTTTATTTTTCACAGGTAATGGTGATTCACCCAGTTCAGACTCGGGTTGCTTTGTTATTACGAAGACAATATTCCTATATTTCCTAATGTGCCCCATTAATTGGCTAATTAGCAGATTGCTCCCGAAAACGAAAGTCATGAAGAACAGCAACCATATAAATTCACCATGAACCAAATTGATGTGACTTAAATAACACTTTTCCATACCTGTGCAATTGGTGTGTTCCTATATAGGAATAAATATATATTACTGGTCTATAACTCGTGGCTCTCTTCCAATCCACATTTTTGAAGATCGGAGGAAGAATGGCTCTCTCCCACTGCTTTGGCAGTTTTCATGCAGCGTTGGTGTAAAGAGCCGAAGGAGTTCATCAAATCAGTTGAACTTTTGATGATCAATCTGTTTATTTGCGCGGATTGAAACACACGGTGAACAATTGGATTTTCAAGGGAAAAAGGCCCGGAGGCTTCTTTGTGGTGTGATTTTGTACGCTTTAGGCTCTTCAAATCTTCGTTAACGAACACACCTTTCGGCAGCCATAAGTGTTAGATTCTCGCTTCTGTAGTTGAAGCAGTGTTAAGAACAGCCTGGATACCAGGTTAGGTGGGTCAGGAGAGTCTGCAGGTAGTGTAGCTAAAGCCCAGGGTCTAGTAGAATAGAAAGCCACACGACAATCATGAGCTCTATTTCCAGTCAAAACCAATTGGAGGCGAACTTGGAGTAGTTTAAACAGCCTAACTTATTGGTTTCCTACATTGGAAAAGGTCACTTAAATGCTTTCAGACAGCATCAGCACACTGTTTTGGAAAAGATGGCCGGACGTAATCACAACCTGATGACTTTCCAGAGTTGAGTTTCCGCAAATTCCATAGCACCATAGCTCGACGTATTTTGAGCATATACATTGGATTTTCTCCCCCTAAATTGGCAGTGCAGTCCTTATGGATTATGTCGGTAATACACGCAGTGCTAACTAATCGTCCATCAAAGGTCGGAATGAGTATTTCAGCTATTTCCAAACTAGTGAGGCATTTAACATTTGGATCTTCTGAGGCTCTTACCCCATGGTTGATGGGTTTTCCTTAACCACGAACCGGTGCTGGCTTCTGAGTTTCGCCGGGACTCTTCTAGCCGGATCTGCCTAAAACTGCCTTCTGCCATTCTTGACTCTTATGTTGCATAGGTTCCTGAGTTCCAGATATGCCTAAAGGTCAGTCCGACCCCTGGAGAGTCACCGCAGAAGACAAGATTTCCACTTTTCTTGTAGAATATTACTAATGCCGGTTTCACTGTCCACGATTGTATGGATTAGCCACGTTGGCATCAGGACTATTATTCTGAGGGGTAGGTGTGCTTAGAGATTTCTGAGTTCAGCCGTTTTCCCACTCAGTCCTCTTACATTACTATACAGGTAACTGACATTGACTCTCGCCACCTCATCGTGTTGTGGACTGGTTGACGCTGTGTAGGCTGCTAGCTGACAAGTTAATGTTGGAGCTACTAGGCTGATTCCCGCCTACTGTCGTATTTTTCCTCAGATCCTGCTAAGATACCTGGATGACACTGGTTGTAATTCTCTGTGATGCACTGCTGTGGTGTCACTGAGGTATGGGGTCTTATTATTACCTCGTCTTCTTTCGTAGGTAGGTAACCTTAGATTGCTTCAGGGCATGATTATTCTGTATCACACTGCCATGCTTTCCAGTGGATGCAATTGGTCCTTTTGCAATTCCGGAGTTCCCGGGTGTTTCCGCCACCGGGTTTGTAGAACTTGAATGTTTAGCGGAGGAGACCTTGAGTGTCTTCGGTTACTGCGGATTGATACTTCTAGTCGTTTGCGTTTGATCGCCATGTTTGCTGTTCTTATCCATCCGTTGTTGTAATCAAAAGTCTTGTAACATCCTCCATATTACATCCGATCTCTTCCTAGCTGTAAAATAGTGTTGGCTGATTTCAACATTCCAGAAACACGAAGAAATTCACATTGATGATGCACTAGAGATAATAATCTTCCTGATTACTTCGATATGGGAGTCTGCACACACGCGAATACCCGTAACCTTACGTTTTCGCAAACAATATAGCTTCAGGTACACTGTATCTGCGTCATGAATTCCTAGCAGGAAGTCACTTATTAGTTGCTAACGGAATACACTACTGTGTTAGACCGCTACCTCCTGGATTTAAACTCACCATTGATCGCTTACTTTTGAAGCATTTTATCATAGATTAGGTCCTATACGAAATCTGCCTCCACCGCAGTGCTTAAGTTCTATTCCTAAATTTCACCTACATAGGTTAGATTTTTGTCAATGGTCCCTACAGATTCACCTATGGCTGAGACGTATTCGTGCAACTTTAGGCAAATGTTTAGGATTGACCTAAGTCCTCGTAAGTCATCACCTATATTAATCGGCAGTATTCGCACAGAATTACACTTACGTAAGTAAAAAGTTCATATCCCAGGGAGTACCGGTCTAGCATGCCACACCCCCACCGCAAGCATATCCAGCAGAACACAAGAAGACTAGATAAAGTGTTTTATTTCACTGCATCGCGAACAAGTTTATTTACACACACACAGGTTGAACACAGTCCAGGATGAAAGTTTTGTTTGGGAAGTGTCTTCCACTGTTCGACGGAAATTGTGCCGTATCCAAATGGCGTCACGTTTAAACTCTTTCTATATTCATGCAAACTGAACTGTGTGCCACAACCAAAGTTATCCGGTATCACAAACTGGAACAAGGAATATCTGCATGGTTATAAGGGAATGAGTGAACTTCCCTTTCTTTGTAGTTGTACGTTCAATCAATTCCTACAACAGATTATGAAAATCTGGTGATTAGTCTTGAAACACTCGTTAGTCAGTATGCCTTCGTCTGAATGCGACTACGTCTGTTTCCGACTGAATTTAACTTATTGAGATGCTTCATAACGACTCGACATTCCTAAAGTGATAAAGATTAAATTCACTTACATAAACTAAGCATTTACATGATTAACTCACGTGACCACCTGGGACTTAAGTACTAAATAAATTATCGTAGTTTGAAATATGGAACACAGTGGTGTAGAAAATATAATGAAAATTACACATATATAAAATCATTGACTTCTAGTAATTTTTCCATCGAAATATGCTGCAAGAATACATTTAACAATACCCTGATGGCGGTCTGAGAGACAAAACACACGCACAGGATAAAAGTTCCATGAAGTTATCACACTACAAAGATACATCTCATTCTCCGATTTTTCCTCTGCTTGTGAACGTAGCACGAACAAAAGGTCGACACTGTTAACAACTCATAAGGTCCTCAATTTTTGAAAGTCCTCCAATGCGTTCTCAGGTTCTTACATTTGTGCTGGTCCCACTCACACTCATTACCTGCGATGAACTGCTAAAAAGGTTTCGTTAACGAGGCATATTACTGCCACAGCTTGTCACATCTAATTTGCAGGAAAAACAAATCATTAGACTACGTGAATGAGAAATACCGAAGGATAAAATGTTGTACACATAACCACAACTCAAGAAAGGCATTGGAACCCACGGGATAGTAATCACTGGTAGCCACCACAACTGCCAACAAGTCTCAATGGACTGTACACAAGAAAAAGCGTTGTGTCTGTATAAAAAAGAGATGAAATAACGTAAGTGTAGTCAAAATTTACACTTATATTCATCACAGTTCCTTGCAAACCACGCACAACACAACCACACGAAACCATACACGGCAGCACCTACCTACGGCAAATCCAAATCCAACTGACCGCAACTGTTCTACCCAGTGAAAGACGATAAAACCAGAGGTGAGGTATATTTAAAACTCGATAGCGTTTGTCCCCACCCTGACATTGCCAGAGGACTATACAGGATAGTAGTCCTCGTTGGTAACTGTTCCCATTAGTTTTTGCTATGGCTTCTTGCCTTCATTTCTGATATAGCGCAACTTTCTAAAGATTCTGTGGATTTCTTCTTTGAGGCATACATATTGTAGCCTTTCCATTATGGTTCTAACTTCGTCCGTCGAGAATGGAGCTCGAGGGCGTATGTATAAAGCAGTGATCTCGCTTTTCAGGCATCTAGTGTTTGGAACATGATGATCCTAATGCTTAAATTTGCGAAAGTCACGTGAATTTATTGATTAGTCCTCGGACAGGAAGACCATAAGTCATATTAATATATGCGTATAGCATTTAGTGGGATCATAACTAATGTGACGGCATATGCGTAAAACTCGGCCAAAAAGGCTCAGGTCGATGACAACACCAACAATAGGGAATATAAATCATCACTAGTAATTCCGTGCAAAGAAGGAATCTCGAAAAACTTACGGAGAATTCTTAGCAATGCAGGAATAAAAGTGGCATCAAACCCACAAACTGAATTAGAAACAAGCCTTGTCGGTTAAAGGATTCAGCCAGTAAGGACAATAAAATAAAACAGTTTAGTTTATCTGATACCCTGCAATGATTGTCGGGTCAAATACATAGGTCAAAGTAGTGGAGCGGGTTCAGTCAGACTACCGGAGCACAAAATCTAGATTATTCGACACGAATAAAATAAGAAGTATGCAGAATATTTCAGATAGAGCATCATATGTAACTACACACAAACATACAATAAGATGGATGGGATAAGATGGCAGTTTTAAAATCTAGTAAAACAGGGTGGAGGCAGAGATTGTTGACGGAAGATTTATATATCTAATCAACCGAAAATACGTGTAATAGGAACGATTCAACATCTTTTGGTTCGGGCATCTGAAAAATTCTACCGCACATACGATAAAACGTACAGAACAAAGGAAACTCCAAAACTAAAGTTTTGAAGTCGTGTGGTTATAATTTATGTGAATGTGAATAACGAATTATGTTCGAAACGTCATACAGTAAATAATACTGTTTCACTGTGTGATATATCCAATTTGCTACCGATAATATGTACTCCAGAAAAATTCTTTTAAATGCAAATTTTCACTTTTTCTAGCACTAAGTGAGATAGACAAAACGACGGCCTTGCCTCACCTTGCCCAGTTTACTAGTTCGCTGGTTTTCCAGCCGGTTTTAAATCCGGGAAGAGAAGCAAGGTTTGGCGTTGGGCTACCAACCCCGGAAAAATCCAGTAGTACCATAGGGCGCGCATATATAGCCGTCGATATTCTACAATGATCTCTGATCCCAGCTGCTCACTTCTACTGTTTAAGCTGAACGTGCGCGGCAAAGCTTTAACATCACTTGCCTCTCAAGAACTATTTTTGTGTTTCTACATTAACGTTAGGGCCATATCATCATTAGGTTCACCGTTACAATAGTTAATATTTTCATCTCTAGAGAAGTGAGAATGTTTGCGACGTAAATCGACTAAACTCTGGGTCATCTTATGTTTACCCTGCCTCATTCTTAAACATTCCTCTTTTTGGGTTTACAATGAGCTAGTAAACAAGCCCAAATCAGTATATGTCCAGCAGGGCAATAAGGCATATTGGTTGATAGATTGTGAACTACAACATGGCCCGAAGACTGGAGTGGACTGTGGTGCAGAAGCTTGGAAGCTTTTAAAAATATTGTTGGATCTAAGTCGGAATAACAACTTGAATTATGCACCCATGGGATTCTCCCCTATGGCCTCAACATTTATTGTTTTATGGAGAGCAAGACTGTATCTTTATTGCTGAGCAAATAAAAAGATTTATCAGGCGCATCAAACCTATTAACTTTAATAACCTGGAATCCGAAACTTGATTTTCAACCTGTAAAAGTACAAAGTAGTGAAATTAAGCACCTGTAGGCTGCAGGATGCAAGTTACGCCCTGTGCAACGAAAGCTTGTCTTGCACAACGTCGGAGTGTGACTTAGGTCTAGTTCTAACGGAAAAAATGAACACAAGCGTAAATTGCCCGGGGAAAGTATCGAGGGCATATGCGCAATCACTCCTGAGCCCTTTCTAAGGCTGTACAAAACATGCGTCAAACTACACCTTGAAGTGCATAATGTTATTGCAACCCCACTACTTAGAAGAGACCTCTTGGAAAGAGTCCAAAGACGGGCAGCAAAAGGAGTGGTTGGTCTCCGAAGTAAACCATATGATGAAAGGCTAAAGAAATAGGCCTATTCACATTTGGCTACCGTCAGCTTAGGGGGATTTGATTATTAAAAAATAACAAATGACCAGAATCACCCAAACAAAGGTGTTCCACCATTGAGTAGGTATAGGCTTCCTCGTGGAAATCCCAGAAGGATAGCTCACCAGAGGGCAAGGACTCGGGTGAGCTCCCATTTCTATTCACCGAGGATTTGGCGTCCCTGGAATTCCTTAACGGTAGATGTAGCTTTGGCACCGTCTGTGGACACCTTTATGGAAAGGCTGGACAGTAATGCAGCTACACAAGGACTGCGTTCAAACGGCTTATCCCCTTAAAATCCCATACACCATTCGGGGTAGACAACTGAATTCCTCGTTTTATTTCTTTACGTTCTCTCCCGTCTTACTCTTCTGACAACTCTAACTACACTTATTATTATTACCGATATATATATATACATGTATATATATCAACTTCAAATTTAATCAACTGTCTGTTGTTACGTTTTCTTTATTTCTTTTTCTGCCTGTTAGTCTGAATAACTTCACTAATAATGTCTATAATTATTACCTCTTTTCTTTTGACGACGATACCGAAGGACTAACTGGTGAAAGGATCAACTCCATTCACAGTAGTAACAGTCTTAACACACGTCATACTACAAGCCACATATAATAAATCCCAGTACAAATCGTTTAGGAGTCAACCAAAGCTACGACATTCGAGTGGTGGTACGAGATACGTAGAAGTTTACCAAAGATCAGGAACCTTTACCTCATAATCAAGAGGCGAGCACAAAGGAATCAAATTAATTTATACTAGCTCGTTAAAACGATATTGGATATTCGATGTTTTAATTTTTGAAGAGGATTTTGCACCTTGGGTACAACCTTGAAATATTTCAAAAAGAACTCTGAATGTTTTGAAGATGATTCCGTGTAAAACGCCTTTTGTCGACATTTTGGGGATTAGAATAAAGCCATGCGAAATAGTGTTTCGTGATATTCAAGACGATTCACAATATACAAGTTCACTGACAGTTCAAAACGTTTGTTCTTCAAAGAAGACTGTTCGCTTTTACCCACCATCAACTGAAGTAATGATATTTTCTACTTGTTTGAGATGCTTAGACAATCGAAATAACAGATAGTCAAACGGATATAATATTAGCGCCTGGGATTTGTCATAACTGTACTGTATTTTTAAAGGTCTCAGAAGCAAAGGAATCCACTGAATCCATAGTTTTAACCATCGATGGCAATCCGCATAAAGTCCCTATTCACATGTTAGTTTTTTTTTTTAGAAGACAATGAATTAACGTCATAGATTTACTCCCATCCCTGTGTGGAATATCCCACGTTCTCTGAATCTCGGAGTACTGGTTCAGGAAAACAGAGTGATAACGAAAACACTTTTTATTGAAAACAAGGGTTCCAAACATGGGAAATTTAGAATACTTAGCATATCCAGTTCATCTATCGATATAGTACCCCGATCTGGGATGGTTGAACCAAATTCTCATGTTAATCTAAAAGTTACTTATTTTTGCTTTGAATATAACATCTTTTTCATAGGTAACATTTATCCCTAGGGATACTCGTGACTTTGTTGAAGTTGTCAGGTATGCACTATTAATTTATACTAACTGCTTCTAATGTAGGATTCAAATGGACGGAAGTGAGGTTTTATCTATCGAGGTCGTTGGTAAAGTGATAAAACCGGAATTTAAAGTGACAAATTGTAAAACCACTGAAGGCGATAAAAGTAAGATCACATGGAATATGATTTAAGTATTGGGTAAAAATGCAGGTGGAGCTTCGATAAACCACTGGAATTACGGTTACCTTTATTACAACAGCAATGTTTATTGCAGATGGAATCTGACAAACTATTCGCCAAAAAACACATCATTTTTTGCTAGCTTTTGCAATAAAAATGATTCTGTGAGTATTTAAATACATTCATCTATTTTCGCCATCAGTTAATTACGTTTCAAAAATATTTCTTGACGTATTACCCGACTTCATTGCAAGATCTGAAAGTTTAAAACCAAACAAGTTTTCACACTTCGTAAAACGGACATGCTCAGAAAAACAGAATTTTAAAGAATTTGTGGGAAATAGAAATATATAACAGGAAAATAACGATATGGAGAATAAAAAGAATTGAATGGATTCAGGAGATCGCAAAGAGTGAAATTAAGTGCGCTTTTATATATCTCTTATACCTGTACCACCAATAATCTGCAGCCACTGGTCTTTAGCGTCTCGAGGTCCCCAGCCAATCACTCCACACCTCTCTATATGACTCAGAACCATAGCGAGGCGGATTCTGTGTTTTGAAGTGATAATCCTTGACTTTGTTTTCTAATCCAACCTTATACCAGCCAATAATAATTAGTGAGGAGGGGAATGGTTCATAATGCATAAATGCAAATATCCATTTCTTAAAACCCTGAAACTCCAGCGTTTTACGACACTCAGTTGATTTTCATGTTCAGAAAATAGTGGCACTTATATTTGCTTTCCTTCATTAAAACTCGGTATTTTACTGTATTTAAGATTTGTAAAAGCCTCCATATAGACCTGTAAAGAGAAATATTCTCAACTGAAATGTGATTTTTAACATGTAAAGCACTCATTTGATCGAAGTTTTACATTGAGATAAGGTAATATTTAAGTTGTGAAATTCTTGTTCATGAATAACAAACCTTTAGATATGTTTCTTTATAAATATTTGATTATCATACTGATAAGAGAAATACTGACATATTTTCTCTTTATTATTCACTAGATTAATGAGACACCTGGAATACTGCTCCTTAAACTGCATTTTGTATATACTGTATACACTTTATGCGAGAATTCAACTCCATAAAATGCTTCAAACTAATTCTTCAATAGATTAGACTTATTTTTAGCATATAAATCTGTATCACTAATTTTTAATTAACGTTTAGGATAAGAAAAACCTGGAAAACGGACGTACTTTTTAACTGCCAACTACAATTTTATCCATTTAACTTTTTTCGTACATTTATTTTATACGCAGAAGTTGAAAAGCAGCGACAATGTATCAAAAAGTGCAAGAAGTGGCTCACCAGTCCGAATAAGTGAATATTTTAGCATAAATCCTGATCACGGAGAACTGAAACCATTTGAAAAGCTACCAGTTTCTATACGTCTTGCTCCCAGATGGAAGAAATCAAAACAAGGATTTATTAGCTTGAATGAATCCCCACCAATTAAACCATTTTCTGTATATCTACGTATACGCAAAGTAGATTTGGGGGCTGGAGATTGCTCTAATAAAGAGGGTAAGAAAGTAATTAACTTCTGCTCAGTACGTTAAATTGCACTTCTGGTCTTCAAATTTTATTACGATATGATAAACTTGCAACATCAGAATGAAGTCATACAAAATTCTGGTCCATTTCGCTGGGAGAAACTGCTGCTATCAGATGGAAATCTGTTTTCGGGTCACTTGATTTTTTTAATTTTTTTGATAAAGGTGACTGGAGCTTTTCAAACTCAACTGACTAGTTAAGCATTTCAGGTGGTGATATGTAACTGTCTTGATGGTGAACCCACTAAAGATTTTACCAACTATAAGAACTCACTAGATGCACTGACGATCAAGCGGGGGTATATTTCATATGTATAAATCATTGAAATGGAGAACCAACCATGAAATAAATACATTAGTTCTAAAGTTACTGAAAAAGACCCTCTACCGGGTGAGCTTGAATTTTCGGCGGCACATTAGCCTTCTAAATGTTGCAGTTACAGAATGTCAGTGGGCTCAAACAACAGCAGATACAGCACATTGCCTTAATAAATAACCTCTAACGTCAGACAGGAAATAGAAATGCGTCATCAAAGTGCGAATAAGTTGTTTTAATGTAACGTTTAAACCTAGCTTTGAATGTCATTATTAGGTTTCACTGTGACAAAATTTATTTCATAAGTTGGTTCTAAATTGTGTGCAAAACATTGAAAAGTGCTGATCCGCTATCCAGTAGGCAAGTTGTCAAGGTTATATTTCTTTAGTTTCATCACAACTGAAAGAGACAGACGTATACTTGTCGATCAAGATCGTCCGCCTGATTCGTTCTGTTTTTTATTTGTAGGACGTATAAATTTCAAGTAAGTTATTGTTTAGCCTTTAACAAAGTTCTGTCTAGAAGCCCATTATCATTAACCTGATTTTTTCATCAGTGTAAGTTAAAATACCTATACTCCAAGTAAATCTACCCAAGTACCCTCTCTTCTGTCAGCGAAGAAATAACTGAAAACTTCTGTTTCTTTCTGCAGTTGTAATTAACTAATATTGGCTGTTTGAGATATTATGGGTCCATGAAACTTTATAGATCAAAAACATCCCTTCCTATTAAAGACCTCTACATCATGGAATTGAAGTTTATAGTGATATTAAACTACTTATATTTTTTAGAATCTCAGAGCTCTGCACGATCATCATTTACTCTGGATGAAAAAAATGATAACTTAGAGATCATTCTAACGGGATGCTTAATACCAGTTCAGTTATTAATTTCACCAAATAATCAACCGCTTGATGCAGAAAATCAAGAGGATACTAAACTGAATGAGAAAGCCAATAATGAAGGGATTAAAATTAGACAAATGTATGAAAATCAGTTAAGCATACACTTTCCTGCTTGTTTAACTGGTCTTAAACGATGTGCTTATTTAAAGTTATCAAACCAAAGTAAACATCTACCAGTACATTTTCAAATACCTCGGATTGCTCATTTCACTGTGAAACCGGACAAAGGAGTAATTTCTCCACTGAATAGCTGCTCAATTACTGTATGCTTCAGTCCAAAACAATTTGGTAAGTCAGTGAATATATGAGTGACCTGATTTCTTAGATGTTTTTCAGCACTCCTAATCTGGTTCCTTTATGTTTGAATATTTTTCTTCTAGCACTGTATATAGGGATTTATATGCCATCCTGGAAGCTATTCAGCCATTATTAAAACAAGATCTCTATTAATCTAAATAACCCGATGAAGTAATATTTCAGGAGTAGCGAACGTTTGACTCATGTTAAAGGCATTCCTGTAACACAGGCAATCTTGGAACTCATATTGTTTTACAATGACACAGCTTGACATCTTAAAAATCATTTAAAAATGATCCCAACATGGTATGTTTGTAAGGGATTGATTGATTTTGGAGATACTATCGTCACAATCTGACACCGGTTACAGAGTCATTCAAAACCACACCACAGGCTGAGAAAAAAAATGTTTTTTTGACTTTTACTCTTTTTATAAATGATGCCAATACATGATTAGATCCGTCACGAAAACAAGTTATTTCGTCCCTAAGGAAGTGTTCTTCGTATTTTATTATAATTAACAGTAAAAAAAGTTTGTGAAAATCGATCTAATTGTATTTATCAGTATATTTCCCACTCTTCCTGTGATTTACATGTAAACTTGCTAATAAACCTTTAAAATCGCAAGGTAAATAAATAAAGTCTCACCTTTCGAGACATTGATTGAACGGAATATGAGTTTCCCAAAAAATAAGGGTCGTCTGGTGCTTCTTATAGTACACACAAAGTTACTTGAAGAAATTCACAACAGTAAAATATCAGTTTACATAAATAAAGTATATAAACAAAATAAAACAAAAAAACACAAATTTTGAACTAGAAATAAATGCAAAAAAAGAAAACAAGATAGAGAAACAGACAGCGTAAGACTAATCAGATGGAAGGACAGAGAGATAACTAGCTTGGAATGGAGAGTATTTCATGGTATAATTCGTTTCAAAAGGATACCGTTTATGGAATCATTAAAATCTGATGTCTGCTCATGACGAAATCTTCTTTGAAGTCAGCCAGAGTCCTACGAACTAGCAGTGGAGTAAAGCTATTCGTCAATGCAAACTGCTATCCAACCACTTATGGATTTCGTGTTAATAATAACATGTATATCTGTCTTGCTAAAATATTGCTTCAGTTGCAACACTCTCTTTCATGGTAGCAACAACAGTCCACTAGCTTGGATTTGAGTGGTTTTCTAGTTCATGATTTAACGATGGGACTTCTGTTTGCTTTCCGACAAGACCATACATTGCGTCTGTGTCCCATATGATCTCATTAGTTGCGAACGTTGAGCTGTGGAATATTTGACATTTAACAGTTTAACGTTACACTAAGAATAATAAGGTATGCACATACGTTTTGAATTGTATTTCAGGAAAAATGGAATCTTAACATACTTACTTGCTTAAACTCTTCTCGAAAAAATGGCGTAGTGATTTGATTTACTTGATTCCGAAATTCAAAAACTTCTTATTTACACGAAGTGTTTTCTTAGTTAAAAGCATATGGGTATAAAAGTGTAGAATCTGGGATGAAAATTACCTAAAAGTGTATTTTAATATAATCGGTCGTGTAATTATAACGACAGTTATAAATATGATTAAGGTCTTTGTTATGCGACATTAGCTTAAAGAAAACGAACCTCTTTACTTAATTCAAATTTTTTGTAAGCTAATTATCTTACTGGGATACCAGCTAATATCAACCAGTAGTACTTGTTAGACGAATTGAAGTGATTGGAGCACCAGACAGCCTTTTCGCCCGCTTGGGACCAACGTCATCAGAGGTGCGTAGGGTTTGGCTCAGCTCAAATAGCCAAATTAGTCCAAACCACCGAAATTCTGACTGGTTACTTTGACGAACTGGTAATACACTGAATAGAATTTGTGATTTGCAGTTGACACGGTTCAAAGTAAAAGTTTGACCACATTCCCCTCTGGAGACCAAAATTATTCATACTCTACTATGTGATCTGCCTCTTACCATAAATTGTACTCCAAAAAGCAAGCATATACTACTGAATGACTGATATGAGTAGTCGAATACCACCCACATTACTTCTCTGCTTTCAAAATTATGGTGTCAGTCGTTGTATTATGCTGCCCACTGAAGGATACATAAAAAATAAGATTAAAATGCAGCGCTTCTGAAAAGGCCTAGAGAAGTCAATGCACATAAGTTGCGGAAAACAGAAATTTAGATTTTTCTATTGGCTAGTGAACTGAGACTGAACTGTGACGGCAGTACTGAACACTTTTGGATGCATGTATCAAAGCCTGAGACTGGGATCAAGATGAGAAAGGAGGGTACTACTGAACTTATTGACTGCTGATGTAGTAGATAGAAATGAAGCTCAATTGACGAACAATCCAACAATAATAAACAGATAGATCATCTACAGTAAGCATAAGATTTTTCCGGAGGGAGGGGGGAATAATTGCATTATCTGACAAAAGAGTACATTAGTTCTTGTGTACTTGATATTGCTTACGTAACAATGAAAATCATTCAGCGGCGTTAAATGACGTTAATGGTAATGGAATCATGTATCCATGCGTCATGCTCTTTTGAAACTGGTTATTTTATTTCTCTGCATTTGAATGTATCTGTATCCCTCTTTCTAATTTTTTAAAATTCTCTGTACTTATTGTTTGCTTAATCTTTCAAAACCTCGAAATTATGATAGCTTTATGAAGTGTTTAATCCTGTTTGACTCACTTTCACTTATCTGTAAAGATCTGAAGAGGAAATTGTTATAAGGTTCAGAGATAAGAATATTCATACTCTTTCTCACAGTCTATTCTTGTTGAAATATTCTCCCGGGCAGCCGTTTACTATAAAGCCTTAGGTGGCATTGTAATCACACTTTAAAATATAAGTTGAAAACAGATTAGTTTTTTTAATTAAATGTCCTATTCCCAGAATGTGCGTCGGTGGCACAGCGGTTAGGACTCTCGCCGACCATGCACATGGTCCGAGGTTCGATTCCCCGCCGACGCACACCTGATATCTATGGTCGGCCTGCTAAATTTGGGCTACCGATATCACATGCTGAAAATTTCATACTTGTACCAAAATACTGTGCGGAATCAACCTACAATAAAAAAAAGTTGACTCGGATAACAATTCAGCCAAAACATTTGCATTCTAAGCTACAAATGTTTATTACCATTTGCATATAAGTCTTCATTTTTAAACAGGGTGTTTATATGAAAACCAGAAAGTGCTTCCTAAATCTACAGAAGGATTTACTGTACAGTATTTTCCTTTTTATAAGATCTCATTTGCGTCATACACAGTCTTTATACTTTTTAATCCAATGATCATTATTTCTCCACTTTTCGTCTGCAAAATATTTCTACAAATTAGGCTACATTAATTTTTCTTCTTCTAATTATTCAAGGCGAATTTCATACAGTTCAACATATTCTAATTCTTAGCAAGTCAAATGATGAGAATCCAACTGTTATTTATCAGAGCAAGTTAATTTTTCATGGATATTCACCAACTATAACAATACCACAAGAAGTAAAATTCAATCCAGGTAATCGGTTTATTTTACTTATTAGTCGATTAAATATTAGAATATTTGAAAATCACATGCAGGAGTATATTTTAATACTGTATTCATTTGTTTGGTAATTAGCATCAGTAACTGTAGATCATGTTTTATTCACTTCTACAGCACATTAAATTATCACCGTCTCCGGAACACTTCGTTTGAGAGTGATTGTTTTCGATAAATGTCATGGTATCCAAAAAGCAGAAAAAATATCTGTCTAAAAACTACAGTACCACAATTTTCAAGTATTGGTTAGAGAACCACTGGAAAACCTGGGAGTACTGGACAGCCGTTTCATCCTAGTTTGGGACTCTTCATCAGTACGCACCCACGGGAGTTCAAACCCTGGACCTTCTGGTTACAAGGCGAACCAGCTCGTTGATGATTAAGCCGCTGGGACCCGATCCAATGGGCAGCTCATGAATTCCAACTTCTACCAATTTACGACATGAAGCGATCACTTCGCAATATCTTCGATGAGTTACTGCCTCATCTTCAACCTGCTATACCCTACTGGTTACGGCTTCCCACGAGAACCCCAGGTCACTGCCTGAACAGGGCCAGTTGCTAAAGAGCATCAGATTAATTTTCAAGTATTGGCTTTGTAGGGATTTTGTTTGATTGGATGGAGGAGCTCATCATATGCTGACACCACAATTACAAGCAACAGTGATAAATAACAAAAGTATAAAGGCTGAAACACAAGGTTTCTCATTTTTCGATCACGATACCAAGAAGAAAGTAAAAACAATCCTTATATATACATATATATAAATATATAAATCAAACAATATTTGTGTCACACGTTAAAGCATAGTTAAATATGAAAGTCACTTGAATGCATACGATGAGCTAGAGGGAGCAGTATAAATAAAGACTCTACTTTCTCTCGATTTGGCAGTTTTCTTTTTGATTAAACCAAGATTTTATAAATATGGAACTCCTAGTGTAGGTGCCTTCCAAATACACACAGAGTCCAGTTTCATTTAGTTGCATTAAGTTTGCGAGTTTAGTTGTCCTTAATACTGCAATAAATAGTCTCAAACACAATGAATGCGATCGTAACCTTTTATTAGGAAGATACTACCTAATTTGTTAAGATTATCAGTAAGCCAGCTAATGATATCAACCTAAAATCTAATTTAACTATAATAAAAACAAACAGTATTAGACCCCATAAACTGTGGTAACAATTAAGTCAGCTGCCACTGTCAGAGCAGGCTTTGATTCACTCTGATCGATACCAATGGCTTTAGTCATACATAATAGATAATATTTTGTGCCTTAAGGTAAATTAGTCCGCACTAGATACCGCATTGATCTATTTTGTTTTTGTAATATTCACTGTCTCCCAAATAAGATTAAGTAGCACTAATTTAGAAGCATTTAGACACTGGTAGAATATACTTCCATATTAGATAAGTTCATTTGAAATAACACATGACGATACAGTATTAATAAATGGAAGAAGTTTCGGACACAGTATATTGCTCATAATCATGCCGTTGTCATTAATATGATTAGTTATGGCTTATCTTACCGTGTAATACACCAGATCAATAGGTCTAGTAAGAAATTACTCTCTACTCTACTCTCTCTAAATAAAAATAAAAATTCAGTAGCAAGCATCCTTATCAAAATAATATGTAGCATATTCTTATAATATTATTCCATGGTCACTTCAGTAATGTACTATGACTTTGAAAGAACTATACACGCCAGGCTTAAATACTTCATGTCTCATATCAAAAGTAGGATGAATCAAGCAATTTGTATTTGTTCAAAATAGATGAATAACTATACTCTTGTTTGCAGGTATCGTTCCTACATGGGGTCATGAAGTTGGCAGGAACACAGATCGTGTCACATTTGGATCGAATTATGAATGCCCACGGGCGGCAATTATCAGTCTCATGAGTATGAAAAGTTTGAAAGGCTTACAATCTCATGTGTCCAGATTTGAGACACTAGCTAAATTATCAACAAAAATTGCTTTTCCAAATGACAGATACGCCAGTGTTAGACCAACTAACAAGCAAGATGAATTCAAGTAAGCAGTTTAAAGTTCATTCATGCTTTAACCTTTAAAGACTTTTCTTGAATTCATTACTTAAATTATGATATTCCTGAAAATTATTCTCATTAGAACAAAATAACTCAGTGTGTGAATGAATAATATCTAATCACTTTTACTATTATTCAGAATGCTTGAGTGAACACCTTTCTTAATTACAAAAAGACAGTTACACATTGTTTGTTCAACCACATGACTGGTCACTGCACATCAACCCTTGAATCCTGGAGAAGATTGTCTGAATTAAGAATGGCGGTGTAGTTAGTAGACAACTATGATATACCTGAAAATCGTTCACAGTGACACAAATTTTTCAAATTTTATTATTCGAAATTGGAAACATTTTTATACACCTTCAATTTATTATTCATTCTTGGATGTTAGGCATGCAGAGGTTTGACTAATTTCAAGTAGATATACACCACGAATTGATATGAGTTCATTTTAGAAATCTTTGAATATACATGTGTTTGATTGATGGAAATAATATTCCGAATTTTAATGAATGCATAAAATTCTGCAGAGTTTTGTGAATAAAAACTATATGGAAATAGGGAACAGAAATTGAATAGATACAGGAAAGGGAGCTTCCAATGTTAGATTGTAGCGTAAAAAGAAAAGAAGATGAGAAGTTAAACACTAGTGTTTACAGGAAACCCACACATTCAAACAGATATTTCAACTTCCGATCATCCCATCCTATGTCAGTGAAAATAGGATTGGTGAAGTGTTTAAATACTAGAGCACAAGAACTAAGTAGTACCGAAGAAAATCTATGACAGGAAGTGAGGCATGTAAGAGAAGCTTTGAAACTTAATAATTACATTGATAAATTAGTCAGAAAGTGTGTAGGGAAATGTAAAAATAAAATAAATAATGATAGTAGTAATAGTGATAATAATGATATTAATGACGAAAGGCATGTCAAACATGTGCAAGATAATGACAACACCAACAATAAGGATTCTAAATCACCAGTAGTAATTCCATACAAGGAAGGAACCTGGGAAACCTTACACAGAATTCTTAACTAGGCAGGAATAAAATTGGCATTCAAACCCACAAACTCAATTAGAAACAAGCTTTGTTGGTTAAAGGATCCTGTGGAGCTGTTAAAAAGAAACAATTTAGTTTATCTAATACCCTACCTGCAATGATTGTCAGGTCAAATACATAGGTCAAAGTAGTGGAGAGTGGTAAGTCAGACTAGCCGAGCATAAGAACCTAGCAAAATCTAGATTAGTTGACCCGAATAAGATAAGAAATCTAGAGAATAGTTCAGTTATAGCACTACATGCAACTACATACAACCACACAATAGGATGGATGGGATAAGATGACAGTTTTAAAACTTAATGTAACAGCGTGGAAGGAGAGATTGATAACAGAAGCTTTGTTTATCGAATCAAATGAGAGAGAATACGTGTAATAGGAATGATTCAACACCTGTCCCAGATATCTGGAAAATTCTACCACCCCTACAACAAATAGGAGGGAACAAAGAAAACCATAAAACTCAAATTTTGAAGTCGTGTGATTATAATTGATGAAATGATTATGAACAATAAATTTTGTTCGAAACGTCATCCAGTAAATAATACTTTTATACTGTGTGATATATCTAATAAACAATCTAATATGGAATGACTTATTACCACAGTGCCCAAGTCTTACAAATACATATAAACATACCTATGTAACTCATGCTGAAAGCCTATTAGAAATATGTGAAGTGAATTATGAACAGTTCACATATTATATAACCTTTGAAATGTGAACCAATACCATTATATAAGGACGCAGATTTTCACTGAAACTTGTTGTTATCATCTTCATTGTGGAATTTCACTGTAGACTGTACACTCTGCACTCATCTGACTTGATTAGTTCACCTCGTTTAAATTTCCTTATTATTTCACAAACTAACAGTTAATTAATATTTTTTCGTTGCAGAACTTTGTTTTGCCGTTTGGCAAGATATACATATACAGATCCAGATTATGAATGGAACGAAGAAGAAATGCAGAACATATCGAAAAGACAGTTAACTTATTCTGAAGTTTATCGAGATCATGCTCAACTGATAAAACGCATTCAAGACGATCGAAAGTTAATGAGATGGAATGAACCACCTAATGATGGTGTTGTTTTAATGGAGTTAGATAAATTATCACCAAGACTGGGAATAGAAGATTTTGAAGAATTTAAACAAGGTAAGTATCTGCGTTATAAGTTAATTTTTATCAAAGTAATCGATCATAGAGGCAAATAAGGAAGAAGTTAGTGATAATGTTAATTTATACAGCAGAAGCTGTCATTACAATGAAACGAATTCATAGGATCGAATGTTTTCCAACTCGAAGATGTAATACCACCGTGCCTATCCCAAGGTCTATGAAATATTTTTATGCACAAAAAGCTTTTTAGCATCGGTGGATCTCTCAGAAGTCGAAGTTCTATCCATGTACTTATGCAGCATGATGTAGACCCAGGAATTTCATCAAGTAGACTTTAGAGTTTTAAAAACACTAAAAGGTATACCTAGAATCATCTCAGTACCATATGTGAACCAATGAAATTCATACTAATAAAAATGAGAGTATGTGCCTGATACAAAAAGAGAGGCAGTCAAAATATAAGCACATACATGTATCGATAAAGTAGGTGACTAAGTAGTTTGGTTTCGGGGGATTTACTTAATTTTAAGACCATGAAGTATGAGAGAAGATAAATTCCATGTACTGCAGTATTCAGATTACCGAAAATCTTTGAGAATGAAAAAATTCTCCACCACGATAGAAAAAGCTCAAGTTCAGACTTTTATTAATCAATAACCACAAAAGACAATTCCGTTATCATCTTAGCAATGGAAAGGGCCACAGCTATTGAAGATACAAGCATCCAACGTAGAGGTTATAGTCAATCAGTTACAGTTTATAACGGCTGATTCAAATAAGCGAATAAAATATTCGGGCCTCAGTTAGTTATCTGATCACACTGGTTAACGGAGGCGACTAAAACAAGGTCAGTTGAAAGAAATCTGTATAGGTACTCGTAAAGGACCATTATCTCCATCAAATTCAACTAAATTAGGACTAGAATATCACTAAAAGTTCTGCTAGTAAAACTTTCTACTCCAGAAGAAATGTCTGTCAGAAAATTCGCGTCATGAGATGCAGACATCTTCTCTCTCTCTCTTCGACAAGGAAGATAAAAGAATACTTATTTCTAAAGACATAAGGTTATGGTTTCGAAATAATAGAGAAGATTTGTAGCTCAGGTGGTTGGTTTGCAATTAATAGTGTTATCTGAGCTGGTTGGTTTAGTTGCGGATAGTTACCAGGAGACGCAATTATATCACTCATCAAGAAATTTAAATCATTTCACTTTAGGCAAAATATTGCGCTTAAGATGTTGTCCAGAAGGACGACGAAAGCTCCGCAACTAAACCAATCAGCTCAGAGAAGACTATTAATTGCAAATAAGGTTATGGTGTCATCAAAAATGGCTTCAATAGCCTCTTGAAGACAAATATGCAACAAGTAATATGAACAATTACGAATAGCTAGAAAGCTAATGTGGCGTCAATCTGGTTGCCTGAATAAATTAGCTGGAACCGAATGGAGCTGGTTATGGTCTTCATCTCCTTCTGGCTAGCTATACTGAAAGTTATCATTTTTTGGATTGACAAACGGACTATATATATATATATATATATATATATAACTGATTAATATGAGTAGTTGGACGCCACTCACGTAAACTGGTAATGCTTGCCAGCCAGATCGAAGTGATATAAACTCTGGACAGTTGTTTTGTTCCCGAGGTCATCAGTGGTGCGGGTCGTTCGACTCAGATCAGTGGGCCGAATCAGCTCAAATGGCTATGATTCTGGTCGGCCATTTCAGCCATCTGGTGACACATTGGATCGAATTCTCTATTTGCAATTCATACGGTCCACGGTGAAATGTCGCCACAATTTCCTTCGGAAATTGAAATTATTCAAACCACAATGTGTAATCTGCTTCAAATCATAAACGGTGTTCAAGAAAGCAAGCATAAATGCTTGGTGCTATATGCTAACGCAATTATTTACATCAATCAACCAGTCAGTAATATGTAGCACTATGCATTTATGCTTGCCTTCCTGATTGATATTTATGGTGTCAGGGTGGTCTGATCAATTTTGGTTTCCATAGAAAACTATGGCAAAGACTGAGCTTGAACTGTGCAAATTAGTTGCAAGTTTAGAATTTGATCCACATAAAATACACCTGTGTTTGATAAGAGATGCAATGGATTAGGAAAATTTATTGTTCATAAACCAATAAAATACAAAGAACATGGTTATCGAAACTGAAAGTGGGATGAGTGAAAATTTCATAAATGGTTACACTTTCAGCACATATTTTTCCTGGATCCTTTATATGGTAATGTAAGCTACTAAAATAGTTAATAATAATGTAGCAGGAAAGTGTTAGGTGTGTGTGTATTTCTAGTCTGTCATTGACTACAGATCCTCACAAATGGTTATTTATCTCTAATTATTTCTAGCAATTTATAAAGGAGGCAAACTACAGCCAATAAGTGACAGGAAAATTACCGAAAGCACAAAAAAGGACACTAAGAAAAAGGTATAAATATTTATTTTTTTAAAATGTGTTCTGTCTATATGAAACATATTTATTGTAATGCATTATATTCTTAAGAAAAGTATTCATCGTAATAACTTTCAGCTTACAACTTACATTTGCTTGAGTCATCGGCACTGTTCGAGTACATGCATATTGAGGATGGAACATGAGATAATGAACTCTTACATAGGGCATTTTAATATTGAACTGTTAAGTTGGATTTTAGTCACCTGTAACTGACAATATATTATCATTCATAAAAATATTGCACAACTGTGATTCAGAGTCATTGGAAAGTAATTGTATTTACCCTCAACTATGCCTGTTCTACCAATCATAGCCTTTAATAAGTACTAATGGAAATATAATCTACAGCTATTTAATAGTGGTGTGCTGGTATTTGCGTTGATGGCACAGCGGTAGAATGCTCGCCAACCACGCATGTGATTCGGGGTTCGACTCCTGGCCACTGACGTACTCCTTTACCTCGCTAAGCCAGGAATAAGACTTGTAAAGAAGGAAGGTTGGGCATGAGGCTAGCAACCCTATTCCGTAAAAATAAACACCACTGCTATGGAAACTTCAAGCCTCTAGCCTGAAGCCCTGTGTTCTACTGGGAACGTAAAGGAATAAAAAAAAAAATAAAAAATACTGATGTTCACTTCGGGGGTTGGTGAGACAGTAATAAGTTTTAAAGTAGTAAAAACTCGAGTGATATTGATTCGTTTTAGGTGAATATCATACAAAAGTTTTGATGAAGATAAACTGAAAACAAAGTAATTTCAAACAAACTTTAGTGCCTGAAAAGTTGAATGAAATCCATTTTTATGTGTATTGTTCATTCCAATGATAACGTGTAATCACTAATTTTCTATTCATAAAAGTTGTTTTCTTATTTCTTATTAAAAGAAGAAGGCAGTAAAAGTGTTACCTCTTAAACCGGTAGCGAAAAGCACAGCCAATGAAGAGTGCAACTGGACGTTAACAGTTAAGGATATTGATGAGATATCTATACGTAAGTTGTAATTCTTCCAGAATAACAAAACGAGAAAAACAACCATCTGTTTATATTGTTGTTTTTAAAAACTTTATTTAACACAGAATTCAGTACTGAAAAGGTCTTTGATATCCTCAACGATGAAGTAATTTGGTAACTGATACAATGGTGTGGAATGCAGTGGAGCAAACATTTATATATCTCAGTTGCTAGCAATATGTCAAGCAGTTTTACAATAGAAGGCTCACAGAAGCGTTAGGAGTAAAGACAGGAGTAAGACGAAGCCGTCTACTTTCATTGATAATCTTACTAATTTTGATGGGCCAGATTATGTGGAAGACTGTGAGGAGTAAGAAGACGAGCATACAGTGGACCGAAAACAGGTCATAGGAGATTTAGATTTCGTGAATGGTTTATATTTCACAAACTCGAAGACTTACGATTGGAAACCAGCAAGTTGACAAAAGGGGTAGCAAAGACAACTTCAAGTGAACATAGAGAAGACGGAGGTGATGAGGATACCCAACCAACAACAAGCAAGAATCCCTGACAACGGGAAAAATCTGAAGGAAGTCACTTGTTTCGCTTATCTAGACAACGTCATTTCAAATACAGGGGCACTGACGAGGATGTAGAAGACAACCAGGAACTAACTGAAATCTGTGTAGAGATCAGCTGCATTTAACCCAAAGAACCAAATCTGAATTTTTAAAAATAATGTCATACAAATGCTTTTGCATGGTTCAGGGACCTGGAGTGCACGCCACAGCTGTCTTCGCTCCATACTGAAGATCAGATAGCCACCTGAAAACTGTAAGGAACAAGGAAGTGTGACGGCAGACCACTCCAGAACCAGTAACCCAACAAATGTGCGTAAGGAATTGAAGTTGGATTGAAAATCAGCTCAGGAGACCATTTGATGACATCACACTCTAGGCTCTCGAGTGGAACCCAGTTGGTAGTCGCAGGAGAGTGACAAGGAAAAGATTATGTGAAGAGGGAATGAAACTTTGTAGGCAGTCGCGGAGCGAGTTGAAAGTGATGTTAGCGAATCAACTATAGTAAAGATGTGCTGTTGAAGCTTCTCGCTTTCACGTGACTATTATCTCCAATATATTTTAATCTGTTTTCACACGCAACTGAGTTCTGCTTTGGATGAGTTAGATTTTATTCACCCATCTGGTATGTAAAAGAAGATAGGAATTGTCGTTACGACAATTGTAAGAGGCCAATAGTATAAGGAGGTTTATCAGGTTATTCGAAAACACTAGGATGTGTCCGCATTCTCGTTCACTCATAATCCCAAATGTTTGAATGGCTTACCAACAGACTGCATACTACAGTTTATTACACTAAATCGTATGTTTGCGTGTATTTATACGTGCTTACCTAGAAACCTGGCCTCCGAAAGATTTGAATTCATTAGCCATAACTAACGACAAACTATGTGACTAAAAATACAACAAGAAAGTTTACAGATACAGAAAGAATAAGTCATCTTAAAATAACTTTTTTAAGAAAAATAAGGAAAACCAGAAAAATATGCCTTTTCCTCAATTTTTTCCGGTTCTTCTAACAAATCTAAATTTATGTAGTGGATAATATCGAGTCACTGGTCATGACCAATGGGTGCAAACATTCATTGCCAAAAGTAAAGCAAATGATACAGCAACCTAAAGGGATGTTTACACTAAGCAGCATAGTTCTAGGATGAGATGTCCGATTAACATTTCGTGGATTTCAAATGTCTAGCACTAAGCTGAGAGCGATTTTTGATGTGATAGAATTTGGTGTAGTAATGTTTGAATCCGGTGCGCCATGTTTGAAAATCAAGCGCTTAGGCTGATGAGTCACATGTGATAATTGTTTGTAATACTAGCAAACTAGACTACAACATGGAGAGATAAAAGTCAGACACTTGTATTCAACAGAATTCAGATCAGTGATCAGGCGAAATTTTTTTTCAGATGACAGTGGGGAATTTATTTTTATTTTACTATTCCTTATTATTCTTTTTACTCATAGATCCAACAAAAGTCGAGTTTGAGCATATTTGTCCAGATACAGAATCAACGAAATTTATCACAATTACTAATCCATTGAATCAGTGTATTTCATTTAGACTAGACACTAATCAAGATGAATTCAAACCAACCACTATAAGATATTACGTAATACAACCAAGATCAAAACTTGATGTACCAATTAAAATAAAGATATCAAAATTATGCAGTTTTCAATGGTAAATAATATAGATTTGTTTTCATCATATAAGGTGATTTTTATGTGAAAAGTGCTAACCAGAAATTTATGGTGACTAGTTTCACATCGAATTGTGATTGTCTTCATAGCTCTTCATCTATGCTAGGATGTCGTTTTCGGTGCATCTTAATCCATACACTGTAAAATAAAATAAAGTCTTTCGACTACGATTACTTGATAGTCATGAAACCAGAAAATAATGAGCACTTATATCCAGTATGTCTGCTCACAATCATCTAACTAAAAACATCTGATCAGTCAATCTAGATATTGTTTGAAACTGAAATAATTTGAGTGGACAGTTAGTTTAGTGTTAAAGTTAGCTTTGTCGGGGGGTTGAGGAGAAATAACACCAAGATGGTACTTAAGCTATTCATGCCACACAAAGTTATGCACGCTGTATAAATATTTGCACATTTTCCAAGACTTTGAAACTATAGTGAAAAGTATTTATAGTAAAAAAAGAAACAATTTAAGGCCATTTAGTTACTCACAGTTGTGTACACATATTTTCCTAACTGTAATCAAACAGAAGCGGGGTATACAATCTGGAATGAAATAGACCTTATACGATGCGCAACACTGACTGAAACCTCTATTACTAACCTACACTGCTTCCTAGTGAAATAGTGAAATCGTAACTCCGGATGATTATTTTATCCGTTTGATTACTGGTAAAGAAACGGTAAATGTTTCCCGGATTTGGAGACGACAGAAGTGAGGTTTCAGCTCTATCAGGGCAACTGTAAATCACCTTGTGATAATACGTTACCCATTCGTCCTGTCACTTGGGTAAAAAATATCGAATTTTACAGTAATACTCACTGGATCACTTCAGTCTAATCGATGCGGATTATTGACTGATGAGAACTATTTTCAACTGCTAGTGCTAGTCAGCAGTTTACACCCTAGAAGCAACCTTAATTTCCTCACCCTCAGACTCACACCTAATAAAAATGAAGGTTACTCAGCAAAGTGTTAGTTTCAAAGCATTCCCTGTACTACTAAAAGTATTTCTTAACATGAATTGGCCGTCTTATGATAATTTATGGAGACATCTAGTCCTAACTGTTGGTCAAAGTCTGTCGTTCAGGTGTATGATTTGATCACTGGGTTAAGCTATACGACACAGAGGAACGTCAATCAAAACTTAATAATAATTCTGACAACCTACTTGCTGGCGTAATCCTCATCTTTAGAATGGCCTTGTTGGTAAAATTTATGACTTTAGAACTGAATAATACCAGTTTGAGTCTTAAATAGAACAAATGAAATTTGCTATTGAAAGTATAAATAGACACTAGGCATAGATCCATGCGTTTCTGCCAAATGATTCTGGACATCTAACACAACAGCGTGATCTACTAGAGAGTTATTGTTCGTGTTAATATTACGTCTGAGATGACTGTATAAAAGCGGATAAGTCCACAGAGGGTAATTATTGTAGCTGCTGCTAATATACCATAGTGCATTTTGTTTGCTGTCGGCGTTTACCAAGTGATCGACGGAAAACCGGGTAAACCTCGTGGTAAAAAACAAAGTTTGTTTTAAGTGGTATTTCTTAAATAAGACTGTTATAAAATGATATATCCGATTAAAGAATCAGCTGAGAAATTCATTAATTCTACGTTATTAAATGTCAGCAGTATATCTCACTAACATACTATTATTTCGACTGAATGAATCAGGCAAATTCTAGAATACTCTTGCTTCTATATCAATACAAAAGTTGTGTTCTTTAAATGTAACTCAACATTTTTTAACTATTTTTTTTCTTTACATAATTTTAGCAACTTGAATTTCTCAGTGAATGATCAGTATAAAAGTAATTTAGTTGTATGCGCAACAGTTGTACCGGTTGAATTAACTCTAGCTCCATCTTCAGTTGAACTAACATCAGCTAATTCGTCATGTGGTCTTATAAGAATAAGTGGAATGCGTGGATATGTTACACTATTCAATCCATTGCATGCTGCAGCGAAATTCCACTGGCAGTCAGCCGGTACTCAAAATCCATTTACAATACGTCCGAAATCAGGTAAGACAATTCTTTTGCCCTTAAAATTGTGCGTCGGTGGCACAGTGGTTAGGACTCCCGCCGACCATGCACATGGTCCGGGGTTCGATCCCCTACCGACGCACACCCGATATCTATGGTCGGCCTGCAAAATTTGGGCTACCGATATCACATGCTGAAAATTCCACACCTGTACCAAAAAATACAGTGTGGAATCAAGCTGTAATCAAAAAAAAATTTATACATAAGTATAAATAACAGTTTTATATAATAACTTTTACATATAAAGGGTTGGTTTGCAGGGATTCGGTTGGTTACAAACTGATGTCGTTTAGAGAGCCATCGGTAAACCATAGATTACTGGACAGCGGTTTCGTCCTAGAGTCTCAAGGGCTCTACTATCTGAGCTGAGAGAATCATGCAGCAGTTCAGGTTTTCGTTCCACTTTTAATTTTCATCCATAACATCAGCAATATTTCGCTTAACACAAATCTACTTCAGAAATTGCCACCAAGAATTTAGAAATTATTTGCTGGTTAAAATGTTTCTAAAGAGGTTTTTCTTACAAGTAACTGCATACCTCAAATGAACTGTCGTCAAGATTTGACAGAATAGTTCTAAAATATTTGGGCGCCGAGTGAGAAGTAGACATTTTTAAAAATTTTCTACAACAGTTTGCCCACACACGCATGCACACTCTGTTTAAAATGTTTAACAAAGGTAGACCAATATTTGTAAGTCTCAGGTCAAATTTTGATCACAGCTCATACAATTTTGTTGATTATACTTGTTAATACTTGTTTTATGAATCATGATTGGACAAAGTTCTTAAAAACAAAAGATGTGCCTTTTATATATAAACCTCTGTTATGTTAATTTTGATTAATTTCCCTGAAGAAGTTCGGACGAGATTGCCGAACGAAACGTTGGAATTACTCATTTCAATATCGCTGAGATTTTACAAATATAATTTTTTTTACAAATGTCTAACTGACTACCTGATAATTCAATCGCTAATTCAACTGCTTTGCATTGAAAACTGCATTAGGCAAACCACACATTTTAGCTTTCAACACAGAAATTTAGTGAATTATCACCTGTCATCTTGGAATCTGTTATGATACCCAACTAATAAGCTTGCTTACCAACAAAAACCAAACTACCTGCTATCGGAAGTCCCTGTTGCTTCAGAGATTTCACAATGTGCACCAACTTCAGTGAACTAAATGATGATCCAATATTTGTTGTCCTAATTTATTTGACGATACTCGTGAGGTAATGCACTGCGCATCAAAGAGTGAGAGAACAGATTAGAAATTAGTTTCGTTTAAATTAACAACTCTGAAGTTATTCAAAAATTACTGGGTTCTGACCACATGTCTTTCCTGCATTCCTCCCTTTAGGTAGTAATACTACAATAAACAGGCAAACCAGTCAGTGAGACAGTGACCTTTCACTCACTAAGGTGATCGAGATATTTACGATGCACAGGTAGAGTCAAGGAACAGTATTCCATGCAATAATATTGAGTCAGTTAAAATTTAGATATGATCAGACTGAGACGAAACATCTATAAGTGAAGCTAGTTCGAGAGATATAGAGGTGTAGACTGATCAGCTGGAGTATGATTGCTGGCAACTAGCCAAGGCATAAGTGAAATTCATTAATTGCTTCATAAATTCATTCAGTCTTTACCATTTTAGGAGTTTTGGAAACTTTCACTGATCTTAATTATTTTGTGTCCTCTCAAGGTCATATTTGTCTACTGTAATATCTATCTGTGGATTTTCTCTTTCTGTGCTATTGTGACCAAGCATAGTAAAATGAACCAGAGTACTTCACTGTCAAGCATCCTGGAGATATACTTATCTATCCGTCTATAAAATTTATGTCTGAAAATAATGTTTTTCAACATACTTTTGCTCTATCATTTATGAGTACAATTTTAATCTACTAATTTATAGCTAGAACCTGGGTTTAACTATTGTTTGTCTTACAGGCATAGTGGAACCATTTTCTTCCTTGAATTGTGAAATAGTTTTCTATCCATGCCAGAGAAATACTTCAATGGAAGGTAGATTTCAGTTAAAAATGCCAGGAGTTGATGAGAAAGAAATGAGCACACCTTCTACTACAACCGAAGGTTATAAAGCAATTGAATTATTATGCACAGCAAAATTGTTACCCAGTAAATTATCATTCTCTACACGCCGATTAACACTTGGATCAATAGCACACGGCTTACCATGTACACGTCAAATTACTGTATTTAACTTAGGACAAAATTCGATTCTTTTCACTATTAACAAAGACTTTAAAAACATAGTCAACCTTAACGGTGGTATGTCATCGTATATGCACAGGTTGTCAGGAGCTCTACCTGCCAAAGTTGAAATGGAAGTTAGTCCAACAGAAGGCGAAATTCCTGTTGGTGGTGAAATTACTTTAAAGGTAATATTTTACGTGTATAATTATTAATAACTTTTTTCTCTGAATATTTTTTCGCATTCAGTATTCAGTGGAAGAAATTGCATTAGATGTATTTTTTATTGAGCATTTTTTGTGCCAAAGTGATCAAACTCAGTAATATTTGAGCAGTAAATTTTCAAGGCTGATATGTTGACGAAATGTGATTGGGGAGTTAACATGGAATATTTTAGAGTGGAGATGGTGGTAACAAGCACTATATATATATATATATATATATATATATATATGAATATATCATTAACTAGTCATATACTAATGCAAACATTTTGTGGTTGCCATGGTACTAAAGTACACATCAGAGATACGCTTTCACATTCACTAATTCGAAAAGTAATTCAACAGATGTAATTTTTTCAAGTCTTTGATTTTCTTCTTGAACCTTACAAACTCTTCCCATTATTTTGAGCAGTTTAGATCAAATAATGTATTGTCGAAACACAGTTCATGCGCTTCCATTGCTAAAGCACCAGAAAAATGTTATTCTATAGAAGAAGTACCTATTTCCAAAAGTCTCATGTTAATATCTATTTTATTTATTGTGTTGTGGCTTATATTTATAATTCAATTTACTTTCTTCTTAATTAAGGTCACGTGTTTACCGATTGGTTTAGGCAAATTCGAATCCACCATGATACTTAGTACATATGATGGTCAAAATATTGATTTGTCCGTGTGTGGTTCAGTTCTTAAGCCACAGATTGAACTTGTTTCAAACACATTTGAGTTCGGCGGTAAGTGCATGCTATCATTTCTTAGTATTACTACTAGGTTGTCATGAGAATAATCGTAAAGCTTTTCAGTGATTTATAGGAAAACAGTATTTTTTTGCTTTATTGACACTACTGCTGACCTCTGGCTACTTAAAGAAACAGATTACTTCACGTACTTCAAGTAGATCTGAAAACGCTCGATTTCACTAGACACTCAATAAATTGAGCCTAATTTTGGTGAATAAAACAGGGAACCACTGATTAATGCATAAAATGTAAGTCTGGAGAGGTGGTACATAACTCAAAAATTAAAATACGAACATATATATATTGGGACAGCGATACCAGTGTCAGGATACTCGATTTGGAACTTCATTCTACTAAGTAGCTCATTCCAAATCTAGAAATAGGGAGTGTAGAACATTTGATGCAGCAAACAGAACTGTACGCGTGGCAGCTAAATGACATTTCTGTTGGATCTACAAAACAAAATCGAAGCATAAACTATGCTAAAGAATGTCAACTCATATATTGTAGATCCTCAAAAATGCAAAGAAAACAGACTAGTGGCCCCTGAAGTCCTTCAAGCACAAGTATTTATTTATTAAACTGCCTTTTAAAAGAGATTATGTGATTGAATTATCTAAGAGCTGGCTAGGGAAAGAAACATTATCATAGGTAGCTATACGGCCAAGTTCATACTTCTGAGGACCACCGAACATTTGATGTAACCATTAAGAAAAGATATATATATATTCGAATGTATTTGAACAAGCAAATGCAGTCTTAGGCAGAACGCTTTATTCAAATAATCCGGCTTTTTACCAAATGTTTTATTTCCGTTCGTAGAATATTAGCCTTTTCACTACTCCAATACCCTTGGGTTTATCTTTTTTAGTAGCTCACTGTTTTATCGCTACCTTCCCTATTGTTTAAATGACCTTCTCATGACTTCAGTATTCAGATAATGATAACTAGGAGACACATTTTAAACAAATAACATTTTCTGTGATTTCTAATCAGGCCTCACAATTGTAAGAGGCCTAGATGTTTTCAATAAATGGAGCACTGTCCATAATAAGTCATGGACTGGTCAGATTATTCTTTCCCCTTGCACAAAATGGAAATCTGACCACAGCTTACTTTGATGTTTTCAGCTAGAAAAATTTGTGAAGTGAGGAAGGTAATTAAATCACTATTTAGGAACTTATATCTCAAAAGGTTTACAAAATTTGCTGTACTGAGAGCATTTTGGGAGACAGTAGGGAAGAAGTGTCAGCATCCAACCTTACTGTTCAAGGGAGGTGTAGAGAAACATTGGCTCAAAACATCTTAGTCACAGTGCTATGTGTAAAACTAACTAATACAGGTGGAGCATAAACTAATGAGTCTGGTCACTTCAGTGTGCCTTATAAATAACTGCTCTTATGCAGAATAACTCAACAAATCCATCTTCGCTTTATCTAACATTGTCAAATATGCTTGGAAAAAGGAATAGCAAAGTCTATTGTGAGTTATATGCTTACACATCTAGTAAAACAAGTAATGAAATTTCAACTTTTCATCATTACGTACTCTGCATTATCTCATAAAATTTAAGAAAGATGTGTTTTCAAGAAACAATCTGAAAACAAATAAAGACGTAGTTCTTAATCATAGTTTGATAGCTCACAGGGGTAAAGATTTTTCATTATAAATTCAAGAGGTCTGTTTCAAGGTTACTCACAAATGAGTATTACATCAGATAGACAAAGTCAATTTCAGATGTTTTTCATTATTATGATTCTATTTGTACATTTTATATTTGTCAGGAGGATATTAATGCAGATTTGATGACAAAGAAGTGGTAGGATATATTGTGTTTTGTTCTGTTTATTTGCGTGTTGATGTTCTTTTAAATGTACCACTGTACATTACAGTGGACTAAATTGGGAAGTCCTAATAAAAGTAAAGGTAACAGCACCTATTAAAGTGATACGGTTCAGTGTTTCAGTGTTGTTTAGTATTTTGACACTCAGCTTATGGAAAACCTTACAAAGTGAGGAGGATTAGTGTTTTTGAAGACTTTTAAGTCATATTTTCTGCGCATTGAGATGATTATTTTGCAACGTACTAAACAGAATTTAATGAATCCGAGGAAGACAGTTATTCGTTGCCAAAACAAATAAATTAGCTTAAGAGTGGGAATTTACGAAGGTTACGGCTTTTGCTAGTGAAATCAGTGTAAGTAGTATATAGTGAAATATCGAGAAAAGTCACAAACAACTCTGAAAATCCGTAGGAAGAAATACCTGAATATCACTTAGCAATACAGAAGAGAAGGAAATTAAGGGGAAGAAGAAGACGAATAAAAGCAGGTAGCTAGAATAAAATCAACAATATATTTATCTCCCAAAAAACTCCACAACTATGGGGATAATAGATGTCAGAAAATGATATAGCATTTCCACCTATTAGGTTGTGATGGTGTCTCAATTAGACGCCAAGCTAAGTTCTATGCGTCATCTGCTGCTGAATATACCAATTCCCTTTCGTGCATCGTATTCCATTTTGAAAACTTCTTATGGCTTAACTGCATGAGAAAATGCATACTGTTATGGTTCTGTTGTTCAAATGTTTAAGTTTCATGATATCAGTCCAATATACCTTTTGTTTGTTCACGTATTCTGCATGACAAAGTGCACAGTTTGCCTAATATATATTTTGGTTTTGCCTTTTATTGAAATATTGTCCATTTTAGTTACTTCTTTCATTGTTCCCCTAAATTACGCCAGTTTACTCAATTGTCCATTCTTCCTAAAACTTGATAAAATTACTCTTCTCCACAAATGTTTTATAATATAGTTGTGGATGAGACTAACTCAGATATCCTTAGGCCATAAAAATGATGTAATGTAATTAGACGACCAGTGAAACTGATTGAAGATATGGGTTTCCACACTAATGACCTAGAAAGTAATCAGAAAAAATAGGTTATTCCACAGTTGCACATTTCAGAATGTACCAAAATAAAAGATATCAGTAGAGTTCGTTATGTAACAAATGCAAATTGTTTTTGAAATGGAGTATCATACGTCAATATTTACCAGCTGAACACAGAGTTATTAGGTTCCCATTATAATACTTAGGAAGTCTGATTAGCGTCGGAGGTAGTATAACACCTGATTTATAGCAGAATAATTAAAATTTAACAAAGATATTGTAAGAAATTGACACAACCTAGTTAGAACAATAAAACGATACAGTAAAGGTCACAATGTGAAAAGGCAAGACAACTGTAGATCTTATGAAAAAGAAATATCATCTAGAAAACCACTGAAAGCTAAGCGCAAACCGAGTCTAAGGATTAAGACTTGGTACTGGGGACTTTGTCGCTTGCTCACTAAGTGATTTGCGATTCCCAAAACCCGTGAATTTACCATAACACAAATGTCAACAGACTTTATAAGTGATTAAATGTTCTTAAGCTCAACTATGTGGGCTACGGTGGTCGACAAATATTCGCCAGACCTTTGAGAAATTCACTCTAATGGTAGTCACTAATTCGAAGTGGACTGACATTCATATGCTAGGTAGGTTTTAACTAAAAAGAATTAAAAGTCTTGGGAATGACTAATGTTTAGCTGTAATTAACAAGACAATAAGATGTATGAATAAAAAATCATACTAAATCACCAGATAATGAAAGATAAACCGCAAAATCCTCTTGTACACAGATTAAAATTGAGAAATTACGGCAACTCCCCCAAAACACAATATTTTCATTTTTTATTCCATCACGTTCCCAGTGGAACACAGGGCTTCAAGCTAGAGTCCTGAAGTTTCGGTAGCAGTGGTGTTTATTTTTACGGGATAGGGTTGCTAGCCTCATGCCCAACCTTCCTCCTTTACCAGTCTTATTACTGGCTTAGCGAGGTAAAGGAGTGCGTCAGTGGCCGGGAATCGAACCCCAGATCACATGCTTGGTTGGCAAGCATTCTACCGCTGTACCACCGACGCACCATTTCATCACTGATCACACGAAGAGTTGAGCTCCAATCAATCAGATGATTCGTATCAAGCATCTTGCAGTCAGTAGGACCGTTAGACGCTGAATCGAAGTGACAGATATTTTCTGGTGTACATACTTCAATAATAGGTGTCTTGGCAGTCCTTGTACAATAGATGACTCCTATCATTTAACAGTCTAGTAGATAAAATGTTATCGTCTGCAATGGTAGGCTCTGTGAATGAGTCTTAGTGAAAATCAGCATCATTTACTGAGGTTCAGGTAAATCTAAACGATAACCCATAAACTGAATCCGAAGTGTGTTGCAGATTCTGTTGATAAGCATTACAAAACAAAGATGTTAACATATTTTCTGAATTAATCTGTTTCATTTTGTTTTCTTTTAGGTGTGAGAGTAGGATCAATTAAATCGCTCCCATTCGGTATAATTAATAATGGTATCACTCGTGCACTAGTTGAGATCAGTTTAGACAAATACAATGAATTTCAAATATTAGACAATAACAAATCCCTTACAACAGATGAATGTATGGATGAACATATTAACATGAACGAAATGGTAGCTTCTACAAAGAGTCAATTAAGTAGTTCATCTCAATTCAATAAATCAGAAAAGCAGTCTGTAGTTGGTATTACAAATCTGAACTCTCATAATTATTTGGAGTACGATAAAACGTCTGAGGTATATCGGATTTTTATATCACCTAAAGCTAAATGGATTGGGAGTATAATCTACAAGCCAAAAGTTGTAAGTGATTCTGTTCAAATATAATCTTACTTTATTCCTTTAGTTGAAATTAAATGAAAATAACTAAATATACTTAAATTTTGACAAAGCAATAATAAGACATAATTTGTCTGAATCGTGTAGTGTATTTGCACAACACATTTCGAACAATCTGAACACACGCGGACTTGTCATAGGAATATATATGAAATTAATAAAGAGTTAAGAGGTGAGAAAATAAATTTAGGTCAAGTTAAAAGGACATATTGAAGGTCAAATAACAATGAAGATTACTAAACCAAATAAGAGAGGTAATAGTACATCTGCTGTGGTATCGAAACAAAGTTTACCAAAGGAGGTTTAGTGTGATGACAAATTGTTTTGGAACTCATTAAGATGGTCTGAACTTTTTAATTGCTCGGGTTTCCACAAACTTTAGGATTCGCCCCAAAACACACTTTATAGACAGATTTAAAAGACGTGAAAACTTCATTTTTATGTTCTGTCTGTATATTATGTTTCGTGATAGAGCAGCTAGGTCTCCTGTTCTCTACATTGAAAGGTTCTAGGGATTCCATTTGATTCTGAAGCCATTTAGGAATATGCTCTGAAGCCCTAACTTGCAGAGATCAGTGACTCCTCCCTATTTATATGTGTCCACACGTGCATACAAATTGGTAAATACAGTCGGATGTGACATCATTTTTCGCATGATCAAACAGCTTAGATGGATATATCGGCTTCACATTCCCAATTATTGTGATATTAGCTGCATAAAAAGTCTTTTTAACCGGAATTTTCAATCTCTGTTAAGTCGTCAAGTTGCTATGATCACCCATATAGGGTAGCTTAATGTACGCGTCTTTCTTAGCGGTGAGTTGGAGAGTGGGTCTAAAAGGTGATGAATTATTTTATTTGAAAAACATTATGCAGTTATACTAATACCCTGAGCCACTTTTGACCCATATCAATGAAATTTTGTAAAACAACTGGAGCAAAGTAAAATTGCATAACTGCTTTGCATGTGAAAGAGGATTTCAGTGTAGAATATTACAAGAATCTATGAAAATAAATTTTACCCACAATGGTAAATGTAAAATTGGTTCAGATATATATATATATATATATATATATAAAGGTAAGAATTCCCTATCTACCTTCATACTTATTATTAGAAACCTATCACTGGAATGCTTTTAAATTCGTCTTAATCTATGCATTTCTGTTCAGTGACAGGATTAACATTTGATTCAGTAACTCTTGCGCTGAAAACACCTGCTACACACCAATGCATTAAAGAATGACGAGCAGATAGTGAAGTGGGCCTGAAATTCTTTGGAATCTTAGGCTGGTGGCCACATGATCAAGTTCTTCTCGAAGAACAGAATCATGAGAGTAATGAGTGTTGCGATTACGAGTTGTCACATGTCAGATGTAACTTGTAGTAATGGGTTTTACCTTTAACTTTGAAGAGTGTATCAGAAAACGAAATTCCATAACTAGACAGAAGTTGGAGATTGAAGTTTCGCCTGGAGGCTAAACACACTGATAGCGAGTGAAAACGGAATTCTGTCAGTTTATTCCTAAAAATGACTCTAGTCAAAAAAATTAAGCTTGGCATCCAAATAAGATGTGAAGTAACTACCAGCTACTATTCACTGGTAGTAAACTATTCACAAGAAAACTGGTAGATATGAAACCATTAATTAAAATACACAGATTTGTCGACATAAGGACAGGCTTACCATTTTTCTTATATAAATGTGATTTTGCATTAAAAAAATTATGTTCTCTTGTGATTTGACCAAAATGCCTGTTATAACTCTTTAAGTGCCATTCACTGTAAACTTTTCAAGAACTCTAATATTTGTTTGATTTTTTCCACCACAGGTATCACTTCATGACTTTACACTTCCGCTTATTATTAATAAACTCAGTCCAAAACTATTAAGTCAAAAATTCGAAGAAGCAAATAATTCTAATGAAGAGCAACTCGTTAACGAAGATCAGTCAAATTCAAAGCTAACTGCTAAAGAATTTGAACCAAGAGTTTTAGCTACAGGGTTAAGACAACCGATAACAACTGAACCTAAGAATGGAGCATTGAAGTTCACCACCACACTGGGTGATACACCTTCAGAATCTGGAAATGTTTTATACCAAGTATGTCCTTAAATGAAACTATATATGTATATATATAAATAATAGGAATAAAAAGTGTTCGTTTTAACGGATAAAATGTTGATTGCAGAGTTTAAGTATGTTGGTTTAAACTCCTAGCAGAATATTAATCAAAAAAATCTATAAAGTTGTCTACAAATACTCAAATTTGGACCTTGTTCAGTTAGTAAAATGCGCAAAAGTGCAATGTAATGTAGGCTCTGAAAAAGTGGTATTTTAAAATTTAAAGAATTTACTAAATGCAGGTGACAAATATTAACTAATTTCGGAAAGGACCTATTGAAAAAATTTTTAATTGGAGATCGTAAAATGTATGGGAATCTCTCATCCCAAATTCTCTATAGCTGTCTCGTTGGGAATGTATCAAAGTGTGCATCATCGTATAATAACAAATAATGATTACTTTAGAACCTTGTGCACGTAGAAAATACTGAAAAAATCACTTTTAACTGAAGTGAACTGAATTATTGAAGTGGAGATTTATATACATGAAGGTAGAGAGAAGAAATGCAATGAAAAATATAGTTATCTGACAAATAACTGGCATTCTAAAAAGCCAGATGATAACAAAGAATAAATACATCACAGCCATGTTACGAAGAGTCTCCAACCATTGATTCTCAGCACACCGAGGAATTTAGGTAGGAAATCTACACTTCCAACGCTCCTCAAACAAGAGTCAAAGACTCTGTGAAAAGCTGCCATGTGTTGGTATCACCGCCTACAAGTGGTTTCCAGTCTAAGCGTATGCCAGCCAACACTGATGGACAATGAAGGCGGTGACTAGGTATGTGTAAAATCTGTCCTTGTTATCCCAGTCGATGGAGCTACATAACCTCATCGATTGTAATTTTCTCCATATACAACACTCTACAATTAACTTGATTATTAGTGACGATATTATAACACCTCAGATAATGATTTAAACTCAGGTGCCTGCGGTCAAAATGGTTATTTTTCTCATATTTTTTCCACCACCAACAGCCATGTCTTACGTTCATCTACTTTATAATAGTTTGAAGTTTTAATGTAATACACGTAACATATCGATATAGGGAAGGAAACTCAGTCATCTCAGTTTGGAGCCTTTCAATAAGTCAACTAACACAATCCTGTCGGAGATTAAACTTTGGACTAGTAGCTTTAAAAACGTCCACACAATCATTAGAACGTCAAAATGCCATTCGTTTTCCTGGGTTCTCTAAATCATACCAGTTTATGACATGGTTACAACCATTTGTTTCAATTAATTATCTTCACAGTTATTCAGTAATTATTAACATATTGCACAAAATGTGCATAAAAATCAAGAAGTGAAAATACGTCACTTGATAATGAGTTTTTCTCATCTTGAAATCTTTTAATCAAAACCAAATAACTGAACAACATAATAGACGTTAAAGGTGTTACTGATTAAGACATTTTTAAAAGTAGTTTCAGAATCGATAGAAAAGTTATAGTGGCTCAGTGTCATTTTAAACATTTTACTAGTCTAGTTTTTTCATTTTCTATTTTCTATTTGGAAGTGTCGGTATGAAATCTAAATTTATTATTATTATTCCCTTGAGTTCCGAGTGGAGCATAGGACTTCAACGACACATATCCACTTTGTTCTGTTTTCTGCTGTCGTCTTCAGATGGGTCCACGACTGACCAAACTCTCTCATCTCTTCCTCACACGATCTCTTCCATGTCACCCTAGGACGACCTACTTGTCGCTTGGATTCCATTCGAGCGCCTGGCCTGTGATATCATTCATCTGTATACGTATTTATAGTCTATATACGTATGTCTAAATACAAGAAATGTTGAACGTTGATCAGAATGTGTGAGAAAACTTCCTAGCACTGTAGTTTGAAAAGTGCCTTGAAATATTCAATTTAATGTTGAGCTGAGTATGGATTAGTAGTATCTCACCACTCACTTTGATGATTACATTCCGATCAAAAATTAGAATCGAAAAGTTAAACAGGTTGCAATTCACTGAGATATTCGTAGACTTAATCTAGAGTAAAGAATTCATGAAGTGATTTAGTGGTAGACCTTCAGAAGTCAAAAATCTATGACATAAGTTTGATTGGAGGATTTCATCATGAGCTGACATCGATTAGAGAGCCATTGGAGAACCAGGGAGTACTGGACAGCTGTTTCGTCCCAGTTTGGGACTCTTCATCAGTGCGCACCCACTGCCAGAGTTCGAACCCAGGACGTTCTGGTTACAAGGCGAGCTGACAGATTATCAAGCCACTGGGACCGATCCAATGGCCCACGAATTCTAACTTCTGCCAATTCACGACATAGCGCGACCACAGAGATATTCCTGTTGAAGAGTGACTACAAGGATAACTCCTAAGTCGAGATCCGTTTCTTGTTTTAAAATTCTTCAAATAGAATCCAAATAATGTTTTACCAGTCGTTTACGTCATTGCATATTATCTTTGTGGTAATTAGTTCCACTCATTGTGCAGCAGTTTTTATTCAGTTGGTTTGCTTATACACTATGTATGTTACAAACTGAACAGTTTTATTTGGCGAACAGTGATTATGATTGAAACTAAAAAAATAACTCAGCTAATTATACGATTCATCAAACCAAACATCTTGTAATCATCAATTGTCCAATATGTGTACTGAACTACAAAGTTTATCTGTGAGAAATCAAATCGAATTATCACTAAGCTCCTAAACAGCAACAAGTGGAAGACGATTAGCCTCAGCCTATTCGTAATTACGATAGATACAACTATTCTTGAGAAAAATATCTTCTTAACAGTCATTTACTATTAGACTGAAACGAAGTGAGGTAGATCCTTATTGTTTTCTGTTGGCAGTATCATCTTCACTTTAAGCGAGTCATGTTCAACTGGTTTTCACATGAGTTACTGTATGAATTTTTTTGCAGGCTTCTTAAATAAAAAAATAACAGATCATTATAAGATTAGTAATAGTATTCACACTTTTACATTTTTACAAAGAATATGATACTTAAAACCTTTTACTGTCCTTTTCAGCATTTAAGTATTAAATCAATTATTAATTTGCCAATGAAGTGGCATTTAGCTGTCCATGAGATTCAGCGTTTCAATAAACGTGGTTATGGCAAGCTAACAATACGCGATATCAATGGTACAGAGTTACTGCCTGATTTAGATGGGTATATCAACGGGGATTTCATGGATTGTAATGATAAAAATGTGCAACTTGAAATTCAACTTTGTCCAAGTAAACAATTTTTTTTTGATTGAGTCTTGAATCCTCTTTTTAGTATTATTTGCTTTATGCTTGTTGGTGGTCATATATATTAGCGGTGCCTAATTCTGTTATAAACTTATGAGTTGATCATGCATACATCTTAATGTAGTGCATGAATTCACGGTGCATAATATCAAACACCAATGCTTAGGCTGGTGGAATTTTGGATCTCAAGAAACACTTCTAGTTCAACAGGTTTATTGTTTTTTTTCCTTTGCTACTTACATATATTTTGCTGGACTGAGGTGACTAGCCTCATCAGTAGAAATGCAACTCTACAATGAATTTCATTCATACTATTCTTGAATCGTGTCACACTTCAAGGCTTTTAATTTTGAAGACAAATGAAAAATATGTTTGTCGAGTGCCCTGAATTGTATTTCCAATGCAAGTGCTGTGATGAGCATTAAGTTGTGCCTTTTTTCAAAAGATTGATTGCTGAACAAAGAATATTATTGTTATTTTTACGAGTTGATCACGGATTGATATCAGTTAGAGAACCATTGGAAAACCAAGGAGTACTGGACAGCTGTTTCATCCTAGTTTGGGAATCATCGGCAGTACGCACCCACCACCAGGGTTCGAACCCAGGACCTTCCACTTACAAGGCAAGCTCGTATATCATTCAGCCACTGGGACCGTGGCTCAACTCGTTAGAACAAAACTAATCCTTACAAAACAACTACAGAAGATTATTGTTATTGAAATAATAGAGAAGATTTGTAGCTCAGGTGGATGATTTGCAATTAAAAGTGTTCTCTGAGCTGGTTGGTTTAGTCGCGAAGCTTTCGTCGTCCTTCCGGACAACATCTTCAGCGCCATATTTAGCACAGAGTGAAATGATTTAAATTTCTTCATGCGTGATGTAATTGCGTCTCCTGGTTACTATCTTCACATATGTATTGACCACTTTCTATTGACTAGGATTTTAAACTTTTTGGTCACCTGATTTACTTTTTATTAATTGGTATATTTCATCTATATTAACGTGTTTGTTAATCGCATTTTCGCTTGAGTACCAGGCTTCTAGGAATTCTCTGGCACTTTTCGTGTTTCCTCTGTTTAAGATTTTGACGTGATCCCAATCAAACTGATGACCATAGTTGTCTGCATGCATTGATACTAACGAATACACATCATGTCTTTTCACGGCTGATTTATGTTCTTGGATTCTGACTCGCAGGGGACGCCCACTTTGGCCGATGTAATGCTTGCTACAGTTCATACAATTTATTTTGTAGATGGTATTAATTTTATCCCCTTTTTCTGTTGGATCTTTTGGTTTGCATAATATTGAATTAAGCGATTTTACTGGTTTGTGTGCTATATTTATATCTAACGGTTTCAGTATTCTGGCTGCTATTTCAGAGATAGTCCTCATGTATGGTAGAATGAATTTTCTTGTGGTCTTTGATGATAGTTTCTTGTTGGTGTTTTGATTCGACTTTAAACACTTTTTGATGAAATTTCGTGGATAACCATTCTTTTTGAAAACTGTAGAACCTGATGAAGAAGTTATCGAAAAGAATATTCTTTGCTCAGTAACCAATCTTTTGAAACTTCCAATAGGCATTTTTCTTCACTTATCCCATTTTGTCAGGAAAAGTCATGTATTTTCACCCTCTTAACGTTAGGGTTACATTTGAATAAGGCACTAAGAAGACAAATTTCGCGAGATGATATCATTTCGTAGTTTCTTTACAACCGCTTCACAACTAACATGGTTAACAATTACTCAGTACATACTAATGACCAGTCACATTTAAAAGGTCATGTAGTCCATGGTAGGCGAAGATTGAAGTCTATTGTTTTTTAAACACACAGTTTAGGCTGTATGTGATTAATCGAAAGTGCTTCCATCACCTTCAATAACCTTGAATTAGAGTTATGTGAAATAATTGTGAAGCAGTCATTAATAGCGATTTTGTGACCTGACATTAATAAGTGTTTTGCAATGGATGACGCTGGATTTCTATTCAGATTAATCGCGTTGGGATTTTCTATATGATTTAATAGCCATTTTGGAACATGTTCTTTCCGACGACATTGGAACATTCTGTTGGTTCTACCTATATAGGTGTCACCGCAGCTGCAGGTGAACTTGTAGATACAGTTTGAAGTAGAGTGCACAGAATTTCGTCCTTTAATCGTAGGTACAGGGATCGAAACTGGTCGGCAAGTGAGAGAAAGAGATGCGGCGTAGAATATGCGTCTTCTAAATGCCTTATTCAAATTTATCAAAGGGACTAATTGTTAGGATTAGAGTCTAAAAGTTCCTGCTGTGACAGAATGAGACCTATTGTTCTTACCTCTGCAGTGACTGACATCTCATATTAGAGCTTTCAATGTGAATGTGGGAAAATCTATTCTAAGCTTAGTTACTTATGAACCTGAACTGAATAAAAATCTTATGGAATGCTTTGTATATGCCAGCAAATAATGATCGTCGAACTATACGGTCAGATGACGAAAAAAATCATGTTTAAAAGTACTGACTGATTTCACAATAACTTCCATCATGAACTGGTATCACCCTTAGAACAGACAGTACTGAAGTGTTTCTCTGTTTCATTGTAGGATTTCCACAGAATATCAAGTATTGCAGGCAATAAAAAGTTCAAAACATTAAGATATGGCAGAAAACAAATTTCATCTGTATGCATGTAGTAAACTGCTTTTCTACCAAACTTATAATACACTAATTTAAATGCCTTAGAATTAACCTTTAAGCTATTAAATTATGGAAGCCGTTGGTTGATTTTTTGAAAATCCGTTTGCATATATTTTTTAGGTTACCTGTATACTCTTCGACTAATTAATTAATTAATGAATTTACTTTTTAAGTTCAAGCAGGATGTTTCAAGTTGAATTTACCACTTTGGTTAACATTTCTTGAAAGTTTTGAATGTGAACAAAGTCCAAAATCTAATCATACACATTATCAAACACTTCAAATTATTATTGAGTTGAAAAAAATGGAAATTAAATTTGAACCAGAAAGAATATTACTGCCACCAGTTCCTACTGGAGTAAATGTAAGAGTGCCAGTCTCACTAACTTCATATCAGTTAAACAAACCAACTAAAATAACAGGATTTTGGAATTTTTTACCAGCATGTGAAGTTCAGTCACCGATTTGTGAAGCAAACATCCAGTGTCCGTTTACCGTCGAGTATCCTGAAGGACAAAGTAAGCCCATATCTTGATACTTCACTAACTAACTAACTATATATATATATCACATCTTAGTAACTTTTCATTTCTAAACTAAAAGATACATAATTCTAAGTGGCTTTTTACAAATGTCTGAATAAAATGAATAGTGGTCAGTGTGAAACTTGAAGTTGTATACTACATTTTTAGCAGCGTTCTGAATTTATTCACACTTCCTATTTCCTTTAGGCTCGCAGAAGCAACAAACTCTTCTTCTACCTACAAGTGACTTCTAGAGTTTTTCTTATTCCTTTGCGTTCCGGGAGGAACATGCGGCTTCAAGCTTCAGTTTTGACGTTTCAGTTGCAGTAGTGTTTTTTTACGGGTGGAGTTACTAGCCACACGCCCAACTTTCCCACTATACCGGTCTTCCTACCGGCTAAGAGGTATAGGAGTACGTTGGCTGGGGATCTAACCACCGACTGAGTGCGTGGGTGGCGAGTATCCTACCACTGACGCTAACATCTGGATACTTCACGTTTATGCTTAGCTAAATATTCACTAGTTTCTCGACGGTGTTCAAAATTGCATTCTATAACCGCTGACTTATTTTTTTAGCTCTGTGGTATTTATACACAAACTACTACTCTGAAGTATAATTAGACGATTTTGTTACTGGTCAGATTAATACATTTTATGCCGAAATATCTGTTCAGTGTTTCAGTTAATACAAAGAAGTGCCTACCAATGATTGCAGGGTATTACGTAACTAAATGTTCCTATAAACAGTACGTTATCTAGCCTTTTAGATATACTGCAGATTGGAAACGTGTTATCTATACATTGCCGTCTAAAACGCAGATAACTCCTATTAACCATACCAAAAGTATCACCACAACTATTGCTAGTGCAATTCAGATTATCCTATTTCTTTGTTTTGGGAGAAGGAGGATCTTTCGGATCACTGAAACAAGTTTTAAATCATTTCTACTGAGAAAATTATTCATTTCGCAATCTCTGCTCCTCTCTCTTACCGAGTTACTTTTTGAGAACGTTACTTTATCCCAGAGTATGGGTCACTTATATGTTTCTGCAATTAAATGAGACTATATGTCATTTGTAAACATTAAACCCAGACAGATGTTCAGCTCAGGTGAAAATCAACGTATAAATAACCAATCATTGGTAATATTATTTGATAAATAGAATGCAGAGGTAATCTCAGAAATCATTTGAAGAAAAGTTGAAGCAGAGTTTAAGAAATAAAGCCTTATATATTCCATAAATATGATTAGGCACCTAGAATACCTAGAACAAAGGAAGAAGAATTCGTATTTCATGAATCAAGCCTTTAGCTTGTGGTAAGAGTTGTCTGCAAGCCGAAATTGTAAACAACAATTTACGTCAATGTTTACGTCCCGAATCGAAGTCATGAGAAAAAACAATAACAAAGCTTAACCTTGAGGAACTCAACAACCAATCATAGCAGACTTAGAGTGTGCAAATACTATTCGCAGATATATGCCTTAACTTTCTAAGAAACGGTCGCAAGCAGTACAGAATAACCTTCAGCAAGAAAAGCCAATCAGAAGACGTTGCTTCTCTGCTAAAATAACGAATAATAATGTACATAAAAATCTATATACATCTCTTGATTTTCCCAATAAACGATCTGTTGCCTGGCCCTTGTCGTTACAAGCTTACTGAATGGATAGTTGAGCTTTATTCACATCAAGTCTAACACTCTTAGTAAAACAGTTTATGCTTTGTCTAGTAGACAAATAACAGTATCTTCAGTTAGATTTTATTCAAACCTGTAATACTTCTAATGTTTTTATAATAATAAATAATCTATTTTGTTTGTTTTGCTAAATAATCATTTACTTTTATTTTAGTTATGAAACCAGATAATGCCTTGTCTACTTGTAATACTGGAAGTTTAAATTTACTTCTAATTTTCAATTCTAAGATAAATGGACTTGTTTTAGCACCAAATCCTAGACCACTGTGTTTAATTATTATCGCCAGTAACGTTAACTCTGATGTAGATGGGACATCCTACTCCTCAAAAAGAAATCCCTTGTCATCGTATATTTGCTCAGCTGCTTTACCTGTCAGTGCTGCTGTAGACAATTCACTTATCAGTTGGTTCGACTATGTAACCCGTCGACCAAGTGAATTCAGACTTAATTATCCCCAGGTAAAATTTTAAAAAATTTTAGAATTACAATGTAAAATCTTTTATCCTTTTTAAATTGAAGATTTTAATCCATTCTGTTGAGACGGTACTAGCAGGTATTTTTCATCGCTTATTCCTGTTGAGTGAAATTAATAATCGGTTATCAGCAACTCAAAAGTATTAACTGCTATTCAGAATAATTAACGTTTCAAAATAGGGACATCAAAATTTACACCAAAAAAAATTGACTACGGACTCTTCAATGACGTAAAATTGATCAGGATATAGACAAATTCCTGTAATCACATTGCTAGAACGAGGAATTACGCATCTCGAGTTCCATTCTGCTCTTCGCGCTACTATTATTAAAACTTGAATATTTAGCAACTTTTCTTCCACAACACTTTGTTTCGTGTATTTGAGGTAGCATTGGCAAATAAACCTAACCACTGAAAACTCTTTGAAACACACTCAACATTGCAGTGGAATAGTTAACTAATAAAAGTGAGATACAATCATCGCGAGAAAATTCCTTGTAAAGCATTAATTTTGTTTCAACGCTACTGTTCCTAAATAAATAAATAAATATTAGTGATACTTGGTGGACTGAAGTGAAATTAGGACACGCTTACTAGGTGGAGATATGCTTTAATCAGCGGATAGTCAGATTGATAACTTGAGACCAATGATTGTGCCTATTTGTAGATGTCCACACATCCACTAATTTAATGTGTTCGTTAGATAATGTATCATGTGAGCTTGTCATTAGGTTTTTGATCCAGTATGAAGGTAAACGTGATAGCGTAATTCATTATTCTAATCTTATTAGTTGTTCTTACTTAACTGACGATGTGTAATTGCACTTTTGTTAATATTGTATGTCTGTTTTTGTTTGAAGTACATATAAACTAATTATGGGTTAATATACAATGCTACTACCATTGCTGTCAGTCTGACGGGCTGTGCGAAATTGGGTAACTAAAAGAAGAGCATTACTATCTCAATCTTTCTTTTTCTTGCGTGATTTTGTGTATACGTGTAGCTAGTAGGTAGTATGGAAATCACTTCTCAATTCAGTTGTAAAACAGCACAGATTCCCTTCGTGCAGAGAGGCAAGTTTAATTTCAGATTCAGTCAGTATCACACTAAATACATATTTTCGATACTACAACCACTACAAAAGGACACTCAAAATATTATACAAAATTCATATGATTTCAAATCCCAAATAGAACACCGAGAAATTGACAAAGAAGACATTATGGTAAGCTATGATATTAACTCATTTCTACTAGTATCCCTATTACCGAAAGTCTTGATATCATTTCCAGTCTACTAGAATCAGATTCAACGCTACCACAATGATGTCCACTGGACACCAGTGAAATAATTAAGAGCTTGAAATTCTGTCTAGAAAGTAATTATTTTACATGTAGACAGACAAATGGTGTTGCTATGGGTTCACCAGTCTCCCCAATAGTTGCTGACCTTTTCATGAATAGATTCGAAGATAACATCTTTTCAAGCATACTCACCGGTAAAATATTTTTAAGATATGTAGATGATACTTCTGTCGTGCTAAAACGAGATCTACACAGTTCATTCCTGGAGAAAATAAACTACCTATCTGCCAGAATCCAGTTTACTTCGGAAGCCAAATCAGACTTCGGTGAAATACCATTTCTAGACTGCCTAGTTAAGAGGAGGGAAAACGGATATTTTAGTATATCTATATTCAGGAAGAAAACCCACTCTAATAAATATTTAGACTTCGGATCATCACACCCCATCAGCGCAAAGGTATCAGTTGTTTCAAGTCTTCTTAGACGAGCACACTCTTTGTTAATGGATGAGAAAGAAAAAGAAGAAATATCGAACATTGCTGAAACTCTCAAGCAAAACAACTACCCAAGGGACTTCATCAACAAAATCAACACAGACATTAAGTATGGTCGAAAACGTATTCCGAAAACATGGACATCAACAGTCGTCATTCCATATAGAGCAGAGACGTCAGACGATATCAGAAGAGTACTCAATAAGCTCGACATCAGAGTTTTCTTCAAAACATCAGACACACTACGAAACAACCTTGTCCATTTAAAAGACCAAATCCCTAAAGATTATCTACGTAATTGTGTCTATAAAATAAAATCCTTGGAATGTGATGCGATATACATCGGTCAAACATCTCGAGAAATCAAAATCAGAAGAAATGATCACCGTATAGCATCTGTTCGACCACCGAGAAATCCAATTGAACTAGAAAAACTTGAAAACCATCAGCCATAAGTCTGCACGCTATAGAATCAGGTCACAAAACTGATCGTGACAATATTGAAATAATCCAGAAAAAATTCAGAAATCACAAAGAAAGTCTAATAACAGAAGCACTTTAAATCAAGTGGAATCCAAATTGTCTGAATAGGAATGATGGACTAAAACAGAATTTGACCTGGTTACAACAACCCTCTCTCCCATGAAGTGACAAAATCAACACGAATGTGATATGCAAGTTCACTATGTAAACACACACTGTCTTTGTAATTTTACACACTGATCAAATCCAACAATCTACACATGATGGTTTTGTTATCTTTACCAATTGGCCAATTTGACAACGAAAAATGACCCCAGACTGATGAACGATGATCAAGTTAGTAAACTTTGTTTTGATACCATAGCAGATGTACTATTACCTCTCTTATTTGGTTTAGTGATCTTCATTGTTATTTTGACCTTCAATATGTCCTTTTAACTTGACCTAAATTTATTTTCTCACCTCTTAACTCTTTGTTATATGTATGCTGAGATTTTGTAAATTCCGGTTTAATAATACTTAGATAAACCTATTAGTATAAAATAGCGAAACGTCAGTAAAAACAATATCGTTTTGTTTTTCATTCATTGGAAAATACAAGAAAACCTTTATTATAATAAGTTACATGATTTCACTAAAGCCGATTTCATTACAATCCTCAAATTGACGTCTTCATTCACCAAATTCTAACCTTACAAGCATATATTTGTGTAGTAAATAAGTAAATTATGCTCTCGTCCTGTGTTCAGTCCAAAAAATTAGTGCTGTGCCGCACAAAGTTCCATTCAGTCGTCAACTAACATATAATTAGTAGGCTGGACATCTGTTAAATATCTCATCTGAACTAATGATCTGTTAAAATTATTGGGCTAATTTCCCTTGGTGCATAATGCTTCAAATTCACTCAGTTTCACTTAACTTTAATCAACCAATGACTTCTTTGAAGAACAGTCTTTATTTACGTGCATTTTTGAATACCCTTCATTATACCACTGTGTTTTGAAAATACTTAATCGTCGGGTGTTCAAAAATGTTCCGTCAATATTCCGTCAAATGATATACTATCGGTGGTTATTTAACCTGCAGGTTCTGTATAAAGAATAGATAATATACGCCGTAATGTATGTACTGTTCAGAATAAAGACACTTATTATTGTTGAATGTAAGCAGACCATTTATCAGACATTAGATAAAACAATTATAATCATATACACACGATAAAATAGCTAAAATCACAAACTTGAAGGCCTACAGGTGAAAACCAACAAGTTGGCAGAAGAGACTGGCAGGGATGACAGGACTTCAACTGAACAAAAAGAAGACAGAGATGATGAAGAGAACCAACAACAACAACATCAAACACCATTCAACATCAATGGAGTAAATATGAACTAGGTCACTTCTTACACCTATTTGGGCAGTAGTGTTTCAACTATAGGCATCACAGATGAGGATGTCAAAACCAGAATCATAAAAGACAGACTGACTGTCATTACTCTGAAGTTATTGTGGAAATCTACTGCAATCAGCATAAAGAACAAGATCCGGATCTTCAAGAGTAGTGTCACAGCAGTGCTTCCATAGATTTCAGAGGCTGGACGCGTGTGTCACAAGAAGCTTCCTCACAAGATGAAAACTTCTGCTAACAACTGCCTTTGCTAGCTCTATACTGAAGATCAAATGGTCAGAAAGATATAAGCAACAAGGAACCCTAGGAATAAATCAACCAAGAACTAATTTCCCATTGAGTGACATCGTGCACCGGACATAACCTCGAGTGGAACCCCAATGGGAAACGACGAGCTGGGCGTGAATCAGAGGGTAACGTGGAGGAGATCGTGTGGCGAGGAGGAGATGAGAGATTATTAGCAGTGATGGGGCCAGCAAGAGAGGTCGGCAGAAAACAAGATGAAGTGAAGATTTGCTACTGAAGCCCTATGTTCTATGTGGAACCCAAGGAAATATTAAGAACAGTTAATTAATTGGAAATAACCAATTAGTAAGCATTTAGTTCTTTTCATTGCTAAGAGATACATATTCGAAAACCAATTACTGGGAAGAAACTAAGTTTGCAGTACATCATTATTCAGGAAACAGAATTAATGAAAATATCGAATTCAACATTGAGAAAATAAGCATAAAGTCATTTTATAAGGTTTTTTCATTGCAGTTTTGCGAAAAAAATATTTTATTGTCGACAATAAGCTAAATGAACCTATCTGCTTACATTTTGATGAGCTGACAACTTGTATGCAGTTAGAGAAGCAAATTTTACATGGAGTATGAAGAAAAACAAGCTGATTTTCAACTGATACTAGTTACAGATGACTGCTGATATTTTTCTGTTTTACCTGACAAAATGCCTTCAATGACTTTCATATTTGTCCATGATCATAATTAAAATGTATCAGACAGTTTGGTGAAACTCACAAATCACTAAAGATCCTAACTTGCCTCTCAGTTCACCTGAAATGAGGGCATTAATCGTGTCAATACAAGTCGAAACGTTCGAATGAGCATGGATTTCCTCGAGTTTGCAGACAAACACAACTACCACCAACTCGGGCCAAGTTACAACTTCTTGTTAAACGACTGCTCAATTCTAAGTTCAAGTTACAGTGTGCAAAAGTCCCTTGTCATTTAGCCTGATAACTACACTCTACCTTCAGTGAGTTGATTACAAACAAAACTTGGAGTCGAACAGCCACCACCGCACGATCACCATTTTGCATATTTAGTTCCAAGAAATAGTGTTGAATTTCTCTATATCAAAATAGACTATTAATCATGTGTGTATTTCATACTAAATGTTCATTTTGATGATTTGTGTTTTCTTCATTTTCTGTCTTTAGAATCCTGCAGTGATTGTTAGCAAGCTGAAAAAGATTAAATACAGTCAGAATTTCAATATTTTAGCACTATACCACTTATTTGATGAGTTAAAACTTACACAGAAAGAATATCTAGATACAGAAGATACATTTTCAGATCAAAGTTCCAATGTAGACAATAATATGCAACAGAAATTTGATCAAAAATCTATGTGTGGTTTAGGTTATTCATACCTCAACTGTAAAACGTATAATATCTCAAACAGTAAGCACATTTATTTCTCAGGTAGAAAAATTGGGTATATATTTTATTGTAGAAATTAGAAGAAATGTTCTCTCCACTGGATCCCTATTTTCATTTTTTTAGAACATCGAAAATGGATTCCACTGAACACTGGTGTCAATTAATGATGGTCCAGTTCCTAGGAAAACGTTTATTAGATGTAGTCATGCATGGATCTGTTCAAATCCTTTATTATTTTATAGAAACAGATACATGTATAAACACTAAATTTCTGAAGTGTGGCTAGTGAATAAATCAGACATAAAAGGAAATTACTTCCGATTGGGAAAAGTGGTTTTACTTCACTGTAACAGCTTACTTAATTCAAGATGAAGTCCTAGGAATGTGAATCTAAATAAAGCATTTAGTTCAGTTGTAAATGATCATTTGTTTAGATGTAATGACCTCAGTCGTGTTGCTTCTAATAACTGTTTTCATACGCACTGCATACTTACGATTTATGTAATATGTAATTAATAATGGCAACTCTAGAATAGCTCAGTGGTAACGTCTCTGACTGCAGCACTGGGTGACGCGGGTTCGAATCTCAGAAGGGATATCAGTTCCTTCAAGGTTGCAGATACGCCTTGCTGATGAGTGCCAACTAGCACGAAACCTAGGTCCAAGGCTTCCTGTCGACTGCCTCCAACCACCTAATACCAACAATTCACAGTGCACCGTAATGGTGAGCCACCTAGCATGGTGGCCACATTGCAAACATGACTGATAGAATTCAGTCTGCACCGAAGATAGGACTAGACATATTACACTAGTTACTGACTAGTGTGCAATCAAAAACTTTAGAGTACTGTTGAGAAAATACTCAATCACTAGACAAATACAGATAGTGTAATTACCACAAATGAAATGAATACATATATACAATATATTTTTCAAACTACAAACTTATTCAGGTGTTTTCTTGTTTTTATTATAGGCCCTTTTTTGCTTGAAACTCATTCAGACAACTTAAATGACACTGATCACAGAAGGTAACTATACAATATTATTACACCATAAAATTTCACTAGTTTCTCTTTTCAATATTCCTATTGACTGACTGAGTGACCGACATTTAACGTAAAATTTAGCACAGAAGTGTATAAGGTCAGGCGCATACACACTAAGAGAACCTAATTGTGACGATACTATTACAGACTAATGTAGGTAGGTGCAACGAAAACAAAATAATTCAATAAAGACTGGTGAACACTTTTAGGATATGATATTAAACGCTGGTGATCATATTCAGTAACAGACTTCTTGATATATCTATCCAAATATTTGTCGTTTTCGCAATTAGTCCAATGTACAGTTCAGATGTTAGAGGAACGTTTACAGTCTCTTGAGACAAATTAAGGACAGAAATTATCGAATGCTTTATGAATAAGAGACAAATGTATTTTATATCATCAGTGAGTTTCTATCCACACACTCAACTTTGTGGACCCCATCAGAAATCCAGGCAACTTCGTCCTGTAGCCGTTCGCCAGTGAGCATGAGATTAATTTCCAAGTATTGGTTCAGACGGACCTAATTAGTTTCTGATCAGACCATGAACTGACGAACCAGCTATCTTTATCGTATGAAATTAATCATTTAGTGAGGCATTAATTTATTTCTTTTACAATAAAAGTGTAATACTCTGATTTACAACGGTTTCCAAAGGTTGAATAAAACTCATTTCTAACATTAAATATCATTCAAGTACATTTTGTTAAAATAAGAAAATAAACTTTATTTCCTTTACATTTCAGAAACATTATATACCAAAATATTTACTGTTTTATGTAGATACGTTAATAGTTAACTTCACTAAAATTAACACTTAGTAGTGCGACTTCAGACCTCTGAAAATGGAAAGATCCTAGATATTGATTAGACCAAGTCTAAAAGCCATGAAGCTTATGAAGTCGGCCTGAGAAATCCAGGCAATTTTGATTTAGAATTTAATTGGTGGATAGTGACTAGCAGTGGAATCCAGGATGCGCATTTCGTCATATTTGGGACTCGTCATCTGGATGTACCTGCATTCCCCATTGAGTGATGATGTTCCCACCGAGGCTCGAACCCAGTGCCCATAGTTTCACACGACAGAGCGTTATCCACTAGACCATTTCGGCCACGAGAGCCACCTCTTGTGCAACGGGTCATATTAATTATTTAACTGAATTTTAGATTTTCCCGTCGATTGATTACATGGAAGTGCTCGGTCTCAGGTTGACATATCGGCTTCTTGTGCGAAATGCGCATCCTGGATTCCACTGCTAGTCTCCATCCACCAATTAACTTCTAATTACATACCCAGACATCGTCGAAGCATCTGCACAAGAAGCCGACATGTCAACCTGAGACCGAGCACTTCGGTTCAATCAATCGACGGGAAAATCTAAAATTCAATTAAATAACTTTGATTTATGTGATGGAAGAGTAACAATTCCAGACTTCTGATAACAAAGTACTGATCCATCGCAATGATATACATCTATGCAATGATTTTCACTAACCTCTAACTTGTTACTCACTGATCTTTCATTTTCGCTATTTTTTAACTGCTCGCATTATTTGAGAAAACTCAGCATGAAAATTATGGCGCATAATCTAAACGTAGGGCAGGATTCTTTTAAGTAGTTTTTCATATCTTAATTATTTTAGAGTACATGTTCACTTACAAATAAATTAGATGTGAACTCCATGTGTTCGTATAACAACGTATTGAACTTTTAACTGACCCACTCTAACCCCACCAATAAAACAGATTTACTACTCAGAGAATGCGGTCATAACCATACCTAATCTGCTTCTTTCATTTGGGTATTACTAAGTAAAGGATGATTGCATTATTACGAATGAAAAATTATTGCAAGCATAATTCATAAAGTTTGGTTTTTAAATAATAGTAATAATAAATTTCCTTTTTGCAAAACCCATTTTTTTATTGATAGTATTCGTAAAATAAACGATTTAGGTAAATTTTCACCGTATTTCATTCGAAAAAGTGTTCTGATCTCAGTTTGTGATCTACCCAACTGCATACCTGGTTCAGTGGTTTACATTGGAATCGTCCATCCGACTAGGTAGCTTGCATTTTTAGGAAATTTGGATCACTCAGATCTCCCCATTCAGTCAGTCTAATCACTGATTAGTTTTATTTTAAACCAGTCATACTGCCGTCTTGTGTTTAAATTATCTAAATCTAGCCAGTCAGCACTGGCGTACTGTGCCAGGTGGCTTCAGTCACACAATTAATTTAATTGCACATGTATACCATCCTTCATGTATTTACCTTGTTTTATTTACTTGCATAACACTGTGTATCTTTTCTTCACCACGTTTAAACTTGCAGACCATCACCCTCAACTGTCGGTACAACAATGACAAATATATATGGATCAAGTACATTTTTACCGGATTGGCAGTTGATTGATCATGCTGCAACAGAATACTTACAGCGTTGGTTAAGTGTACATGGATTTCCAAATGGACATCATTCATTAAAATTTCCAGAAGATTTTAGAAAGTAATCAGATTCACATATATTCATAATGTAGATCAGCTTCTGTTAGTTTTATAAGCCTCATAAATGAATCGCTCAGTTGTGTTAATAGAGTGGGATCACTGGTTTGGAACTATGACCTACTATCGTGACCAGATAATTAATAATCGTGTATATGTTAAGCTAGATATACAGTTCATTCTTCAGAACAAGTTATTCCAATGAGGTAGTAAGTAAAATCAGCGATGATACACAAGTAAATAAGTAAATGAATATTAAGTGTAAAACCAAAGTAGGAGGAGTAATTGCAGCAGTATTAGCAAATACTCAAAAAGAATAAATTTCAGGAACCAAACCAATTAAACTCACAGTAATTTGAGGAATAAGTAGGCTTTACATTTGTAAATTCAGACAGAACAAGAAGCTGTGATTTCCCTGAAACGTGTAACGTTTTTGTGCAACACATTTGTATCAGTCAGGTTACACATCAACTTGTGATACATACTTTTCTAAAATTTAACGGATTGTAAAATGTTTGAATTGAGAGTAATAGGAACGGAGGAGTGGTGTAAAAATGGTATGAATCTCAGATGAAAAGGGAATAATAATACAGTATGTGTAACCTCAAACTTGAGATTTTATGAAGGAATAAGAAATGGTGCATTTAATTGCACTAGATGGCTTATTCATCTGAAATACAACTAAGGTGAATATTGTCTCTTGAGCTTGTCTCTCTATATTCTCTAGAATAACACATCTTTTCAAAGCACGCATAGATTTTAAGTTAGTAAGGTGGACACACTTTCCAAACTATTATGATTTAGGCATACATGATTTAGCACAGACAGCAAAGGTTATCCCAAGCAAAAGTGCCAGCTAATGATTTCAATTTAATTGAAAGTGATCATACACAAGTAAATCTAGTAAGAGGGCAGGTTAACGCAACACTTTTACTAATCGTTTCAGGATTACTAGGCCAATACATTTACAGATCCCCTCAGACAGCCAAATCAGCTATGCGTCATCACCAAACAGAGCATGGAATGGCAGTCAAACCTCTACCTCAACTTCATCGACTTTGAAAGTGCCTTCGATAGTGTTTGCCGCAAAGCAATTTAGGAACAGATCCGACACTATCGAGTGCCCCGAATCTTTATCGACCTCATTCAACGGCTGTATGACAATACCACATGTCAAGTAATTCAAAATGAAAAATTCAGCAAAGCCTTTGAAATGAATACTGTAGTAACACAAGGCTTCTTACTATCACTGATGATATTCCTAGTTGTGGTGGACTTAATCACTCGGTAGGCCATGGGAAGCGAGGAGACAGGTATACGTTGGACTGACAAGAGGAATCAAAAAGATTTGGACGCTGCAGACGACTCCTGTCCATTGTCACACAAACTAGAAAAGTTACAGGCAAAAAATAGACCTCAACTGAATAGAGAGTAAGCAGAGGTGATGAACAGCAGCAACCAATAACAACAAGCATCTGTCACCATCGACGGGAGAAATTTAAGGGAATTCGCTTCTTTGACTCATCTAAGCAACGCTGTCTCAAATACAGGCAGTTGGCACAGATGAGGATGTCACAGGCAGGATCGGAGAGGCAGGACGGACCCTCATCCTTCTGAAATCAGTTTGGAAACTTAAAGCACTCAGCATAAGAAACAATCTCAGGATCTCCAGGAGTAAAGCCGAAGCAGTGCATCTATATTGTTCAGAGACTTGGTGCAGACGTCACATTACGTCTTTCCAACAGACTGCAGACGTTTTTAGCAGCTGCCTTCCATGGTTCAATAATGAAGATAAGATACCAGAGAGGATCAGTAACAGGGACCTCTCAGAAAAAACCAAACGATAACCTATTGCTCAACAAATATGCCTCAGGAAATGGAGATGGGTCGGATGCACACTGGGGAGACCGTTGAGTGATATCGCGAGCCTCCGAGTGGAACCTGAATAAATAACGATGAGTTAGGCACTCGTGGCTGACACGGAGCATATGGTATGAGGAGAAGGTGAAAGCCTATGGGCAATCGTGGAGAAAGACATAAAGGGCTACAAAGAACAACAAATGGAGATTTGCTGCTAAAGCCCAAGGGAATAATGAATAACAATAATAATCCATAATTTTCTTTACGTCCCAAGAGAAGTATGATAAATGTATTTAGACGTTTTTAATGGTAATAACATAAATCTGGATCAATGTACAACACTGACAGGAATTTGAATAAACTAGGGTATTCAAGAATTATTACCGCCTACTAGGAAAATAATGGTTTTCAACATTTATATGTATAGTTTTTTATAGCTAAGAGAGTTACAGTTAACATATTTATTTATTAATTTTGTCAGTATTCACGATATGACTACCTTCATTCCTCAAAATCTCAGTATTTCCGTAGTCTGCCTTGTCTAATGTTTGTTATTTTGCTTTTCAGTTGTATATCACTGTCGGCTACAGTCGCTGATCTATCAGTTATGGGTGAGAAACAAAAGTCTTACATTAAATCACAGTCAAACACAATGATTGGTGAATCAAGTCGAAGTTTAAAACTCAAAGATAACAACTATAACAATAGCAATAGCCATGGGAATGATAAAACTTCGAATGAATTCGTTTCACGTAGTCTCAATCCACTGTACAACTGCTTACAGCATCTTTGTGGTGATAAACAACCTCCTGGTCTATTGCCTACAATTAATTTATCAATAAATAATCCTTATGAGGCATTGTCAACTGTTTATTTCTATTGTTCTGCTTTATTAACATTTGCACGAAGGTTAGTCCATTTAGTTATTTGATTAGCTAAGCAACTAAATAGTGTCTTCGCATCTAAAGACTTAACATTAAGTACTGCTAGTTACAATATAAAAACTGTACATTTCTGGTATTAGATGGTTGAAGGCAATAGACAGGTTTCGTGCAAGTTGGCACTCGTCAGCAAGGCATGTCTGCAACCTTGAAGGAACCCATGTCCCCACTGAGATTCGAACCCGCGTCACTCAGAGAAGTTACCACTGAGCTATTCGATGTAGCGACTAACCTCCTGTAGGACTGTATTGGATATTTTTTCCAATTGGACACTAGTCAGTAACTAGTATAATGCGTTTAGTCCTATCTTTGCGGCAGAATGAACTCTATCAGTCAAGTCTGCAATGTAGCCACCATGCCACTAGGTGGCTCTCCAACACGGTACACTGTGCAGTGTTGATATTAGATGGCTTGAGACAATCAGCAGGAATCCTTGGTGCCAGGTTTCGTACTGTACATTTCTTACGTCGTTTTCGGTGTGTTCAAAGATTTGGTCTGCTTAACCCGCGTTTCTCACATTTATTCTTGAAGTTTCTTTTTATTGACATACGAAGACTTGATTTTGTTACTGGTTTATATTGATTTGAGATGTAAAATCCCAATCAGTAATCACATATTTCTTCCTATCAATTATTACCTTTATTTTTATTTGTCCATAAGGATGGACATTTGGGTGCTGACAAACAGTTAGACTAGTGCGAAATGTACTTTAGACACAAAGCGAGACTTAAAAACCAGCATAAATATTGGAATGTCCACAACGTGCCTTACAAATAGTTTTCACCTTCATATTCGTTGTTACGGAGGATTGAAAATGGTAGCTGAGTTACCTACCTGCCAAGAGAAAAATATTATCAATCTGTTCCCATCACTCGATGAATAATTTCACTTGACTCGGTGACCAAATCACAGATTTGACTGTCAGTCGCCTAAACCTACATTTGATAACCATTATGTGTTAACAGACACTGCGACATATTACCAGCTAGAGAATTGAATATTTGAATCTCATGAGTTACGCCATGGTAACAAGTACACCTAACTTACTGGTATTAAGTAGTGCGAAATATAAGTATAGCGCTGTTGGTTAATTTGCCTATAATATTAAAAATCTATTGATTATTTCTATGATTTTGCACTGTAAAATTCCCTCTAACTGATGACTTTTTATTTTACAACAGTCAAGGTAGTTGTTTACCACATGTTTTACCGGAACATTTAATGGAACCGAATGATTATCACTTATGGCATAAATATGGTTGTCCAGGTCTAACAGAATCTGCACGCATATTACATGTTTCCCTTAGTCAAAATTTCAATGCTACACCAACCACGTATTCTGAATCAAATCAAACAGCTGAGACTGTTAACAAGCAAAATGGCCGTCATGAGGATTCTCTAAAGATTAATTTGTGCCCACTGAAAGAATCAAGTGTAGAACAGTTTTTGATTATATCCGAAAGAGCATGGACAGATTTAATGCTACAGATAATTAAGGTAAGTATAGTCAATCTTTGAAAGTATAAGTGTTGATTTTGCTGACACGTGGTAACATAGAGACAAGGTGTGTCAATCTTATTGCACTATATTTATTGTAAAAGTTTCCTTTCAAGTTAGATTACGAGCTGATATGATTACTGACATCACTTATAGATCCACTGAAAACCAGGGAGTACTAGACAGCTCGTCATCTGATCTGAAATTAATCAGATCCCTCCAAACCAACAGCGGAAAATTAGTTGTTTACAAATGGCTGGCTATGGGATTCAATTGCCTGGATTCCTAATGAGATGTGATCACGGGGATCCACCAAGTTGGGTGTGACGACAATTAATCACCGAAGACATTGGCTAGCGGTTGCCCTATATCGTGAAGTGCCAGAATTAGAAATTCATGGGCTGGACATTAGATTGAGTCCCAGTGGCCTAATGGTCTACGAGCTTACCTTGTAACCAGGAGGTCCCAGGTTCGAAGCCCTGTGGTAGGTGCATACCGATGAATAGTCCCAAACTGAGACAAAACAGCTCTCCAGTACTCCCAGGTTTTCCAATGGTTCTCTGACGGATACCAACTCATGATGGAATCCTGTAACTAATGTTTTAATATGCAAGCAGCTGCATTTCAAAGTTTGATCAACTTACACTAAACCTTATTAAAAATGTTTTTGATCTTATCGTTTTACTTACGAGGCCCAATAGTATGTGTCTTTTCAGAGGTGAACCAGCTCAGAACTTTCTGTTAAGATATGCTGAGAAATATTTGTAGATATTTCATTAAAGACGTTGTCTAGAAAAACAATGAAAGCTTTGCCAATAAACTATCTTGCCCAGAGAGCACAATTACACTTGTGCAGTATTTCACTTCTTATGCTGCAGTCTCCTTGTTTGCATTAGACTACACTTGAAGTGATACTGATAACTTTGACAACACAAAATAAAGAGTTAGATAACCACAGAGTGTTAATAATTCACTATTAAAAAACCGAATAAAACATTTTAAAAGGATCAATTTTATACTTTGAATTTGCTATTTAAAGGATTCACATTGTGCTTAAGAAGCTAATAACCACATATTATGTATGATGATGTTGTCCAACTCACTGCCAAATTAATGCAACACAGACCTCCAACGATAACCCTTCATAAGTTCATCTGTAGACATGCATTTCTTATCTAACAGCCCCTATGCAACCATAAGGTTGTGTCACAGTAACTACTCTGCAGTATGCCTTTCATACGATAAGAATTAGGTAAAGAAATAAAAGTATTCCACAACTCTACTACCTAGTGTTGAAACTGGGAAGAACAAGTCTTGTATTCTCACCTTGAATCCAACAGGAGCAAACTGCTTACCAAATATATTCAAATCTGCAGAAAAAAAAAAATTTTCTAAGCGTTTTCACTTAAGAGAACCTCATTACTTGTGTATTTTCACCTAGTGTAGTGTTATTAACCAGTTTACATTAGAAAGTTTTCGATGGATTGCTATTAGGTGTTTTTCTACAGGATTTGTCACCAGGCAGATATTCGTGAAATCTAGGAAGAACTAAACAGTTGATTTCCCATAGTTTTCTATTCTTAGCATTAACAGTTTGAAAACCCTTTCAGCGTCATACTCAGAAACCTGAGACTCCGCAGTGAATTCCTCTTAACTTCGTCAATTCGTTATCTAGTGTTATCGCTGTACGATCTCTCAATTTCGTCCTGGTCGACTCGAAATAGTAATGACTTACTGTTCACATTTCATAGATATCATTCCTTAATTATAGATTATTTAAATTAATCCCAGCGTGTTTAAGAAAAAGTCAAAACGAGATTTTTCTGAACGTTTTGCTGTGTAAGCCACAGCTTCTTTAGCAGAATTACTCGGATTTTATCAATCATCAAAATATACCGTCAAAAGTTTTATACATAAATTGAAGTCAGTTTATTTGAAGGTCACTTGTCGATAGATATTTGTACCAATAGAAATATGCAAGCAGCCATCATATATTTTTAATGACTAATGTCAAATTGTTATCGTGTATATTTTTTCTTTATGAGTGTGTGTGAGTGTATATTATTTGTCATACGGAAAAGACTTAAATTCACATGTGATAAACATGATAATACATTTTTTTAAAGGCCATGGAGGTTTATAGAGGTTTTTGTTGTTTTTTCATCTGTTTTGCTTCATTCGAGTTTTCCATATAGGTGATAAGTCTATCCCTTCTTTCCTATTCACTTCATTCGATGTGCTTAAAATGTGCAAGGCTTCAGAGGTCAACCTTTTTACGTGAATGAAATCCTCTTCCAAGAATTTCGACATTGTCGAAATCAATCTTATGTCTACTGTCTATTGCATGCATTGCTATAACCGATCTTTTCTCTAGACTTCTTAATTCTACTTCATTTCTAGGTGGACGTTTCGTGCATAGTCCGTTTTCATTCACCCTGACGTTCACCTGTTCACTGCTCTCCTCTATATAGCATGCTTTACATTCTGAACACTTTATCCTATAGACACAATTACTTAGTGACATTTTGGGAACCATATCTCTGACATTCACCAAAGCTTTCTCTACAGAATTAGAGGGCTTGAAATAGACTTTAATATTATATGAAGCAAATAGTCCTTGAAGTTGTTCAGCTGTGTCCTTTCGATATGGAATGGCTATCATAGATTATTATCTAGTAGCTTTTCTGGATAACCACTTCCAATCAAAATCTGTTTTATTTTGGATATCTCGTTCTCCATATCATCATTATCTATTATGATGTTTCTAGCTCTGTTAACGAGATTTAAAGCTACGGAAGCTTTCATTCCTATTGGATGATCTGATTGGAAATTCAAATACTTGAATGTGTCGGCTTTCTGTATATTGTAAACTTCAGTTTCTCGTCAGTTTGTCTTTTTACAATACAATCAAGAAAATTCAGAGTTCCCTCCACCGATTCTACTTCACTTGTAAACTCTATATATTCTGAGATTAAGTTAATCTCTGTTAGAAAGTTTTCTTTTTCAGCTTTCTTTATGATGATAAACGTGTCATCTATGTATCTGTGCCATATTCTAGGATGACAACTAAAACTTGTTAGTGCTTTTCTTTCTAGAGCTTTCACACACAGATTTGCTACAATTGGAGATGCTGATGAACCCATTGCAACTCCATTTGTGATATTGCCTTTGTCAGTTTTAGTTGTAACAATAGATTTGTCTGATCTTGATGTTTGTAATGCATAACGTTCGTTTTTCGACAAATTTGGGATGACCTGCTTTTGATTCGACAGGATACATGCAACCTTCGGACGTAATTGATTAGCTTCATCATCAGGAAAAATGGCGCTCCAATAATCATTCCTTAATTGTTTATCAATATTTACTGTATGATTATGTAGATAAGAGGTGTATGGGAATCTGTCAGTTGTGAAGTAATTGTTGTCAGTCTGTTGTTGACTTTTAATAAAAACTGAATTCATGTTTACTAATCTGTTTTTGCTTTCTCTACTGGTATTTAATGCAACTGATTATAGATGTAATTTCTCCTTCTTTACTTGTTCAGTGTCTCCTGTTTAATCGAATCGATATCAATTCACTAGATTCAGCTTACCTACCACCTAAAGAACTATTAAAAAATAAATCGAATGAAGCATCTCCATCCGCTATTTCGTCCTCCACATCACCAATGTCTTATTCACAACCAAATGAACCAAACTATGAGACAAATCAAATCTTGGAACATGCAGTAAACTCACTAGAGAAAACCGATCATAGGCAAATTTCAAAATTAACAAATTCAACTGATCTACAAGTCGATAGTTGTTATTCTTCATGTGAACGTATTTTGTTGACATGGTTGAATTACTGTTATCATCAGTATGCATGTCAAATATGGCCGGATAAGAAATCAATATTTATGGATCGTCTCATTGTTACTAACTTTGATAATGATTTACGTGATGGTATTGTATTAGCCTCTACGATTGGAGCATACATTCCCAGCCTTGTGAGTAAATGTTTTTTTTTTTACAATTACTGTCATCATTATTGCTTAACATTATTCTATGCTTATCAATTTAAGCAATATGATAAATATGACGAACAGTTAAATAACAGAAGAATTTTTATTAGGTTCACAGACGACAGTAGATTATTAGCGCTAATCTCCTCGTACCGTATGTCCAGCTTGAAGAATATGAGTGAGTTAGATGACTGACTGCATTAACACAAACATGTAATCGATCACTAAACGAGTGTTATTAAAATTTCCTAATCCGAATTACACAGGATTAAATACAACTGTAAAGAAGAATTCCAGCAGGCCTTTGGGCTACAATTTCCTTCCTTTGAAACATTTATTTCCCGATGCGAATTTAAAACAAGCCAAAAACGTTAATAAAGTAGGATTCAATGAATTCATCAGATTTTGGTGGAACTCTTCAGTTGAACACTCTAAATACATGGATATATATATATATAACATTAGAATTACATTGGGAGATATAAGGCTGCCAAGCAAATAAACTACATTGAATTAGTCATGCAAAACGACACGTGTGGATGTTTTTCAGGTCGTGTTCAGATAGATAAGAGGAAGGGAGTATGAGAGATTAAATTAAGATAATAATGCAACTCCATTATGGATAAGATTTTATTTTTATAAATCACACAGTGTTACACAGTAATATTAACTAGACTAGTCAATCCCATACATATATATAAATGAAGGAAAAAGTTGTGTGAGTAACTTGATATGATTATGAGCAATAATTTGTGCTCGAAACGTCATCAGTTAATATTACTGTGTAACACTGTGTGATTTATAAAAATAAAATCTTATCCATAATGGAGTTACACTCTACCACAGTGCCCACGTTTTATACTTATTAGATGATAATGCATTACTGCTTAGTTACATTGTAACAACAGAAGACAAGGGCCAGGCAGCAGATCGTTCATTAAGAAAATCAACACATATTTATATATTTTTATGTACATTATTATAGATTATTTAAACAAACAAATACAGTCTTCTGGCTGGTTGTTTCTTACTGAAAGTTAATCTTTCATCTCTTTGTGGCTGTTTCTTGAATGTTAGATCATCTATATGTTAAGTGTATCCACCTACGCAAAGTCTGCTGTGGTTGGTTGTTGAATCAACCTTTGTTCATATTTTTCTCACGACCAATATTGAGGACGTAAACTTTGACGTAAATTACCATCTACCGATTTGGCTAGCAGCCAGCCCTCACCACAACATCACTTAAATAAGCAATTAGATATCAGGAAAAGAACTCGAAGATATCAAGAATTGCAGACTGAATAATGATGACAATAATAGTAGTAGCAACAATAATAATACTAAAACGAGTTTAGATAATAGTAGAGATAAAGGGTAGTTTTAAATAAATTCAGAATAATAATAAGAGGTAGAATAAAATATAGAATAAAAACAATCAATAATAACAACAGTAAGACATATTACCATGGTAGACCCAGAATGACCATTCTGAAGAGTTCCACCAAAATATGATGAATTTATTAAATCTTCCTTTATTTATGTGTGTTGCGTGTTTCAAGCTGCTATTTAAGATTACTGTTTATTGACATAACTATCTGAATCCTTCAAATTAGATACGACTAACCTGTGGCTAACGCTTGTGGTCCGGGGTTCAATCCCCTGCCAATACACACCTCTCTAATCCGGTAATAAGACCGCTAAAGACAGAAGGTTGGCAGTGAGGCTAGAAACCCCACCCCGTAAAAATAAAACACCAGTGCTACCGAAACTTCTTAGCTCTAGTTTGAAGCCCTATGTTCCATTGTTAGTGTACAGGAATAAAAAAACCTGTTTCGACAACCTAACGGATGCCAGCACAACTTTTGAAGTGTGGATTACTGATTGTGAATCTCAGTAGGAACACTAACATATTAGAATAACGACACATCTGACTCATAAATTTCTGTGAGTAAAAACCATGAATCCGACTTTTCACTGCCAGCCACTGCCGAATAAATCACTTGAGGTTTATATACCTGTCTGTGTTGATTTACTAATATTTTTGCATTCACATATTTGACCTGTTGGTAAAAACAAAGGGTTATATGGGTTTGTTATTTTGTTTAGTTTCCAATTCAGTATACAGGTGCACGTGATGGCCTCATTTATTATTTCTAATCCTATTGGCTGTTCCCATTCAGCAGACAACAATCATTTGTAATTTTGTTGATGATTTATGTATGAATTTACTTGATGAATATATAAACACAACTGCTATTACTGTCTGTCTGCTGCATGCCTCGCTTCTGCGTATTTTGATAATACAATCCTTCTTCTTTGCACGTGATTCTGCGTACAAGTTGTAGTTAGCCCTTAGTGCGGAATTTACTTCTTAATTCAACTAAAAAACGCTACAATCTATCAGACAGAGTCATAGTTGAAAACAGCGTCTGTCCTAGGAGTTGATATTCCAACAAACAATGTGAAATTCGAAGTGCCAATAAATGACAGCCGACACCCACTTCAAAAGCGATTGTTGTCATGGCTCATTTGTCTAGTGTAAAACCCGTCAGCAACTAAGGCAATGTGCGATAGGTCAAAGAGTTAGTCGGAACTCAGTCACACATACACGCACAACTAGCTGGTGACTCTCTAATAGGACGGAGCTCATATCTTCAATACCACTGTTAGTCATCACATACATATCAAATAACAGTTCGCCTTCAGTTCGCTGAGATATTATAGAAGGATGTTTATTGCTAGTATTAAGGAATGCCAGAGATTAGCACGATACTCACATAAGACTTCAGAGACAGTAAATACACTGTTCAGCTGTTAACTTTTTAAACTATTTCCAGTTGCAGTGTAAGTCACAATGAAATATCTTTGTAATAAATCGGTGCAATGTATGCTTCAGCTTTTTTTCATATGGATTCAGAAGAACTACAGTCATAATACGGGTCATAGCTGCTTGAAACGATATCTTGAACGACGATTATTTATTTGTTACTTGTACAATATAGTGAAAACGTCTAAAACTGAAACGTTTGTAATGAGAATGTTTGAAATATGCTGATTTTCTGGTCCGTACTTTGATTTACCAGACATTACAACTGAAGCTACAATTAGTAAGCGATTGCCAGCGTTATAATTCATGTGCAACCTATAAGAAAAAGCTAACGGAGTTTTCCATTTAAAATTAACTGTATTCTTGTATCCATCTATCCATAAAGCCAACCTAGAAAGTGTATCACCTCAGCAGCAAATGGAGTACCATCAGAAAACTAGTAAACATACTTTCAGTCGGTTGTTTACGTGTACAATATTCCTAAATGAAGACTCCTATTCTTCTTTTTATTCTAAAAGATTTTTCTTTTATGTCCCTTTAAAAAGTGACGTTGTAAAATGAAAAAGATGTTTGATAGTTGTCTGTCTATAAGGGAAACTTATATTTACAGGTTATATCCTTTCTGGGCTAAAGTTGTTGAAAATTAAACAAACTGGCCTTCATTCTACCATTATGCTATTGTGACACATACGTTTTTTTTCTGATTTATTTAGATTCCAAATTTCTTGTCTAAAATATATACACAACCAACATCAAAGGAAAAATGCTTTCACAATGCGATCATTTTAGTTCAGGCATTGCGAACAATTCGTTTTGAATACGATTTATATCCATCGGATATAACAAGTCCACATCCATTTGCAATGTCACTACTATGCTTACACCTATTCTGTCAACTGCCTGACTATTTACCGAAACAAACAATACACTTTACAGGTAGGTGAATGCAAACAGATTTAACTGGAATTTATTATTAATTTGATGTATTCTCTTAGCTCTTAAGTACATCATACTGCTTCTTAATATGTTCTTTTGATAAATGTCACGTACAAAAGATCATAGCTTTTATCTAGTACTTCAGTTCAATAAAACATCCACAGTAAAGGTGGGAAGAGAGACTGATTACTGAATCCTGGTTCATCGAGTCTACACTCAACACATACAATAGAAATGACTCAGAGTAAATACCAGAGATATGGAAGATGTATTACCAGTCAAATCAGAGGATAATAAATAATGTTAAAATGTATTCACTTCATATTATAACATTCTAACAAGTTATTTATTTTACTATAAAATCATCTTATTGTATTTTATTGATAACACTAGTATTATTTCCGAGTGTCCTTTATCTTATATTGACTTTATTCAAATATCTAATCAATTTTTACTCATGTATATAAATGAAGCAAGAAAGTTGTGTGAGTACCTTGATATGATTATGAGCAATAATTTGTGCTCGAAACGTCATCAGTTAATATTACTTTACAACACTGTGTGATTTATCAAAAAAATCTTATCTATAATGGAGTTATACTCTACCACAGTGCCCAAGTTTTATCCTTATATCCACAGTAAAGTAGTTTCATTCAGAAGCGAATTTGAGTATGTCAAAAGAAAAAAAGCGTTCTGTAAGAATATTTTATCCCAGCAAAAGTGTTTTAAGTCTTCTGTGTCTAAACTGCTAAGGATTTTAAGAGTTGTCTAGTGTGTTTGTGCATATGAATGCATTCAAAATTGGTTTACATTCTTAAGTTCTCTAGTTGACACTAGAATTCCCATTACTAGTTGAATAACTGAATTCTTCGGAGAATGAATAACCATTATAGACATTTAATTGGTGGATGGTGACTAGCAGTGGAATCCAGGATGCGCATTTCGTCCTATTTGGGACTCGTCAGCCGGATATACCTGCATTCCCCAGTGAGTGATGATGTTCCCACCGAGACTCAAACCCAGTGCCCATAGTTTCAAACGCCAAAGCGTTATCCACTAGACCACTCGGGCCACGACAGCCACCTCTTGTGCAACGGGTCATATCATTAATTATTTCATTCAATTTTACATTTTCCCGTCGATTGATTGGACCGAACGAAGTGCTCGGTCTCAGGTTGACATGTCGGCTTCTTGTGCAGATGCTTCGACGATGTCTGGGCATGTAATTAGAAGTTAATTGGTGGATGGTGACTAGCAGTGGAATCCAGGATGCGCATTTCATCCTATTTGACTCATTTTAAATGCTGAAAAGTAATACATGGCATCGTAATAGAATATATTTTCATTTTACTCAGTTTATTTGATACGACGTGCGTTGAAATTAATTCATTACTCACAATCAAGGCAAAGTACTCACACAACTTTCAAACTTTATCTTCATGTATCTACAGCTCCTTACCTGATTTTGACTCCGAACAACTAGCGTTTACCTGTATTCGATTATTCATTTGATCAACAAGATTCGATGGTCAATGTTTCTTTCTTTCCATCTAGCAACACGAGTTTATCAAAGCCAAGCTATTCAGTCTTATAGTATGGTCACTGATTAATGAATTTATTGCACTGTATCAGCATTTCCCTGGGATTGCATATTTCACTGAAATCCTGTTCTGTATTTAACTAAACCTCTGCTCTTATATTCTGATTGATTACATTTACTCACAGAGCAGTGAACGCTTGATATGATATCAGTTAGAGCTATAAATTCAGTTGAAAGTGCATCAGATGAAATAATTCGCATCTCAGATCATTGAGAATGTTTTGATGCTATTCACATTATATCATATCACTATAGTTATTTTCTGTCTTTACCAAAACTTATTTTCCTGTTTATTTTCGTCTATAGGTCTTTTAAATTCTTCTGCCAAACGTCAATTAGTAATCACAAATACTAGCTCACATACCTTGACTTACAGTTGTATCATAATTGGTCCAAACGCAACTGATTTTAATTGTACATCTAGTGGAAATTTAAACAAGTCGACAAAACGTGAAAACAATAAAGTAAAAAAGTGTCAAAATTCAATAAATGACAGTATTACAAATATTAATAATAATAGTAATAATGGTCAAGTGTATAATAACATGAAAGAGATGAAGATTACTGTACCATCAAAAGGAAAAGTACAGTTATCACTTGAATACAAGTAAGCTGACATAACCCCTTTTCTCTCTTAATAAATATTATGAATAGTACTAGCCCGTAACGGCTGATTGTGGTAGTTTCCCTAGAGATGAGTAAAATACAGTTACTCAAATATTAATCACAGTCGCCTGTATTTTAGCCAAACATTATTTGAAATGCAGAGACAATTTAAAAATATTTCTGTATTGTTATATTTAAGAGAAGCATAAGAATAATTTTGTTTTGAAAAATAGCTATGCTCAAGGCGTGTGCGAATAACCCTAAACAATGAAGGGAGCAAAACAGAAATAATTAAAGTACCTAATATAAAAAGCCTGTGAGCTAAAATTCAACAGTAAAGATTCACGCTTGATCACAAGGCAAGCTCCTGGACCATTCAACTGGAAGGTCCTAGGTTCGAACCCTGGTGGGTGATTAATGATGAGTCCCAAAATGGGACAAAACAGACGTCCAGTACTCCCTGGTTTTCCAATGGGTCTGTCACTGATGTCAGCTCGTGATCAAACCTGTAGCCAATCAAATTCCCGCAAGCCAACATTTGAAAAACATTCACATTAAAAGGACTTATGATCCATTCAGAAAACATTGAAAGAAATAATCAAAAAAGGCACTATTATGAAGTGACACATGTTCTAGTGATAGCTGTTTACGTCAGTGTTACGTCCCGAATCGAGGTCATGAGAAAAAACAATAACAAAGCTTAACCTTGAGGAACTCAACAACCAATCACAGCAGACTTAGAGTGTGCAAATACGATTCGCAGATATATGGCTTAACTTTCTAAGAAACGGTCACAAGCAGTACAGAATAACCTTCAGCAAGAAAACAACCAATCAGAAGACGCTGCTTCTCTGCTAACAATAACGAATAATAATGTACATAGAAATCTATAAATATCTGTTGATTTTCTCAATAAACGATCTGTTGCCTGGCCCTTGTCTTCTGTCGCTACAATGTAAATAATGAAAATCAATAATTATATAGACAGTCAAGAAAACATGAAATCTGTCACTCGGCGTCCTGAAGTTGCTATATATAACATTCACCCACATCTGCCGAGTAAATTCCAACATTAAAACAGAAGCTTGGGGCTTTAATTCACCTCGATGATGCATTCTATTGAACAAAGCAGTGTATAAAATCCTAGAAACCGCCTTATAGTTTTCCAAAGACATTCAAATGCATAAAATTCCTAGTAAACTATAGTTCGGACTCAGTGACCTCAAATATTTGAATAGCCTCATAAAATGGTGGATACCATAAGGCGCTCTTCACGAACCCATGATTACAATTTAAATGCATGTCAGAGGATATTTCAGTTTAGAAAAATTCAAAAAAAAAAACAACGGCAAAGCGTATGTTAATTATTACACAGTACAATCGGGTTGTCCTTTTAGTAAATACATTTACAAACATAAGACGTCAGTTAAGCGTCATAATAATAAATCAACACATCCACAACTTCAACTAGAGAACTTTTGGAGTCTAAGAGCATGCTACTTCTAACTTCACCGAAGTGTTCCTGAAAGCACAACATTCAAGTGAACAACAAAATAATATGCATATACACCCACACCATCCATAAATCCATGAAAATTAAGACTGACAGCCTTGCTTTCAAATTTAATCAATGTTCTGGAGAAGCACAAGCTCCCCTAGTGCACAAAGAGAGATTTCGAAATTACCGAACATTAATAAATAGCGAAAAATGACAGTCCCTTTATCAGATGAAGGATCAAACTCCAAAATCGACCAATAGAACACTGACTGTAATAAAAGCACAGGGACAAGGTGAACCGAGGAGGAAATTAGTCATTATTCAAATCATTTCAAACCTAAATTCCAAAGTTTTGAAAACTATAGTGGTTAATGTTGGAAATCAATCCAAAAGAAGTATCTTTAACATTCAACATGGACTGTATACAAATGACAAAAGCCCTGCTAACAGCAGCTCAATGACCACAAAGGGGCTATCACAAAACACTTCACTGATTACAGATCATAATGCAGAACTGATAACATTCGGCCACTCAAGAAGAAAAGATCAAGCTACATGTCAGTCTCCGAAACGCCTCAAAACTACTCAGTATGTACTGAAGATGACTAAATTGAACTCCAAATCTTGTAGAGAAACAAAGTTATCAGAACTCACTAAGTGGCAGGTTGTAATGATTTTTATTTTTGCGACGATGAACCCAATGTGTTTGTAAGTTATCCTGAAAATGGAAGTTTTTATCAGTAAAAAGTGGGTGGAGATAGGAACTAACAAGTCCTTCCATCTTGAAATGCTACAAATTACTGGTGAATTTCCATTTAAAAATATCCCCACCAGAGAGCCCAATAAATTTTAACCGGCGTCCACAATAAACGCCTCATCCTCTATGGTGTTGATCTCCTTCGAAAAAATTATTTAAACTAGCTGGGCTCACGATTGTCCATAGTCTCTGATCTCCTCTTCGTTCGAGGGCCTGGCGCGTTTGCACAATAGTGTGCTTAGAGTCATTTCATCACTGTATAAAAACTTTGAGCATTACGTGTTCAAAATGATGAAGAATTGTCCTCATTATTCTTTCTAGGCCCAATTTTGAGGATTTTCAAGTTGCTCCTGCATATTTCAGTAAATGAACGAAAATATCTTGAGGTGCGCTTAATTGCTTATAAGTAAATGAAAGCATCCAACTAAAGATTTATGATGATAAGACGACTATGATATGCTCACTTTCAGTTTGTCGTCTCAATCCTGAGCCCTGTTAAATAGAAGTTTGTTCCAGCTTTTGAGTCTACAGTTTGATAATTCTCTCACAATGGGTCATTATATTACACAGTAATACTCGACGTCTCTCAGTGTTCTATATGACCCTATGAGAATATTGACTAACCCTAGCTTTAAAGTAAGTGATGAGTGGTAAATAAATGCGAACTTTCAACAGCGGATGTTTCCCTCAAATGTCTATTTACTCCAACCTCTATTCTTCCCTGTGTCGGCTTTGCTAGAATTCCTAAGATAATAATGTTGACTAATTCTATAACTGTAATTAAGAAGTGATCTCCCATCTTTGTCGTCCGCTAATACTTCCATTTAAGAGTTGATATCATCTTCCGAACATCAGAAGAATTACTGGTATTTCATTTTATGTACTTATTTCAGATCTCGCTTCCTTAAACCAACAGAGGCGATATTTTTAGCCGTCTCTCAACGCCAAAATGGATGTCACGGCAAAAACTTATCGTTTATTCTATCAGGAACTGTAGGTGGACTAGAAGCATTGGTAAGTGATCACATTTAAATTTATGGGTTGAAATCATTTTTTGCTTAGTACATCTGTCTTTGAAGAACCAGTCAGTTACAAAGCACCTTTAGGTAACAAGACAAATAAAGTTAAATAACCACTAAGTGGGTTAGAGCCCTCAATATGCGTTTCATTACAAATTTAGATGTAAAATGCGAATCAGCCACTTCCAACCTGTCGATTGAGCGGTAACTTTTCAATGTACTTAAGTTTGCAGTATTATTCTGGATGTTGTTTCAACAAGAAAACTGCTGCAAAATCGTTCTTACCTCGTCCTATGACACCCATTCTAGTTCCTGATAGCTCACTAGCCCAAAATAAATAAAAATTTGATACAATTTATAAATATACCATCAGAATGTCATAATATTAATTAATATCCGTCCCCTGCCTATCAAAACTCATTTACAACAGATATCTTTAACCTTGAGGGTAACCATATTCCTTCTGAGATTAAAATCTGTTACATTATGACAAAGTCCAATGTCCTACAAGTGAACTCGTTGAAGTTAACAGTGACTTCTAACTTAATATGACTATGTCTTTGAGTTGTTCGCTGAATGAGAATCAAAGCACTAAGTTTTGATCCACATCTGTTTATAAAGATGTAATGTGTTCATCAAAATCGGAGACATGATATTATTATTGTGGATTTTGCGCCTTTTAACATGGCATTACACTTGAACGGTCAACCAGCTGGAAATGCTGATTTCTATACTATTGACTAACTCTTCTATCTTATCCACTCTTGTAGCTTAACCCAATTTATTAACTATGAGTGTATGAAATTAAAGGGTTACAAAGATTACCAAAGCTTTAAATGTACAACAAATATCTTGATAAATAGTAGAACTTTAAGTTACTATTTAAGTTTCAATACATGAATACGTCAATTTGTTTAGCTAAAGTTATTACTACATTACTGACAAAACATACTTTTATTAATTTATGGTGGTTTGTATTATTCATATTCATTAAGAGTAGAAAGACTTATGGTTCTCTCAGTATAGATATTCTTACATGGTATAAAATATTCACTTCACTGCATCGCATCGCATATGAAGTTATATTATTATTATTATTGTTCCTTTGGGTTCCTAGTGGAACATAGGGCTTCAACTGCACGCCTCCACTTGCTTCTGTCTTCTCCTGTACTTTTCACTTGCATCCATGTTAGTCCATACTGTTTCAGCTCCTCATCACACGATCTCCTCCATGTCACCCTTGGACGTCCCACTCGTCGCTTCCCTTTCGGGTTCCACTCGAGGACCTGACGCGCGATGTCACCCAACCGCCTCCTCAGTGAGTGTCCAATCCATCGCCACTTTCTCCTGCATACTTGTTGAGCGATTGGTTCTTGTTTTGTTTGTTCCCATAGCTTCTTGTTTGTGATTCTTTCCGGCCATCTGATCTTCAGTATAGAACGAAGACAGTTGTTGATAAACGTCTGCAACCTATTGAAAATATTCTTTGTGACCCGCCACCAAGTTTCTGATCCATCCGTATAGAACAACTGACTTTTGACGTTTGTATTGAAAATCCGAATTTTGTTGTTGATGCAGGCTGAGTGACGAAGATTTCCAGATTGGTTTCAGGTTGATGAATGTGTTTCTCACCTTTCCGATTCTCGATTTGACATCCTCGTCCGTTCCTCCTGTGGTTGAGACAATGCTCCCTAGATAAGGGAATGAAGTAACCTATTTCAAATCCCTCCCATTGATGGCGATTGGCGTTGGATGTAGCTGCTGTTGCTGTTGTTGTTGTTTATTTTCATAACCTCCGTCTTGTCTATGTTCACCTGGAGTCCTGTCTTCAACAGCTGCTTCTTCGACCAGTTTGTCGGTTTTCGCTTGTAAGTCTTCGATTTTGTGTGACATCAAACATAAATCATCCACGCGCGAAATCCAGGTCTTCTAGATTCTTCACGTCGGTCCAGCATATCCCTGTCTTCTCGTTTCCCACTGTCTGACGCATAATCCAGCCCACCACAATTAGGAATATCATTGGTGATAACAAGCACCCTTGTCTGGCTCCTGTGTTTACTCCAAACGCCTAGCTGAGTTTTCCGTTGTGGATCTCTTGACATTTGCCGTTGTCGTACAGCTGTTGAATAAGGTTGATGAATATTTGGGGTACGTCGTAGTACTCGAGTAGTTTCCAAATTACTTTGCGGTCAACGCTGTTGAAGGCCTTCTCAAAGTCTATGAAGGAAGTTGAGGTAGAGATTTGATTGCCATTCCATGCTTTGTTCGATGATGACGGGTAGAGTTGCAATTCGGTCAGAACATGATTTTCCTTTCCTGAATTCAGCATATGAAGTAATCCTGTCTAATTTTCTTTAAGGAGAAAGGCATCCATTTCCAAGTATATATCGTTATCTGATATTCATAATGACCAGGATTTACCCCTATAAGGTATTACTTCACTCAGATTACTGTTTATGAGCAAAGAAACTATGGAAAGCACTTCTATGTGGGTTATACTTATAAGTAATCAGTGACTGGAAGTTAATTTTGCAAAGAAATTTATTATGATTATGTAAACCTACAATTTGGGTAAATGTTGAATGCTTGTTTCGCATATTGCTAAAGACTGGTAGGACAGATGAAGTATCCTTAGCATTGACTTAATGACAAATGAGTGAGATTAGAGTTGCAAACTTTGTTGTAGTCTGATAGCTTCTTCAATCTGAGTTTACGTGTACACAACTTATCAATATTCACTCCGAGGTAATGACATAAAAGACATTTATGACAAGAAAAAATAATGAATTGGAAAGAACTGAATGTGGTAACCCTAAAGATGAATAAAACATGCCAATAACGGTTATCGTATTTATCAGTAATTTTCTTCAAGTATTTTAAACTACTAATGCCACGTTTCCCCGCATAACTACTGGAAAATTGCACATTCAGTGTATATGAAAGAGGAAATTGAATTTCATATATATATCTGTAGTTTCCTACTTGGCAATATTTTTCGATTGCGTTTATGATGACTTTCTAGTTATCATCTTTAGTTAGACTTGAAAATTAGAATTGTTAGGAAGAATTCGTGAATAAACTAAAAATACCGATTGTAACACCATCAAAATCAACACCTATAAGAATCCTTCATCAAGTAGTGCAGTAATAAAAGATTAGAAACTAAGAGTATAAAATCAGTTCTGTTCAAACGACTTTAAAAAGGTGATTTTCACTGATAGTGTGTACCACTGAATGCTTTTGATGGCATGTCTTTCAACAGTATCTACTGTCTCGTTTTGCTGAGTGTTTATGTGTTATAAGTACAGGTATTCAGTTTGAAATTTCAAACATGTGCTATACTGTTAACTGAAAATGTATAGCTTCTACAATATTATGTGACTACCGTTCCGTATACATTGTATCACGAAATATTAGTGAAATTGAAGACTGCCGACGAAACTAACTTGGTCATGGATGACAGTGATTGACTAAAGTCCGTACAATAGACATATTAGCTTTTCAATACTGCATGGCCATTCGTTTAAACCTTAAATTTAAAATATTTACTGTGATCGCATTCATTATTCTCATCATTCATCATCGCCTATTGTTATTTCGTATAAGTTGTTTGCAGCCAAAGTTGTTAAGATGCTTTCCGTTGTTAGTTGCTTATCTAGTCAATGCATGTTAGCAAGAATGAAATAAATATATATTTACACTACTTCAGATGTATAGAATTGAGTTTAACAAAACAATTCAATTGTACACATGATATTGAAACAACTTTTACTCTTTTCCAGCAGGCTAAAGTTGTCAGATCACCATGTTATCAAATGACAGAATTTAAATTGCCTGTTATAAATCCATATAAAACAGGTGGTATCTTTCAAATCACAGTAATCGAAAGTCGTACTGATCTATTTAATACAATATGTCAAGTTCGTGGTTTAACTACAAGCAAAAAAGAGTCGAATTCAAGAAATATTCTAACCAGTGAATCGTATTCTGTAACTGAAAGAAGTTCATTTGATGAATCATCAGATAATAGTCAGTTGCCGCCAGAGATTATGAAAGGTAAGGTTTTGTTACATTATTAAGAAAATGTCACTTATCAATGAACTAAATAGTAATAATAATAACTTAGGATGAAAGTCACAAAGTCAGTCCGTTTGTGGTGATCGCAAAAAGGTTTTCATAGAGATCCATAATCATTTAGAAAAGAAAAAGGCATTTCCTCATGATTCCTCTGTGTGGGTCAGAATCCATAACAACTCACCTTTTCTAAATTTCCACTGTAATGAAAAACTTGGGGAATACTTCGTATTCATCAGAAACCAAGCGATTTCGGTCCTGAATCCTGGAAATGATGAAACCAATTACAAAGGTAAACATGCAGGATTTGTCTAAAGTACGGCATTATATTATACATGAGATAATGAATGTGGTGTACATACCTCAAACTGTAAGGTTTCTATGGCTGAATGCCGCCAGATGCACAGTCACTGTGCGTCAATAAGAAAAAATAGAAAAGCTGTATCAAGGACAATCCATGGTCAGAATAAACAGCGCGCCAATGTCCAGACAAAGAATAAAGTCATTTGAATAAAGGATATTCAACAGAGAGCAGGATATTTATAAATTACGTACAGAAGATACAGTTTGACTATAAGAAGGTGGTTATTATAGAATAAATAGAATATTAATACATTATGTGAAATAAACATTAGTAGCAAACAACATTTTCGGTTAAGGAGTATCAGAAAAAATATGTGAACCCATACTACCTGCTAGCGATATGTAGTATAAAGTTGAAAACAAGGGAAAGTGACAAAGGATAGTTAAGAAAGGAATTAAAAATCATTTCATTTCAGGAAAATGTTAAGCGATACTGAGTCCTTTGCACGACTTGCCTCTGACACCACTCCACCCAACTTTAGACTGATAGCTTCTGTATCTGTCCGGAAATGGATTAAGGTTGGCCTCGTTTTTTCTGTTCATTTTGTTACTTATTTTTGAATTAATAAAGATACGTTGACCATTCGAAAGTTTTGCTTTTTAGCACAGTCATCGTCCCCTTTTTGATTTTGACTTTCGTTAGCTGTTTTACTCATTGTCTGCTCTATTTAGTCTCCACAACTGAAGTTGTATTTCTGGCGATGTGAGCTCACAGTTGAAGATGATTTCACCACGAATTGATTTATAGTTCCATGCATAGTAAAGCATGAATATGCTTTTGAATATATATTAGTATGTCAACTCTGACGTCTGAATTTGCTTTTTCCCTATTTACTATAACTCAGAATAGAGTTTAATCATAGTTACAGGAAGATAAAAGCAAATTAAAGACTATCACAATCCATGTTAGCCTGTCCATCACTGACGAAGAGATTTTAACTGAGACGAAAAAAATACAAAAGAATTCACTGGTAATTTGAAATTCACCTATGCTTGACTCACATTCCTCCAATGTGAACATAGAAAACAAAAAGCTGCTATAAGAGCGACGCCTGAATGACCATCTACTCGACATCGGTAACAATGTATTTTTAACACTAATAGGATGTTTAAAGCGAGAAAAGCCTAGAAATTAGCCGTCGATGGCCAGTCAAGAAGTAGACGAAATTACAGTAGAAGCAGTAATGTGACATATGGAGCCATATATAGTGTAGTTATAAATTGTAAAGGGAAGTCATCAATAAAAAGACATTCCATCTGTGATTGCAGCTGAACGTTTAAATATCTGACTTCAGACAAAGTTGATCTGATAAACACATATTTAAAGCGACACAAGCACATAAAGCTTCTTCAATTAGACGAATGCTAACAAGGCTGATTTAAGATAAAGTATCAACATAACTAAATTTTTTGTGCATCCATATTTGATTGCTTTTGAGGAACCAGTTACGTAGGTCGTACTCAGAGGAGTCTGTCATCAGGTAACCGTAATGCACATCATTGTGGCTGGGAAAAAGGAACAAATGAATTTTTAAACAGTGATAAATCGTCCTCTTTGTTGAGCTGAGATTCGGGCTCGATGCGGAAATGCAGTAGGTAACTCAGATGAACATCAAATACGACAATTATTCCTTGACTACTTTCTTCTTCCCTGATGTGACGGAAAAACTGGAACAGTTGAATTTGTAAGACTAGAACAAATCATACATATATATATACTACCAAATAGTTTACTTGATTGTGTGTATAATATGGTGCATCTGACTGTCCAGTTGCACTAGGTAGAAACTTCAGCCTTAGTAGTCAATACGGCTAGACTACAAGGATGAAGCTTTTTCCGTAATATGGATGGATTCAACATTTCATTCAAAGATACACTGTCCGACAATTCAAAGTAGAGCTTTGCAATAACATGGATCAACTCAAGTTGTCATACTTCTAAAAACACATAAAAGAACAGAACAAAAGTTCTAGAACCACATTCCATCTCTTCGCTTGCTTTGAACTACCAGAATGTCAATTTTTATATATGATCACGATAAGGGAGCAATAACTCCCAACTAGTTAATCCAGTCATTTTTACTGTCCTCTTTCAATTCCATAGAAAAATTTCTCTTCAAAAAGTGTCTACATATATCAGCAGACCGACGATTTTCGACGGATGTATATGATAATCAACACTAACCATCAACAGTTGTATCTGTTAGTCTGACTGCATTTAATTCCATATATCGTGTTTGATTCAACTTTGCTAACCATCGGATGATAACATTTATGTGTTTGCAACTGCAAAATTTAAGCAGAAGGTTACTGAGAACAAGTTTTCGAGCTCAAATATTTCTTATTTCGAAAATTTGTCTGGAATAACGCACTATGATTGCAAGTTTAGTTGCTATGATGTCATTTAAAATCACTTCAACAAGAACATTCACTCTATAAAATGAATGACAGGCTTTACAGTTAAATAAACTCTAAACTGTAGAATAATGATTAGGAAACAGAAAGAAAGCCTACAGAATATGTCCACAGAGTTGGTTTTGAAAAGTTATTAAAGGCCAAAAATACCTATTGGGTAGAGAAGAAAGTAGCTGAATTTTATTTAATGAATTTTATTTATTTATATGATAAATAATTCAGTAAAATGAAACTGTTAAATTCGACTATTCCCTTTTTTCTGTTAACCCGCCTTCTCACTGTGTACTGTTGGGAAATAATTATAATTATTATGATATGAATTTCCTTCTAATTAGAATACTATCAAAGGACACAATATCAATCGTTTCACTGTCGTGAATTCAGTATTGAACTACATGGAAATGCTAATAACAGCAGTACAAATCTACATACCACTAAAATCTCCAATGATGTAGACAGTAAACAGCAACAACTGCAAATGTTCGAAAGTTGTAGACAAAGTATAGATGAATTATCTATCGTCTATTTGCCTCTAGGATGGGGTACACGAGAATGTTGTTTATTACTGTCGAATGAAATGATTGGTGAATTTGTTGTACTTTTAAAAGGAATCGCTCAATTACCACAACCAAGTGTTCTACCATTTTCTGATTCATTTGATGGAGTGAATAATCAGAAATCTGTAAAGCAAAATGAAAGAGGATATCGTATTAAGTCTGCGGTTGCAGCAGCGTGTAAGTATAGACTTTATTTCTCTATTAGTATTATTTTATACAACTGGCTGACTACAAATTTCCCGGTAATCACAGGTGATGTGAGGTTTTATACTTCAACTTGATTTACAGCTTTTGAGAATTTGCATTCGCTTCTTCCAACGCCTAAGCGTGCAAATGACTTCAGCCACTAATTTACCCATAAGTTACAGTGCACTTTGTTTTCCAAAAAACCTTTTTCTAAGGTTGATAGAATAAGAAACGGTGGTGTGGAATGGAAATGGTGTGTTTTTAACCTCTCGAATGTAAACTGCTACTTCAGAGTTGGTTTGAACTGTTACTTCTTTTGAATTCAGGAGGTTAAATGTCTGAGTGCATTCACATAAACTATGCATATGAAGGGTTGACAAAATATGCTTGCAGATTTCTGTCATACTATTTAGCTGTGAAAAATGATATTTGAAGCTGGAAGATTTGACCACAGCTTTGCTCTTTTCTATCAGCATCACGTGATCATTGTACACGCTAGGCATAGAGTTCTGTCTAAGATGGGTGATCCAGTCAGATCACATCAGAACTCTCCTTTATATGCGGCACACTGACATGTATATGGGGTCTGACGGACACTCGTAGTGGCATAACTTAGAACTACTCTTGCTTTATAACCACCTTGAGTGTGATATCGTATTTCTTTATTTGCTTTGCTTTTTTCTCTTTAGTCTAATAGTAGTCCCTTCCCTATTTCCCTACCATTTTCTGTCTTGTGTCAGGGTTTATATACAAATATTAGGCGCGGTAATTTAAACTGTTAATTGGCAATGCTAGTACCTATGCTAACTGGTTCTTTCAGTTCACTGACCTCCAAGACTTCCTCTGAACAATCTCGAATTTCTGCGCATACATCTCATTCATGTGACATAAGTAACCAAAAGTCACAGTTAACCAAAAGTAAAGAAAATAATTTTGTAGCTAGTAGAAGACATTACTCACAGAAGGATCCGGATCATTTTCATAGGAATTACCCCTTTTGCTTTTCCGAGAACAGAACTATAAGTAAAACAGGACATTCTGCGAAGCTTTTAACTTCGTTTCATACTGATTCACGTCACTTTCATACTAACTACCAAATCAACTTTTCTCCCTTTTTATTCAAATCAAGTTGCGAACTACAAGTCCATAATTAAATCAGTTGATTTAATTTAGGAATTAATGTATTCCGCTGTCGAATGACCACCATAGTAGAATGGTAAAATGCACAACAAAGACTTAGCGAAAGAAAAAAGCTTATAAATACAATCATGAAATAGAGCTACACATAAAATGTGTTACGCAGACATCTCCAGTTGTTCTACTTGAACTTTACTAGTTTGAATTGCGAAGTGTTTTAGAGATAGTAGTCTTTTCTAATCAGAAAGCACTCACTGGCATTTGGCTTTGAATTGATAGTTATTTCATTTATTATAACTTTGTTTATTATTATTATCATTTTTGATTGTTATGTTTCATAAAATCGGCTACTCAATGAATAATATCCCACTTTTATTTCAAGCTTTTGGACGTTCAGGTGATCCAAATGTTATATATCTCAGGTGTCCAATAGGCTGTGAAATAAAAGAAACCTTATGGTTACCAGTAAAGAATGAATCACGTCGAATGGCACTGTTAAGTGCTATACGTATTCGACTTTCACCAGCTGAAGTTAAACGGCGTGAGCTAGCTAATACACTTGAATCAGATGAACTACTGGAATTGGCTAACAAAGAGTTAACACTACTTAATTGTGAAGAAAATTCATTTGGTAAAAATTCAAAATCTCAGGTAAACATTTATGCATAAAATTGACATGTTAATTAGAATAGATATCATTCTCAACCTACATACTAATAATATTACGTATGATTTTTATAGGCCTAGACTAGATGTATAACTTAGTCACTGGATACTGTTCACTGGGGATTAAATCAATCTAGTTCATCATGCTGAATCAGATATTTTATATTGAGTAAATTAGTGCTGCAAGTATGGTTATTCAATTTATTGGTTTAGTTACATTACTGAGCAATGGGATTCCTTTGGTATTGAACACTAAATTGACAGTGCAAAACGTAATATTCAAATGAACTGTCGTCAAGATTTGACAGAATATTTTTAAAATATTTGGGCGCCAAGTAAGAAGTAGACATTTGTAATAAATTATATTTGTAAAATCTCAGCGAGATTGAAATGAGTAATTCCAACGTTTCGTCCGGCAATCTGGTCCGAACTTCTTTAGGGAAATTAATCGAAATTAACATAACAGAGGTTTATATATAAAAGGAACATCACTTGTTTTTAAAAACTTTGTCCATTGATGAGTCATTCTACAAGTATCAACAAGTATAATAAACAAAATTTTATTAGCGGTGATCAAAATTTGACCTCGGACTTACAATATTGGTCTACCTTTGTTAAACACTTTAAACAGTGTGTATGTGTGTGTGGGTAAACAGTTGTAAAACATTTCTTAACGTCTCCATAAGAAGATATGGACAGTCGAGAATTTTGACCAAGTATTAATAATTAGTGATACATATCCATTTTTTATTTATTAATAAGGATTTCCTATGCATCAGCTAACATCACGCCTTCATGTCTGTTCAAACTGTTAGTATTTAGAATTTTATGATTAGACGTATTTTCAAAATTATGGTGTTTAGGATTAGAGTTTAGTAGAAGCACCCTGTCGGACTTATTGCTTTGTCTTCTTTCTGAAGATTGAGCTGCTTTATTCGACCTACTGGAGTTGTCACGTAACTTGACAGCTACGGATTTAGGATATGCATTCTGTTGCAGACAACGGAGAGTGAAAACACGATGATTGTGCCAATTACACAGTTTCTTTGTTAATTTAATTCGATTGCAAAATAAGTCAAATGAACTGTCGTCAAGATTTGACAGAATAGTTCTAAAATATTTGGGCGCCAAGTGAGAAGTAGACATTTGTAAAAAAAAAAGCAAGTGATGTTCCTTTTATATATAAACCTCTGTTATGTTAATTTCGATTAATTTCCCTGAAGAAGTTCGGACCAGATTGCCGGACGAAACGTTGGAATTACTCATTTCAATCTCGCTGAGATTTTACAAATATAATTTTTTTTACAAAATGTAATATCATTAAATATTCACTTTTTGTCGCTAAGCAATATGTTAAAGTCTTTTAACATGACTGATTTTGATTACCAGATACCGGGTCCTTTAAGCCCACTATGAAATTGCTGGTTACAATAGAGAAAGTTTGATTGCCATTGTTTCAGGCAGGTTTTAGTTATCTACCGATCACTTTGAATGACTTCATGTTGTCTACATTATGTCCAATAACTGCCGAGTGAATTACAGTTGCATTGTTTAATAAAAGTGTAACCGTTATCCTCAGGTTCTTTTCAGTTCGCTCAAAATGCCACTTAAATGACTTCTGTCTGTTCTTTCAATCTATGCACTATGACACGTACATGTAAAGTCGTAGATACAATTGGTGGTGATATAAAACGGAAGTTTGATCACCTTTGATTGTCGAAAAGAACAATTCGTTTGATACAAAGGGGGTCAGCTTGTCAGTCAGCTAAGTCCTTTTCAGAATGGTATCTAATCTGTACTTTTTCTGTCATAAGTGTCACTATATCTTAAGGAAAGCCCTAGAAAGATCATATTTTTCTCCACTATGCTATACTTTAGTCTTTTCACACTGGACATTCTTTACTTGTCTATGAACTTCTGAGGACATCAATGATCACACGGAAATTTCACCATTGTGAATAACTGTTTAAAGGTTTTCTTATTTGAGCAAAGCGTTTTGATAGAGTTCGATAGTATTCTCATCAATCTCTTATTGTAACTTATGGCGTAGATGCTTTTGAAATGCAAGTAAAATAGGCTTCACGTCTCATTTATATGAATACACCTTGTAGTTACGCAATTCGTGTCATGTAGAATACTTAGATAAAAAGAAAATGGAATACGTTGTCACTCTTGCACTGAAGGGGTATTCGTGTCGGAAACTGCTGATTGTCGCCACTTCACACGATAAGTCTCCATAGACTCTTGCACGACTTTATCGATCTGAGCAGAGTGCCTTGACTAATGCACCACTCGGTAGACGAATTCGAGATCAGTCTTCAGGTCAAAATTGTGACAATTTTTGAAATTCGCTAAATATGCCTAAGTTCAGAAATTGTCAAAGAGTGAAGATATAATTATTACACCCACATCTTAACCTATAATGGCCTCCTTTTCACTGGATTTGTTTCCCTCGAACACAACATATAGTCTTTGCAGGAATACAGAACTTAGAATCTTATATTATGATGCTTTTTGCCATAATAACAGAAAGATTTGTTTCCCTTTTTATAAACTGTTTAAGCCATTTAGGTGTAAATATCTCGAATTCTCACATACTAGCTGATACTTTAGTCAGTCTTGTCAATAATTCTTCAACTCTACCCTTAAACACCTCTAGAATCATACCACAGGTCCTACTGCACTATTTTGACCAATGTTACACATGGTTTCTTTCCTGTAACTAAATTTTAGCATGAGAAGAGTCGGCAAAATAATACAGAATATACTCGTATTATTCTGCTGAACTTATATTCTTGTTTTGTTCAAATTTACGAACGAGAAGGTTTGTATAAAACATACCGCTACCTTGACTACAAACTTATGCTAACAGAGAAGCTATACTGAAAGCCTTTCGGTGACTGTAACATTTGGAGGTCATAGGCATTCACAATCTGTAATGGAATCGGTTTTAACAAGCAGATGGCTTTCACTAGCAAACATTTCAAAATATTTTGCTTCTGCTTCTGTAATTAATATGAATAAGCTATGAAATTCATCAAAAATGATGGTAATAATAATCGACTGCTTTTTTCTCATCTATAGAAGAAATATGTGATTCAATCCACTTCTTTATAACACTGTATAACCAATCTAATTTACTTTATACATTTAGAAAAGATTACATGTTTCTCGTCACCTGATGTATAGTGTTGAAGTCGACTCAAGTATGATACGTGTTCCATCAAAAATACAGGTGCCAACACAATTAGATTCAGGTAAGCCAATACAGAAATTGCATTTCATTAACAGTATCAAGTGTGAAAATTCACCTTATTAGCATTCCTATTAGTCTCTGTCGAATTACAAGTTTCATCTAGTCAAAAGCTGTTGAAAAATTCCAGCTATGGTAGACAGTTGCCCTATCCTTGCCTGCAGGTCAAAACTTCATTCGGAATCAAAACAAAGAATGTAAGGTTCACTGGAGAACAGACTATCATTTAGACACTAATCTCAGTGGGTCAACAATTTTAATCCTCGTCAATTTATGATGCTGCCCCACCACTAACCATTATCCCTGTTGAGTACCTGACTTCATGGTCGATTGTATTATCTTTATCGGTTACGAAATTACATTGAAACTCTAGGAAATTCCACTGAAAGTCATTGAATAATGGGCAAAAGATAACTGCGGAGGTGATAGAGGAATTTCTGAGTTCATCTCTATGTCACATAGGAATACTTATTTCGAAATTCACTAAGACTATAGGCAAACTGGATACATCTTCATGCATCAAACTTGTAAGCATAGATATGTCCCTTATATTCGTAGTATTTAAAGTATTACTTGTACTATAATTATTTTCCCGGGATAACAAGAAGACCGAGATTATAGAAACCAAGAGTAGTAGAAATGAACGCTAACAACTCAAAACAACATGAAAGGTAAACAGTGGGGAAGGTTAAAATGTTCAGTGACACAACTTCAATGCATTTGTTTAACCGCCCACAATTGCAACGCTATAAATGCGTAATATCTTTAAAGGAAGATTAGTATCACTTTAGACAGCTGATTGTTTGGCTCTAAGTGTTTTAGTATACCAATGGACACTGAAACACTACTTTCAAATTATATCTAATCAACACAAGGGAATTTGATTATCTGTAAATTTTGTATTTTAACTGTAGATAATAATCATTAGACAATTGTTTGACTTTTTTCGAAATTATAGACTCCGATTCGACGTTTCCACTTACTCTGCAAATAAAGGCGGAAAAACCCGGATTAACTTCAGCTAAACTGGTTTTGCAAGGTCCAGATGATATACGCCTTTATCGTATTGAATGTGTAGCCTTACCTGACAATGAAAAAATTGTCTTAACATTCACTTCTCCATTAAATCATCCAATCACGCAACCATTGCCCATTGTGAATAGAACAGCCTACGATTGGGAATTGATCGCAAAGTTTACAGGCTACCCAGTGTGGTTCACTGGACCGTCTACTGTTAGTATACCATCAAACACAACTATGCAGTATCCTATAACATATCTGCCAAGGAGGGAAGCAGAAAGTCATGTAAGATATAAATTACTTTTATCCTTACATATAATCATATTTCTGTTGTTTCAAATTGAGATATTTTCTTGAATAGCATATCGTTCTGAATAACTAAAACTTTATTCAAAGCTGTTCATCTCCTTCAGTGTTTCTACTGTGATATCTGATGGTTCCATCGACAGTCCAAAATTCTATTTCTGAATAAGAAACATAAAAATAGCTCAACCCATCTTATCCTCTTCTGATTCACTTTCTCCTATATTTACTTGTACCCTTTCATCACTCCTACTTTCAATGATGTTAATGCTTATTCACTCATATGAAATTTTGTTATTATCATTATTTTCTGTCATATCGTGAGAGTTAGTAGATTAAAACGTTCATCTGTATGCTACAATACACAGGATGCATAGACGTTTTCCCTCTCGCTTGTTTGAATGATTCAGCATTCATTTCGATGCATTTAAAGTTAAGAAGTTAATTTTGTATAGACTCGATCGGTTTCGAGTTAGATTTTGTCATAAACCGAACTCAGATATGAAAACGTTAAAAATGAAGAGCCATTAGACGGCTGCTTTATCCTAGTTTGTTACTCTTCTTCACCATACACCAAAGACTCCACTAAGGATCAAGCTCAGAACTGTCGGGTTACACCGTAAACACGTAATCATTCGATCAATAACTTCAAATAAAATGTCACAAGAATTCTAAATTCTATCAGTTTAGGGTATGTTATCGATGCCAACCAGTGTCATTAATGACTATCTGCCGTTGTATTCCACCTACTGAACTCCACAGATGATCGCTTCTCATAAAAATGTCAGAAAAGCTACCTCACATTCGGTGCACAGTGGGTAATGGATGGCAAATCAGGTGTCAGATTCTGAAAACATGTTCAGTAGTAATGAAGATAAGAGTGAAGTGTTCGGCGAGGAGGGGAAGTCGATCGATGCACCTTCATAACATATGTCAAGCATGTTCAGCCACCCACTTCTTTCCCAAACAATGCCGACTGGAATAGTATTTGTTTCGAAGAGTTGAAGGTGGTTAAGCCGAAACAAGCCACAAATCTATGGAGTTTACGACTGTTAATCTCAACAATATAGTGAGGATGCTTTGACTGGCTAAAGTTCGCAGAATGTTAAAAATTAATATTTGGAGACTGCTGGCAACATGTCGTATAACCATTCTCAACAATACTTTCAGAAGTTCTGTTGCACCCTATCTGTTTAGTTTTAAATTTGCTTGAATGAAATGTAGCAGCTTGAACCGCTACACGTCCATGACAAGTTCTGCATCAAAACACCAGTCATTCAGTCACCAAATTTGTAATTATGTTGTGTGACTTATCGTTGATCTTAACCGTTGGCTATTACTGTAAATCTGCCATGGTACCACATTTAAATACGGTTTTCTACACGATGCAGTCAAGTTTATTCTACTCCAATCTACTTTTGAGTTTCTAAGACATGATTTCTACTGCAGTTTGAATAGCTGTACTTTTATTTTACAACTATAGTCTGCTAATTAAGATAATTGTGGAGGTCGTTTGGTATCCTGTGAAATTTAGTCGTTGGCATTTCATTTTCAGTTTTGAGGATATCTTCAAAAATATCTTTATTAAGAAATCAACTATGTTAGTTCTGATGGTACCATCAGACTTGATGAAGAACCATCCACAATCGATTAGGAAAGCTTAGAGGATATTAAACAGTTTTCATCCTCATTCATAACTGCAAATCTTCCCTTTTATTTGTAGGACAGTTTATTCTACCACGTGTTTTTTCTTTTAACAGACTAAACTTGTTCTACAGAACATAACTGATGGCAGTCAGCTAGAATATCATCTAAATGGAAATGTTTTAAAACCAATGTCACTGGGTAAAATAAATCTCGAGTTTACCATAAATGCCTGTGATATAAGCGATGGTATTTGCAAAATTACAAAACAAACTCATTTACAAACATTCACAGTTAAAGTGCCAAATTCAACTTCAGTGAAACAAAGTTTTCAATTACAAACAAATCTACCTAAAGGTCTTATTGAATGGATACCGAATAGTCAGAAGTCTAAAATGAATCGTATTGAAGTTATGTCGGGTCGTACTGATGACTGCAAATTTCAAGTTTGTGCATCGAAACGAGGATGTTATCAAGGTGTTCTAGTTTTTTTGGCAGATAATCAGACTAATAAGTAAGTCTTTGTTCAGTGTAAATACATACTTACCTACATAAATTTGTCTCTCAGGCAATAAATTAACCTCACTGCATGGAAGTCAGTGATGGCAAATATCTGTTGACGTCGGTTAAAGTAATCCATATGGATAAGATTTTTGATAATCACAATGTTTACAGTTATATAACTGATACTTTCGAGCACAAACTATTGCTCATAATCATATCAAGTTACTGTCGGTTAAAGTAATCAGTGACATGTTTTACAGATGGTTCAGCTGTTAAAACTAGGAGCGATGTGTGAGCTTACTGTAGATAACTACAGTAGCCTCAGTGTTGATGTGTACAGCCCCCTCCCTTTGATAATTTTCCTGTGATTTTTTTTATTCCTTCATGTTCCTAGTGGAACGTAGGGCTTCAAGCTAGAAGTTTGAAGTTTCTGTAGCAGTGTTTATTTTTACAGGATGGGGTTGCTAGCCTCATGCCTAACCTTCCCTCTTTACCAGCTTTATTTCTGGATTAGCGAGGTTATGGAGTGAGTCGGCCGGGAATCGAACCCCGGACCATGAGCATGGTCGGCGAGCGTCCTAACCGTTCTGCCACCGACGCACTAAACATTACCTGGGCGAGGCGCATGCAAATAACACACAGTCTTCTTCAAACCTTGCACACAACCATTAGATCGCGTACTATCCCATCGCCCTTGGCAGATCTGGCAACAAAAGTCACGAGAACATCATTAGAGCATATGACAGGTTAGGTACCCCTTCCTGTGATTTGATTACTAATTACTTTGAGCATTAGACTACGTCACCACTGAACTGCAAAATAAAAAATTATTTAGCTTGACAGCTTTCAAAATTTTACCAGGCTAATCATGGCATTCATAAAAGAAATTTACACGCAATCCCTTAAGTGTTTAGATGTTGACGGTATGGACGCTCGCGAGTTGTACGGATTATACTAACGCAAGATCTTATACCAACAACTTCTATAGTGTTCGTTCTTCGAGTACCAAATGGTAAAGCAAAAGACCAGATTTTGTCGTCCAAAGTACGTAGTATATTTCGGGACAAAATCGCGGGTAGAGGTGAATGCTTAGCTAGCTAGTAATCGTGCACGCACGTGACACGACGGAGCACCAAATGGCGGGGATGCTTGACCGTAAGCCTTCAGCTAAACAAGTCGACTTAAACAGTGATGGTCAGCATCCAATGTTGAGTGATGATTGCTGTGGTTAATAATTTTGGGGAATTATTTACCGCTACAAGTGTATCTGAATGGCTACTGAAGTAACGATATCCCTTCAACCGACCACAATCAATTTGCTTATTCCTAAACGTATACTTAGCCTAAGTTAGGATGTTTAGATAAGATAATGCTGGCAAGTTCTTTGATAACATTTTCTATCACATTTTCTAGCCATTTCATTCTACACAGCTTTTTCAAGGAAAACATTATACCTACCCTTTGTGATTGTTCAAGTGATGATTGAATCACACAATGCTAAGTAATCATCTTCAGGAAAATGCCTGAAAAGTTTACAGATCCTTACTGCTAACTCTTAGAATATTTTCATATGATACCACTAATCAGCTAATTAGACATTATACCAAAATAAGCGTTTACTTACACTCGTATATTTATAAATTTGTTCACAGATTATTTTCATTCCATTTGTCAAATGAAGTAAACCAGATATTAGGTATGAATAAAAGAAACCTTTAACATCCTGCGTAATATGTTATAGTCTTTCTTTAGTAGCCCTGGAAAAACTAAGGGGGAACAATAGAGAATTAAAGGCAGAATGCCAGAATTAACGAATTGTAGGAGTAAGGGTTGGGTTATACCAGAATGTCTTAACTTCTTGATGTAGAAGATAAGAAGGAATATTTTCTTGGAAATCGCTAAGATATGAGACGACCAGGAGAGATCAGCAGATAGAATGACGCCTAGGTATTTAATTTCCGATTTGGTTTCTATTTCAGTGCCATCTATGTTGCACACCTCGTGAGAGCCAACCAGTTTGTTTAGGTCGGATTCATGCCTAAAGGTGAAATTGACTGTTTGGCATTTGGAGGGGTTTAGGGTAAGACCGTTTTCCTTGGACCGCTGGCTGATTTCTGACAGAAAGCCATTAAGTTTAGAGCAGTCGCTTTGACATTTGACAGGCAAAGATACAGTCAGATCGTCAGCATATTTGACAAAATTAATGTACTTTGAAGATGGTAAGTCATGTAGAAAGAAAGAAAAGAGAAGTGGGGAGAGTACAGCACCTTGGGGGACTCCGGCTTCAGTGAGTACAGCAGAGGATGATTTACCTTTGTAAACGGTGTACTGCTTTCTATTAGAGAAGTAGGAATGCAGCCAGTTTGTGACCCAGGACTCAGTTTTTGTCAAAGAGAGCTTATTTAGCAGGAGACATCTAGGTACAGAGTAGAAAGCAGAAGTGAAGTCGAGAAACGTGCAGTGGACGTATTTGGCACCTTTATCTAATTGCCATTGTCACACTTCATTCACTTAAAACTAGTAATTATAACATTTCTGTTTGTTTGGTGTCTTACCGGACAATATGACAATAGATTATATCAAAGTATACGTAGGAAGTGACCATATCTAAACAGATTTTGACTTCATTCAAAAAACATACAGTTAGAAATAGAGAATGACTCTTGTAAAACAACGACAAATGTGAGTTCAACTTTCACTGGGTTTTACTGTTCCATTTTCCCACATAGTCCAGACAGCGATGATGACAATGAAAACAATGATGAACAAATGTCAACAAACAGAACATCAATGAATCATTTCAATGAAACATCACATAAGCTAAATGACACTGAAGAAACTGGTAATCAAGTCTATCGTATCTGGTATGAAATAGAAATTAATATTAAAGCAGGTATAACTAACAGTTTAGTTTATTATTTGACAATGTTCATTTTGTTATATTCATAAACTTTGTTTGTGATTTTGTCTGTTTATTCAGTACTTAATTTTTTGCAACAAGATTCTCACTTAATTCATCTAATTGATAACAAACTTAATGGTGTATAGATTATTAATTTCAAAAGACTGACTAATTATTATTGTTTCCTTTAATTCCTAGAGGAACATAGGGCTTCAGCCGTGCGTCTCCATTGCGTTCGGTTCTCTGATACAGTCTTCACCTGGCTCCAAGTCTGCCCACATGTTTTCATCTCTCTTCACATGACCTCCTCCAAGCACCCTTGGACGACCAACTCGCCACTTCCTTCGGTTCCACTAGAGCATGGCTTGTCTAGTGATGTCACTTGATGGTTTCCTCAGATTTGGTCAATCCATCTCCATTTCTTCCTGCTTATTTGTTTCACAATCGCTTCCTGGTTGGTTTGCTCCCAGAGATCCCTGTTGCTGATCTTTTCTGACCGCCATCTGATCTTGAGTATTGAGCGAAAACAACTGTTAATGAAGGCTGTATTTGTTTGAGATGCTCTTTATGACGCGTCAAGTCTCTGATCTGTATAGTAGCACTGACTTCACATTAGAGCTGAAAATCCGATCTTATTTTTGATGTTGAGTGCTGTTGACCTCCACACAGACTTGAGAGTAATGAAAGCTTGTCTTGCTTTTCCGATTCTTGCTTTGATATCCTCGTCAGTTCCGCCTGTAGTTGAAACGATGCTTCCCAGGTAGGTAAAAGAGGTTGTTTCTTTCAGGTTCCTCCCATTTACGCTGATTGTTGTTGCTCTTGTCCAGGAATCTTCATTATCTCTGTTTTCTCTATGTTCACCTAAGTCTATCTTTGATGCTTCTTCTGCCAACTTGTTGCTTTTCACTTGCATATCTTCCAGTTTGTGGGAAATCAGACATATATCATTGGCGAAGTCCAGATCCTCCAAGTTTTTGTTGTCAAAGATGACTAATGAATACAGCTTATTCTTTTCGATGTCTTCTTCACTAGGTTCTACACTTATGTCCATAATAATTAAAGAATTACTGATATTGACAACGTCGTTTTAAATGTCATCAAATTAATAAAATTATTATGCATAACTGACAGTATAACAATAAACTAAATACCAGATAAACTAATGGAATTAATACAAGATTTATGAAGTTGTAGATTTCACCGAACACCAAGGTAGCAATTAGTGGCTAGAACTTTTCCTACCGCAAACAGACCAACTGTTGTGTTAGGTAAATTGCAATGGCCTCTCCTGTTTTGAATGTTTGGCATCTAGAGGCCTTTGATAATCTATTCGATTCTCGATAGATGATAGAGAAAGACTATTCAATGCTGTCTTTGTGGCGTGCTTTGGTCAAAATGGTTCAATATAGGACTTTTGACGGTCTTAACAATGCCTTTATTTAAACACACTGGTATGTGTTGCTGACTAGGGGAAATTAGATTCCTACAGCGATGGCCAATATAAGTTGCTTCACAGGAGCAGTCGAACAGATAGATACAACCAGAGGTGGTCAGTCTAGGTACTTCATCTTTCATTTTAGGAATCACAACCGGTTGTGTGGAAAATATGAGACGCAACTTAACGGTATTAGAAGTTTCTTGAATCTATTTGTTCAACTTATTAGTTAATACTTCACTTGGTATGTCACCTGTGAATTGCACTCACGTATACAGAGGCGTTTTGTTCGCAGATACACGACGGTTCTTTCCGACTTTATTGGCCATATGCCTTCTTATGAACTTTCCTGTACAGCTACTTTCAATTAAGGTGCCATATTCTTAATTTCAGCTTCAATTACATCTTTTTAACAAATAACTCTGACACTTAGTAAATTCCGTCTGTACTGGATAAGAAAATATGAAGTGATGTGAATGAAAATGTGTGTATTATCTTGTCTATCTACTTTTCTTATGCAAATTTCCTTTTTGTACTACCATCTGGTTTTCTTGTGAGAAGGAAATATAAGAAGATAATTCCCTCTTTGGAATTGTTCTTCACGTGTGAATTTCAAGTTATCGAAAAAACGACATTCTTTGTCCAATGATCAGTCTTTTGAAATTCATGATGGACATCATTAATTAATAATGTACTAATTTTTTTCTCTCACATTTCTGCTATTACTTAACGTAGGTAACATTTGCCTTGATATTTTATCAATATACCGAGATGTTAAACTTTATGCTTAAATTGTAAACTAATTTACAGAAAGGTCACCGCTTAGAAGATACATGGAAAATAGTCTGTTCTCCTCTTTTTTCTTCAAGTTATAGAAACATGGAGTGCGTAACATTCGTACAGACTTCTACAGCGATTCGTCAGTCAGTCTTTTATGAATGAGTTAAACTGAACAAGATATGTGGTGTAGATTGGTACAAACTATCTTATATGCCACAATAAATTAAACGTTGCATATTGGCTGCATCACTGCGTCGATTAATTTACATCAGTGTCACTGTGGAAGGTGACTAGCTTAAACTATTGGGCTGTTTAATTTTTCTTCTAGCATGAAGCGTCTAATACACTTAATTCCATTTTATTTTAACCATCCATTAACGTCCTGTATTTTCTATTTATAGGTCCGCCTATAAAACAGGTTGAAATTGTTTGTCCATGCTTAAGTTGTAAAACCATCGAATTACCATTTACAATACAATCTGATTGGTTCACAGATGGTCGAGTTGTTGAGTTCGACGTAGTTCTTGATGATAAGTGTTTAAGTGGTCCAAAAACACATTCTTTACAACCTGAAAATAATTCTGCAGTGATTTCATCAGTTTATATGCTGGAATATACCCCATCAATTGTTGGAGTCAGTAGTGCAGCGTGAGTTCAGTATTTTGTCTGTTAATTTGTTCATTTACTCTTTTTTTTAACCTTAATTACAGATTCTCTGTAACACTGATAATCAGTTCGGATGCAATTGCAAACTACCGCAGTAGAGTCTAACATTTTGTTTATCTCTTTCAATAAATTCGCTGGAAACGGCCATCGACTACTGTACGGTTATTAAGCTTTTATATTGGGGAAAGTGCCACAACTATTTTTCATGGACTTCTTCCCAGTGTGACATGTTTGATTCAGTGGTAAAAAGGTCGTCAACCACTCATATGGTCCAAGTTCCATCCCCGGCAAGCACACGCCCTGGTTAGTAGTAGGGCTGGAAAAGAGGGAATGTTAGGCGTTAGGTCAGCAACCCCACCCCACAAAAACAAATGACACTACTGCTACTTTACAAGCACGAAATCCTATATTCCACTCAAAACTCAAGGAAATAAAAAAAGTCTTCCTAGTGTAAATAAAATGTTTTATTTCACTAAACCAATGTAATACAGAGTATAAGGCAAAGAAGATGTGGCAATAATGAAGTTGTAGGTAAACATTATCTAGGGTATTTTGAATATGTTCAGTGCATGTCAAATTTCTCTCAGTTTTGATTTTCAATGACAAATGGAAGAAATATTAAAATGGAAGTCTCATTGTGGCCAAAACCATGAAGCCCGTGAATGAATGTTGATCTGTGCTAAGGCTGTTGATGCAAGCTGCTTTTTGATATCATCGATGTACTACAATAGGGACTTTAGAAACCTTCAGTTAAACTGCTCAAATTCTATTCTTCTCCTCTGTCTTTAGTTTTACACTTATTGTTCCGATTTCACTCTTATTTCTTTACGGGTATTACGGACGTCACGCTCTATTTATTCAGTCCTAGGATAAACTTTGTTTATGCGTTTATCATATTTTCTTTGTGTAAAATAATCACCACACTGTATTTTTCTTTACAAGATATTCTTACATACAGTAGATTGTATTCAGTACCTTAGGTTACTCAAGTATTTGAATACCTTAGATTACATGTAACAGTACACAGAAAGTGTCGGTGGCACAGTGGTTAGGACGCTTGCCGACCATGCATATGGTCCGGGGTTCGATCCCCGGCCGACGCACATCTGATATCAATGGTCGGCCTGCTAAATTTGGGCTACCGATATCACATGCTGAAAATTCCATACTTGTACCAAAAATGCCGTGTGGAATCAAGCTATGATAAAATAAAATTAATAAATTATAATTCTAAGTATATAATTATGTGAATCATTTATTGATTTATGGTTGCTACAAAACACAAATTCAAACAAATTAATACAGAATCAGAATAAATCTATTATTATCTTAGCTTAAATCTTGTTTCCTTGATGTTTTATTTTCATTTAGAGTCATTTTTCATAATAATGATTGTGGTGAATTTTGGATTGAACTCCTACTGAAAGCAGTAAAACCAGAAATTGTCAATGTACCAATTATAGAAGCTGAATTAGGAAGGTAAACAATTCCACTTTAAAATAAACACTTGAAGCCTTTATTCAAATTTTATTTTGTTGGTGTTGTTATCTGTTGTTAGTTAATTGTATACACCCAGGAATAATAAGTTAACAACTCAGTACTTTACTGTTGATGATGATGTGATAAAGTGTATTGCAGTAAATTTCAGAAGACAGATTAGTGAATAAAGCAATACTCTTTCGATGTTTCCTCCATCAGTTTCCACAATTATACATCCATTATAGTTGAAAAATCATTATTATTTATACTATAAATCTTTAAATAAGATCAAATGAATGAGATCAGTATATTACGGTTCTTTGATGCGCCTAATCCTCCGTTTGGTGCAGACTGAATTCTATCAGCCAAGGTTAAAACATGGCCACTATGTTACGTGACTCGCCATCATCTTGTACTCTGAATTCTTGTTAGATGGGCAAGAAGCCTTGTTCATAGTTTTCGCGCCTGTTGACACTCGTCAGCAGAATGTATCTGGAATCTTGAAGAAACTTATTTCCCTTCTGAAATTCAAACCCCCATCACCCAGTACTGCAATCAGAGATGTAACTATTGATTGGTCACTAGACAGTAACTAGTAACGTGCGTCTAGTCCTTGGGTTGGTACAGAGTGAATACTATCAGTCAGAATTCTATTGTAGTCACCACGAGTATGCGATAATATGAATAAATATAACACTAAATATTTTATTTTTTATTTTGATTTACAGCTTGATTCCACACCGTATTTTCAGTACAAGTATGGAATTTTCAGCATGGATATCGGTAGCCCAAATTCAGGCCGACCATAGATATCGGGTGTGCGCCGGCAGGGGATCGAACCTCGGACCATGTGAATGGTCGGCGAGAGTCCTAACCACTGTGCCACCGACGCACAGATAAATTAATGATTTCACAGAAGATCAAGGTAGTAATAATGGCTAGAACTGTTCCTGTAGGACACAGACTTACTGTTGTTTTAGGTAGATTGTAATGGCCTCTCACCTAGAGGCCTTTGATAATTTATTCGATACGCAATAGATGATAGAGAAAGACTACCCAATGCTCTCTTTGTGGCCTATTTGCACGAGGTAATCTAATGTGGATACTTGTTTCTTTACTGTCTCATTAAAGCTCGATTCCTCTCGACGTTAATTTTTTTTTTAAACTCACTCTAAAAACTACTAATCTTCACTTTGCTTACAATTTCATCATTCTTCACAGTTTCCAAATACTTTGATGATCTAAACAATGTTTCAAACTACTTTTTTTTGTTTGATAAATCGAATGTGCACACAAAAAAATTATATATATATATATATTTGGAATCTTACATCTAAGTGAATGAATTCGCCCAATACAGTCTCTTTACTGAGCTGTCTGCTCTTATTTAGTATTGGATTGTTGATAGTTTTTACTGCACCTTTATTTAGCCACACTGGTAGACGTTCCCAAGCCTGAGGAACAAAGTTAGTTCTTCAATTAACAGCCAATATAACCGACTCCACAGGAGCGGTTGAATTATTATCATTGTTATTATAATTAGTCAGTCAATTTGTTTAAATAAATTAATAAATTGAAACAATTTCCCTTGTAAAATTTTCATTTGTTTTTCGTTATTCAAATTCTCATTTTTAGCTCCAAAATAACTAAAATAGTTTTAAATAATCCAACTGATGAAATGTACATCTTAAAACCGAAAATCACTAATACAGATGTCTTCAAACTCCAATTAGCTACATCAGCAAAACAATTAGCGAATATAACATCACCATATCTATTAGAAACTGATATAATAAAAATGACTCACGTATACAGATGTCAACAATATGCCAATATCCAAATGATGACTTATTACACTTTAGTGAAGATTTAAACTATTCATCTCAATTGTCATTGACCAATAGAAGTATTTCAAGTGCAGTGAATGGAACAATTAAATTGAAGCCAAAGAGTATGCTGTCTCTAGGATTGAAATTTACACCATGTGATATTGGCGAAACGGAACATCAAGGTTCAATAGTATTTTACTCAGAGAAAGTAAGTTCATGTAACGAAGACATCATTCGTTTATTTAAATAATCCATTTAATCTAGTTGGCTTAGTTAAATGATGCCTTTTTTATTTAGTCCTTAGTCGGTCATTATACCATTATTTCTTTGGGGTCGAAGTGTAACGTAAAGTTTCAGCAGCACTTCGCTATTCCGCTCCGATATTGCCCATAAGCTGTCATTTCCTCCTCCGATGTTGTCCACCGTATCAAGCATTTCTTCGTTTCCCATCCTGCTTCTACTCAAGGGCCTGTCATATGATGTCACTCATCAGTCTCCTCAACACGTATCCGAACCATCTTCATTTTCTTCTACATATTACCTGGGCAATAGGTTCCTGATAACTTCGTTGTCTGCCAGAGTTCCTTGTTGTTTATCCTTTCCGGCAAGCTACCTGGTCTTCAGCGAAGGCAGCTGTTAATGGAAGTCTTTTTCGCTGATGCAGATGTTAACTCTCCGAACCATATAGGGCCAACCTTTTGAACAGGGATTCCTCAGTGCGAACGCGCCAATGACCTTGAATGCATACCATTCGTTAGATTATAGAACCGATCGTTATAACAACACTAGTACTCTCTGGACAATGGCACGTTAGGGCTAGGGCAAGTATATGGTTAGGGTAAGGGTTAAGGTAAGTATTAGGGTATTTTATTATTATTTTTATCTGTATTTTGTAAATAAGTAAATGGGAGGAGAGTGCTTCGTTGTTCATGTACATGAAACCGTTTTGATAGCTATGAAACTTGAAAACTGATACCCTTCAGTGTAAGTGGGGAGTATTATTCAGTTACATCAGTGAAAAATATCGTCTCTAATGTGTTTCATTATTATTTTATTAGTTTTCCTCATAAATGAACGGCTTTTCATGTGAAATCCACTGCAGGTTCTGTAATCCAACGAATGGTATGCCTTCAAGGTCACTGGTGCGTTCGCACTTCATGTTGGCTATTGTTTATGTTTGTCTGATATAGAAGCACTGATATGACTCTAGTGTTGAAAATTCACATTTTGTTCTTTGCTCTCAGTGCAGTAGGTCTCCACACTGATTTCAAGGTAATGAAGGTCTGTCTTTCTTCTCCGATCCTGGCTTTGACATTCTCATTCGTACTGTTTAATCAGTCATCATCGCTCCCAACAAGCTGTTTCTGGAAGTCAAATATATATATATATATATCAGCGCCTTGTGGCATTTCATTTATTCTCTTTTTAAATAAACCACATGTGTCATGGTAACTTTAGTTTTTTGTAACATAACAGACACAAATAAACAAATGGCTAATTGAATAAGTGTAACTAACACAAAAGATAACTTAGCAATAAAAATCCATTATCGTTACTGCTATTTTGATTGCTTATTATTGAAAGTAGTTTAAATCAATCAGCACATACTGCAGTGAGGTTAGTACTACAGTTGTCGCAGTTTCACTCTATAAAAAATGCTTCTAAGACATTTATAGTTAAAAATCAGTAACTGTGATCATTTGCGTTTCGTAGATGTACGGTGGGTCTAGTATGAAACTGGGGTAAGCAAACTCTTGTAATTTTCATGAATGATTGGGATATGTTAAGATTTATCACATAAAAAAGGAAGCAAATAAATAAGAATAGCGTTCGATACAACTGAAAGCGGCGTAGACAAACTTCGCAAGTGCAGAAGTCAAACTAATGAACTTGTATGCACCTCCAATGATATTTACAAAGTCTTTAACGGAGTAAGAGGAATTCATATCCTGAATATACATTTCATATATCTAAAGCACTTTTGTTAAAGTTTAATCACCAGATGGTCCAAAGGAAGAAGCTTCATGCAATTATTCCCGCTTGGGGATAACTGCTTATAGTTTCATTAACACTTTTATTCGCCAATTTTTCCGAAATGTAGTATCTTGAACTTCTGCACATTTGTGAAAAGTTTTACGTTTATAAGTCAGCAAGTCGACTATTTTTTCAATGTTGTTCATCAGGTTGGATGTAAAGTGCGTTTTCTTGAAAAAATCTGAATTATATATTTCAAACTTTTTCTATTTCCACTATGTACGAATTTCTTATGTTTAAATTATTATTACTTTTTTGATTATAAATTCTAGTTAACAGAATGGTGTTTCACGTTATGCGGTAAAGGACTGATGCCTCAACCGAAAGATCCAATCAATGTATCAGTTCTGATCGGTTCAGCGACAACACTAGTAGTACCAATTACAAATCCATTCAAATATGACGTTTTGTTAGACGTACACTTAAGTGAATCTACTCTCTGTGGTTTATTCAAACAGTTAGAGGATACACATAATGCTATTCTTAAAAAGAAATTCAACAATGTCCCACCTAATAGTAATGATGATAGTAAGGAAAATATCAATGGAAATTTAGTTGAAACAAATGAATGTAACTGTGATGATGATGGTGTTGATAAATCCCTTATGAAGCCTGTTTCTAAACCGATCAACGGAAATGTCTATTCAGCTTTCCAACTTTTAGTGAAACAACAAAAGTAAGTAAAACTTTACATTTGTAAACATTTAAATCCCTAGTGTATGTTATTTATATAGCTGTTATAGGGGGGGGGGGTTACTGTAAACGAAGTGTACAACTCAGACACGTATATCTAATAAAATTACTTAATTCATTTTAAAGGACACCTCATCCAGAAGTTGTTTGATCACACTTATAGATATGCTTCTTTACTGCATCTTACTTTTTATCGTATAGCAGTGAACGGCTGCTAATTTGTCCAAGTAATTGAGATGGCTAGTAGGAAAACACCCAACTATAATGCTGACATTTAATTAGTCAAATATGCGACGCTTGAGATAGCCACCTTTGTATAGTTACGTTTATATCAATAGGATATTTAATAAGGGTAATTGCTAGAATAGGCTTCAAAGCCATACTGTTAATCAGTATAAACTGCTCTAGTTTTACTAAGAGTATCCGATATGTTACATATGAAACTATCATGCAAAGAGGATTCAGTATTTTTAAATACTCTGATAATCCAGAAAACACCAGTGAATACTTCCGGATGAAGCAGTTAGACTGAGTGTTTATATGTATCAGAAATTAGCATTTGTAGCCAAATATACTGACATTTTAATTTTAGGAATGATTTTTAAGTCAGTATTTGAGAATAATCAGGAAATAATTATTTTAAAGTCATTGTAAATCACTCTTTAGCGGCTTGCCACGATAGCCTTCACAGAAAACTCGATATAAGATAAACTGATGTCAACAACATAATTGATATGACTGTGTGCTAACCTTAATTAAAGTATGCTTCCACAAGGCCTGAAGAAAAAATTCAGTAAGGGAAAGCCAAACGAAATAGCATCACCAGCTGTAGCTAAGTATATGACCCAAAAAGTGATAACATGTTTGATTATTAGAGCCAAATGAAGATAAGTCTTGGATACGTTTGTGTCAATCATAGCAACAGATCTATAGCAGTCTTCTCACCCTCATTCTATTATTTACCTTTATATCTACTTTTCATATTATTTTGATGGTGTTTACGCAGTAAACAACCAAAGATGTAAAGGCAATAATGATCAAATACCTGTAGCACTATTTCTTTGTACGCTGTTTTATTATTGGGTATTTAGATACTTCAATGACACTGCAACTAGAGAAAGCTTTCATGGAACGACTGAGGTCTTCAAGTAAAGAACCAACCTACACCTGAAGAATACTTGTGTAGCTCATTAGTTAACGGTAGCAGTCAACATGACTAATTAACTCTGTGTGCTTAGCTGAAGGAAACTTAAATATAGACCAGTAGTGAAGCATTTCCATTAAGTGTTCTGCATGCTCAGCCACTATTATTCTTGACCAATAGTGTTGGTTGAAATAGATTGAAATAGACTTAATTGTCCTCATTCCAATTCAAACAGTTTACAACTTTTGGCGTGAGGTGTGTGAAAACGTACAGATTGCCTGGTTAGGATCCATGAGATGTTAAGATTAGTTGGCCACAGACTTTTATGAATAATTTTACGGATTCTTCTACTTTTTATCATTCTTACGAAGGTTCATTAGATACCTTCTTTTTTTCTCTGTGACGTATGCCAAATAATTCACAACACAAACCCCACTGAAGCCTTTTGCGTGAATGTAGGGGGAAGACAACGCTTCCTACTGTCAATGATGGTCTTCTTAATTGTAGTGGACTGGATCATGCGACACACCATGAGTGGGGAGTGAAAAGATGGACGTACTATAGACCAACAAAAAGATCCTAGAGTATCTAGATTTCGCAGATGTTTTATGACTCGTGCTGAACAATCTCGGAAATTTACGGCGAAAGCCAACAGACTGACGGAGAAGGAAGCGAAAATAAGATTTCAGGTGGGAGTAGAGGAAACAGAGGTGATGAAGATACTCAATCAACAACAGCAGTTACAATGAAAAAGAGAAGTTTGAAAGGAGTCATTTCTTTCGCTTACTTGCGCGGAATCATTCCAACTTAGGGTGGCACGGATGGGGATGTTATAGCCAATCAGGATCGGATTAGAAAAGCAAGACGGCCGTTCATTATTACGAAATGAGTGTAGAGATCTATAGCAGTTAATGCAAAGAACAACATCCGAATTTTCCACATCAATATCGTCATCAAAACCGTTTCCATTACACCAATAGTTTCGTTCCTATGACCACCAACGAAGAATGGTTAGCAAACAAGAAAAATCTGTGGCAGTGAGCCAGCGAAAAACCAGTTACGTAACAAATTCAGAATGAAACAGTTTGAATATAAACTGAGGAGACACTCAAGTGACATTACACTGTGATGGTGTGATACAGACAATGTGCTCCAACTGAACATAATTCTCACATATTCCCACATTTCAATACTGCATTAGCAACAGAATACTATATATCTATTTGATCATTCTATTTGTAGCTAGAGTCAGAATATTATTCTCACAGTTCAATGCTGCATATAAGTTTGAACATCCTATTTCATGTCGTTTGATGTAAACCAAAATATACCTTTGCTGCCCTGTCTTGTCTTCTGCTATTACTACACGACCAGTCGATGAGTATAACCGGAATGGCGGCAGACAAATAAAGGGTCCAGGGATGAGATGGAGGAGTGCGTATGAAAAGGAAATGAAAGCTTGGGGAACCAGTTGAAAGTGATATCAAAGAAACGAGTGCAATGAAGATGTTACAAACGGAACCCAAGGGAAGACTTATCATACAGGCCCTATTCCAAGGTGAGGGGCATTATAAGTCAGCTGAAAACTGGAACGTTTTCGACAGTGACATTCTTCCATAAGACAGCGATATCGCTTGATCAACCAATACAATAATAGCTGTGCTTTTCCACCTACATTTGTCAGTCATATAGGCAGTTAACATACTTATCGAATCTATACATGTGAATTGCTGATAATGGAACACCTGAGATTTAAAATGGAAATATCAGTGACTACCAAACAATTTTGAGACATTAATTCCCTCTGCTATTTCAAGATGAACCTAGCTTACAATTGTTTTTATGATGACAATGAATTTGAAACTGTTTTTTTTATTTTTCAGTCGTACATAAATATGGGTAAATTAGTAATCTATCATTGAAGATATTGACAATACCTTATGATTTATTTTTCATTTATTATCTAACAGAAATATACTTTTAACAAGCAAAACAGTATTTGAAATACCGATATCATTTGCTCCACTTGAAATGCGAGAACATGAAGCCCTATGCACAGTCAGAATGTATAAAGCAAACTCTGCTGCACATGATACAAGTAAAACTGCCACTTCGATTTCGCCTATCCGATGGTTAATTCCAATAAAAGTGAGTTTATAAACCTTTATTCATCATTATATAAAATTTAGCTTATTACAAGTAGTACAATATTTGGCATTTTCTAATTTGCTGTTATTAAATGAAAATAAATGCTTTGGATTTTTAAATGAATATTAATTATTAGCTAAAATAATTTGAAAGTTGCAGAACGCTGAATAAATATTTCATTCTAGTTTCAGACTCCTAATTGCATCTAAGACCGCAAGGGAATTGGAGTACAAAACTGTCGCCATTTAAATAAGGCTCCAAAAATTCGTTTGACAATCTACACAGCAATTCTGAAGAAATCTTCAATATCAGAGCATTTTGCCCAAATAATTTCAAAACATTCATACACATTACAGTTATCTTACCAATTTTATTAATATTTAGTGCCAAAAAAGTGACTTCACTCAAATTTTGATTAACTCTATAAACCTGAAAAACACCAATTCTCAGCATATCGCTCCACCTCATTAATTTTATCTGGCCAATTATAATAATGAAACATACAGAAGGGTTGATGGAGGACCCATGGGATCCCCGCTAGATCATACATTTGAGGACATGGTTCAAGGAAAACTAGAAAATGATCCGTTGAAAAATGAAATAGCGAAAATGGAACCGTACAGTCGTTATATGTATGACACTTTTGTAGTGTACGATGAAGATCAACGTAGTGTTTTGATTTTTAGCCACTTCATTTCGCCAACAAAGGAAAATACGATAACACTTTGCACTCTGTCTACGTCTCACTAACGGGGAAAGACGTATCCATTAAAAAAAGTATTTATGAAGCTAAAGGCAAAAGCTCAATATGCACACTTCCTCATCTTCGTAGCGATGAACAAAAGAGTAATCTGACTAGGTACTTAGCATTTTGAGGCTGATCAGTTTGCTTCAAGAACTATATAGAGAAAGAACTCCAAGTCATCCGCGATATTCTAGGTAAAAATGGATATCCAGAGAAGCCCTCATTTTTGAGTTCACAATTCAAAGGATATACTTCTACGGCGATTCTATCCGAACGTCTAACCAGAGCGATAAGGACTTCCTACTCCGGATATCTGTTCCAGTCCTTCAGTAGCCCTTCAATATTCACCTGGAAACTAAGAGATGAACCAATTAATCTTAGCTCACTTCATGCATACACCGTTCACCTATGTCTCGTACATATAGCTGAAGCTGCTGCAATAAGATCGACTGAATCGGAACTTTGTATTCACACGAACACGTTCAGGCGCTGTTCCTACCGTGGTCAAACTTGGATTAAAATCTCCAACATGTTATGTCATAGGAGTGGCTCGGTAAATAACGCATTCCTTCTATACTGCCTCAATTTTGTTTCTCTTGCATTTTAGTTCACTGATCGAATCACATTGCAGATATGATGTTCAATAATAATTTTCGTGAAGATATTGCAAGCATACCTATACTCACCTTGAGACTTTTCCACCTGATTATTTTATTTAATGAAAACAAAACACGTAGACCAGCGAAGAGTCTCTTTTCGGCGAATTCATCTTCTTAGCTGTACAATCGCAAATATATATGCATTGTTTTGTATGTATGTGTACATTAAGTTTGTCAAACAAAGTTATAATCGGTTAAGGTTAATTTTAACTAAACCTTCACTTGTTTAGTTAAAATATAAAGAGAATAGGCACAGAATGCATAAGAGACGTCAACCAGACAGAAAGAAAGCATATTTGTGGTACTTTAAGAAAGAGAGGAAAGAAGGAAATTGTAGGACATTCACCACTGATTCTGATCCTGGGCCATATCGGATCACATCTCGAGCGACTGATTCAAACTAGCTCTCGGACCCCGAACATAGTCGTGGTTTACCAGCTGATGCTAACCTAACACAAATATCTTTCATCTCACGACTTTGCGTTATAGGCTCACCATCTCTCCACTTTTTCCATTCAGTTTCAGGACTAACAAACACAGGCTAGTAGGAAAATCTTTGGAACGACATTCTTAGCAAATGTCCAAGCCACTAAAGTGAATGTTTCCAGATGAAGATACCGTACTTATCACACGCTACTGGACTTCAAAATTACTCTCACGATGATGGCATCAAACGCAAGCACTTCTAAGGAAACAGAAATGATCGGATACCCAAAGTCACCGAGCTACCTCCACCTGGACAGGCCAGTTTACTCAACCGTAGAGCAAGAATGCGCGCCTCAAAGCATTGTAATCCCAACACTTGACAGCCAGGCTAACGTCGCGACGGTGCCTTAAATTAACGCATGCACACACACACACAATTGCTTAATAGGTTCAATAATTTTCACTACATTAAAGCAATATTGGCCAAAGTTTCCTGACAAAATTACTGAAGTAAAAGTAGTGATGGTTTTTACATCAATTAGAGTTTTATAACTAATCACAAATGAAATATTAAATTCTCATTTCTTGTGATGAAAAACGCTTTCACCAACTTTCTTTTCTTTCACCAACTCTTTCTTAGGGTATTCCTGAAATGAAATCACTTACTTATCCATCAACAGATATGAATGAATTCATTTCACCATATAGTTATAATTATAAGAACTCATTTACAAAACCACTTGTTATCACTGGAACTGTACGCTCAAAGTCATATTTTATAATAACCTTAAGATTATTGAATTCATTAACACAAACGTTGGATCCAAGTTTATCATTTCGTGATCAGCTGAAAGATATTGAAGTTTATTCTGTTACTTCACAAGAAGAAATAGTTAAGCTTAATGAACAAATGTTTAGTCAAACAACAGCGACAATGATAACCGACGATCCACTATCCAATCAGTCAACAACTTTATGGGATCAAATTCAAGTGGGTAGTTTAGAATGGACAATGAAGCCAATTGTAAAGAAAGTAGATGAATATTTAGCTCAATTAGTTGAATTAGACAAAGTTTTAATGAGATCATTAAATATAAAATTAATTGGTGTCAAAAAACATGATGATTCAGAAATGACTGAAATTAATCTCGGCATGATATTCTCTCCAGCAATCTCATTCAAGTAAGTTGGCAAAACAAAAGTTTAATGTTAGTAAATAATACTCTTTTTGGAAAAGAAAGTGATATTCACATTTCAAACGATTTATAGCTTATTTGGGGATACACTGATCTTCCATCGCTCTTATGAGACAACCGTGTAACCTCACTTTTCATTATCCTATATTTTGCTTTGAATTTTCTTCCTTGTCAAATTGTACCCCCGTTCCACGCTGTAAATTTTTCATGCTTACTTTATAAGAATAGAACTCAGACATTGTGGTTCAGTATAATTCCACCCTAGAGTGAATTTATTTGCTAAAGTCGGACAGTGGTATACAGTAATAGATGGTTGAAGGTAATCGGCAGGAAGCCTTCGACCTAGGTTTCGTGTTAGTTGGCACTCATCAGCAAGGCGCATCTGCAACCTTGAAGGAATTCATGTCCCTCCTGAGATTCGAACCCACGTCACTCAGAGAAGTTACCACTGAGCTATTCGAGCGCGCGACTGACCTCCTGTAGAACTGTATTGGATACTTTGATTGGACAATAGCCAGTAACTAGTATAGTGTGTCTGGTTCTATCTTTAGTGCAGACTGATTTCGATCAGTCAGGTTTGTAATGTGGCCACCATGCCACTAGGTGGCTCGCCATCACGGTGCACTGCGCATTGCTGGTACTAGATGGTTAGAGTCAGTCGGTAGGAAGCCTTCGACCTAGGTGTCGTGCTAGTTGGCACTCGTCAGCAAGGCGCATCTGCAACCTTGAAGGAATTCATGTCCCTTTGTAAAGTACTTGTCTGATTTGATCAGTAGGTTGTAATGTGGCCACCATGCCCTAGGTGGCTCGCTCACGTGCATGCGAATGCTGGTACTAGATGGTTAGAGTCAGTGGTAGGAAGCCTTCGACCTAGATGTCGTGCTAGTTGCATCCAGCAAGGCGCATCTGCACCTTGAAGGAATTCATGTCCCTTCTCCTTTTAAAAATAAATGAATATGTAAAATAGTAAGACTATTAAAAGCACAAAAACTGAGAGTTAATAGGAGAATGATATGAGAAACAGTAATGTTGGTAATAATTTGTTGTTAGTTAACAAATTATAAAAGAGGTTTATAAGCTCTTTTCTGACATTTATCCCTTCACGTAACACGGACGCTACATATGATGTGATTGAATTTCTGTATTTAGCCACACGAGCATAAATTCGTATGAAGGACCATGACTTCCTCCAAGGTTGCAGATACGCCTTGCTGACGAGTGCCAACTGGCACAAAACATAGGTCCAGGGTTTTCTCCTAATAGCCTCCAACCACCTAATACCAGCAATTTGCAGTGCGACCATATTGTAAACCTGATTGATATAATTCAGTCTGCACCAAAGAAAGGACTAGACACTAGTGTCCAATCAAAGTAGTGGTATACAGTATTATTTACTGATGATGTTTCGAGCACAATTTATTGTTCATAATCACATCAAGGTATGTCATTTAACTAATTGATAAATCGGTCAAATAAATCTTACAGAACTAAGTAACTTATTCAACTGATAATTTCTATTAGCTGACAGTAAAAGCAATTCATCATTTCATAGCGTGTTGCATGGTATTTTTCTGTACTCTCCGAAAGGATTCAGTAGAATACCTGAACTTTAAAGTGTTCAGCATATGTCGTAAAGCTCACCTTCTACTGGTTACGGAGTAGAGTAAGTAGAGACAATGCGAAGTCGAATGTGTATTCATAGTGCTTTAACTGTAGAACTGAAACTCCCTCTGAAGCATGTATCTAATTTGGTAAATAAGGCTTTGACGTATCACCTCATTTGCTTAATACCTTTTTTACCAGTCAATACTGAGGAGGAAACTTTTCTCTTCTATAAACAGTATACTATCCTAACTAATAAAACTCACCGTACAATAAATAACCAGCTGTCATACACGCATGATTTTGATAATCAGACATAACAAAGTTTAGCTTAGCATATCATTTATTATAGAACACAAACAATTGGACGAAGATAAACTGCTACTAAAATAAACAACACAAGAATATTTGGTGAGAAATAATAGGTACGACCCAAATATTATGAAACGCTCAGGATGACATCATTACGGATACACAAATACTAGCACTCGATACTGTCGATGGACCCAGTTAAATTGCTCAGAAGTAACTCCATTGTTAAGTAAAAGCCTCATTGTTTTCTATTAGATTCAGAGCACATTTGGAATGTATGAACACTGTTTTATATCACAATAATGAAGTCCCTACTGAGAAGAAACTAGAAACAATTATGATAAGTACAATTTTAACTATACTTTATCATTTTAATAAGCTTGAACTTAATAAATTCATAGAAAGGTGTATCAATTCCTGTCAATTGTAGATGCAGTGCAGATTTGATGGTACGATCGTGTCTTGGTGCAATATGGAGATTTGGATTACTATTTAGATCGAATGATCCCCCAGTAGATGACATCATTTATTTTCCACACAATGGAATCGGGCGTTCAGTTAAAGTTCAGTTGGCGTTAAGTAGCCAGACCAAGTAAGTAAACTTTTTAGATGAAATAACACTGATTCATCATAAATACTAGAATATCATTTTTTTCCAAGCTTGATAACAAAAAACCATTACGTTTAATAAGCTTGATAAACACAACAGTGGATTCTCTTTCAGTGTAAGATGTTAAGAGTCGGTCAGCAGGATTTATGCCTTGCATATAGGTCTCGTGCTTATTCAAGAGGTAGGTAAGTGAGTGAGTGAGAAGTAGTCTAATGTATGATATTTTTACTGCCTGATAGGTAACTTTTCAAGCCCAACAGCATGAAAAACTATTTTAAAAACTTCACAGGAGACAAAATTACGTGCTAATCGCATTTATAGAAATTACATTAATCTTATTCACCATCATTCTAATCTATTCTCTAAATTCTTTCTTAATTGGCTCCACGATTGCCTACAAGGCCATGTAATCATCAGACTTAGACATCGTAAGTTCCCGTTCCGGTTACACACAGACCTACCTGCCTGCAGTGTGTCCAATCCATATCCACTATCCGCAACATATTTATTGAACGACACTTCATGAGTTGGTTGGTTGGCTAAGACAGTTTCCAGTTGCTTCCTTATCTTTTCGGATGGTTACTTCATCGTCATTGTCGAACGAAGGCATCATCTGTAGGAAGTCTGTGGTACTCTGTTGGAAACGCTTTTGGTGACGACAGCACCAAGGTCTCTTATCCACATAGAAGCACTGACTTAAATGTTAAAATTCGGATCTTGAGGTAGAAATTTCTGCGGTCGTCTTACTTTTCTGATCCTCGATGGCCTGTGCATCCTGGTTCGTGCCGTCTGTAACTGAAACAATGTTGCCGATCCAGGTGAGTGAAAGAAAGAAAATCCTACAGATTTATCACATTGATGGCGCCTGTTCTTGCAAGTAGGGTGTCATCATCATGACTATCTTCTCTATGTTCACTTGAATTCCTGTCTTCGTTGTCACTGATGCCAACCAGTTCGTTTTCTCTGGAAAATTTTCGACTTTATGAGACATGCAACAAAAATTATCCAAGAAAACTTCATATCGATCCTACTTTCTACTCTCCACAGACTCTGCTGCATAATTTTGTGCACCATACTTTTAAAGATCATCGTGGATAATAGACAGCCTCGTTTCACGATGGTTCCTGCATTTAATTGTAATCAAAACAATTTCTTCCAGTCCCCCTAATTTCAACTAATTTTGACCGATTAGACTACACACAAGCTAAAAGTAATTTGCTTATCATTCTGTTGGTTCTACCTACATAGGTGTCACCTCAACTGCAGGTGAACTTGCAGATACAGTTTGAAGTAGAGTCCACAGAATTTCGTCCTTTAATCGTAGGTACAGGGATCGAAAGTGGTCGGCAAGTGAGAAAAAGGGATGCGGCGTAGAATGTGCGTTTGATGGCTGACAGAAGTCTTTGAGCTGTCAACTGCATAATCTGGTCACCCTTGAATGGTAGGTTAATAAAGATAGCTTTCTTTGGTACAGAAGCTGTCTTTTCGAGATGTGGTCTTTCTTAACTGTGACAAGTGATAAAGTTTTCTGGATAACCATTAGCTAATAAAACTGAATGAATATATCGAAACTCATCCATCACTGTGTCACTCATGCATATTTTTCTGGCCCTTAAGAACAAACATTTCACTAGGGAACGTTTATACTGGATAGGAACAAAACACACGAGCATAAATTCCCCTAATTTCAACTAATTTTGACCGATTAGACTACACACAAGCCAAAAGTAATTTGCTTATCATTATTGAAATCCCACTTCATTGTGAACCCTGTTTTCTTCGAATGTCCCATACATAGATAACTGATATATGCGTATAATACTCAAAAGCTAGACTAGATGTTGCTTACTTAACAATAAATATATTGTGAATTTTAGTGAGCCAACGAGATTCATCGCACGTTTATATCCAGAGAATCAAACCGAATATACAGTGGAGCCAATGCAGGGAGAATTACCCCCAACGAAAAATATTAAGAACACGAGCACTGGAAACGACTCAGCACTGACGATAACCTTCAAACCCAATTCCTACGGGAAACCAATCAAAGCTAGGCTACTGATACAGGTGAGACAATAATTTCATGATAATGAGTGTATACGAATGACTAAACTACCATTACGGCAAGAATGTTACCTAAACCATTTATTTAACACAAGTCTCATACATCTAAATATGATTAGACAAGAAAAAGACTATCCACATAATTAACAACTGCTTACATATCTCCTTCATATAGGACCTCACACCACGTTATGGTAATATTTTAAAAGGAATAACGTATGAACAAAGGAACTAACAGTATCATATAAGAAAAATCCAAAAAAAACTACAGGGTTAAGGTAAAACATCATTGAAAATCCATCTCGAAATAAGCTACCACAAAGAAGCTGAAATAAAAAAAGCGGTTCACAAAAGCTTTCGTTCATAAGAGGCACATACGTATATAACAATAAACTGAAAACCAAAGAAACAGTCAGCAACCAAAAAAATCAAAATGTATATTCTATAAATCCCGTAAAAAACAAACATTATAAGATTAAATTACATAAAAAATTAAGAGAAAAGCAAATAAACACAGATACAATAGAGACAGAAAATCAGTCACAGTAGTCCTGACCATACAATAACCCAACACACAACTCCGCTACAATCACTTCTCAGACAAAACCATTCCGAGCATGATAAACCCCTAACCCCTACTACGCGTTTAGCCGACCGAATTCAACGACAATCCAATTGAACTGACGACGGCTGTTTCTATACCCTTCACCTTACTGTCTCTTACACCCTACGATCTTTATTCACATATAGGCAAACTAAACTGTCACAAAGTCAACACTAACATGGATAGCCTCGAATCATAGCCCCATAAGCAACGACAACAATTCAAAACTGGTTTCGTTCCAAATAATATCTATATTTCACATTGCTTTATACATTCGACTAAACATTCTTTATCACAAGCATCATCATACTTTTTCTTCCTTTATACTCCTCCTCCACACAGACTGCCAGAATGGAGTGGCACTATCAACTCGTAGGAACCATTCCAGCTTACAAGGCGCCAAACGGAAAGCCCCATCCGTCCACATACACCCTCAGCGTCACGAGAACAACAACTCCAAAATAACATGTTCCAACCCAACTAGGAAACAATGCAAAACAAAACTCAATAAATATTTAGCAACAAGACTTGTCGTTCTAACGATAGCATTGAAATGTAGCTAAACTACTAACAACACAAAACAGTGCGAATTCCGATCAGACTAATAGTACATATCAATCAAAGTTCATATGACACGCAATCAGTTCATCATAAATGGCATTTCGAATATGCATGCTTACCTAGTGTGCACTGCTGACATCTGAAAGAAAAACAGACAGAAAAACCAATTTAGACAAGAAGTCAGTGTGAAACACGAATCACTAGCTCATAAGAGGTGTCATACACTCATCACGTAGCACATACTCAATAAGACAATAATAAACAATAATAAACTACAATTTGTCCTGATAGAAAACTAACCTCTTCGTAGCTCCATTTTCAGCCGCAGTCACACAAAACTCCTCGTCAGCACACAGAGTCAACTCCGGGAATTCAGTGTCAGCAGTCTAGGTCAATCAAAATAATGTCACCAGTATATCACTGACTTACCACACAAATGCACCAAATT